CGTTAAGTTCAGTATCTTGCAACAAGTCAGAGATAGAATTAGTTACCCTAGTAACTTTACTTTTAACTACTCTTTTCAGCTTAAGTAGCTCTTCTAATAATTGTGGCATATTGAAAGCTCGTGAAAAGTAATCCAAAGCCCTAACTAAAATTCAATTTCGATAGCTCCGACCTCAACGGACCGGAATGTGGGGAATACTAACACGAATTAAACTAATATGAGCCATCGAATAACGAAATAAAACTAAATTACCAAAACAAACTATTTATTAAAAACTTTAAAAAGAAAAACTGAATTAGAACATACTTCAAACTTCCAAAGTAGTTGGGGAAAAAGGCTCTGTGCCCTGAAACTCGCTTAAAGCCAAAGTAAACTGCTGTAGCGAAATCGCTAATCCTATTGAAAGAGGCAAAAATATTCTAGTTAGCAAGAGTTTCAGAGCGCGTGCGTAACGAATCTCAACAAATAACAAACAAGAAAAGATTTATCCTAATAAGTTATCGTTAGATTATTCAACTACGGCTGAACATACCGCCGCCCTTGAAGTAACTAACTTCAACAATTAATAAATTAAACAATTATGCAAGAAAAAGAAACAAATTACAATTTTCTAGGCTTGTTTATAACATTGAAAATACTGAAAACACTTCAGAGTATTATTTCCAAGAATTATTAAATTTAGCAATCTTTAGAATATCCAATAGAAAAATTAAGCAATCATAAATTTAGAATCACAAAATCAAATATCTTAGAGTATAAATTTTGAAAATCTAAAAAAAAAACACAAAACTCAATTTTAAATTATTTTAACTAACTTGGAAATTTCAGAAATAATTGTGATAACTAAATTTTAGAATCAAGAGGCAATAAACATAACTTTACAATTGGTCTTTTAATTATACCATTAACAGTTTTTAAAGATACAACTCTTATTTTATCGTCACTACCTGCCGCATGCTACTAAAGAGTATATATTTGAACAAAAGAACTAACGTGGATGTATTTAAACAAAAGTTAGGATCCAGTCTTGAGCCAATTGTAACATTTACAAAGTTTTTAACTTTGGTCATGGGTTTCGCTGATAAACCTGACAAAGATATATTTGCTTTCATCTTTTTTAAACACAAACGTTGAACTAAATCTTGTCTGATAAAACTCAATTCTGATCCACAGTGTATAAGTGCTCGACAATCAACACCAATTCCAAAAGAATCAGAAATCCTAATTATGGCGGTTGGAAGGATGCTACCTTGGCGATGCTACAATCAAATTTCTCGCCTGTTGAATAATGAGTAGAAGAGTTTAATTCAGAATTTTCAACAGACGCTAAGTTCGAATCCTCAACTTCTTGAAGCAACAAACTATGATGCTTTCCTAAGCAAAAGCTGTAGTGTTTGCTTTCACAATTCGCTACAATATGTCCGAATTTCAAACAATTAAAACAAAGTTTTATTTTAAAAACGGAAGTTTTCTTTCTTGAACTGATTTAGCAAGAAACTTTTCACATCTATAGATACTATGTAAACTCTCGCAGAATATGCAACATTCCAATTTAGTTGGGGAAATTTGAGTTTTGAAAATCTTCGCTTTCTCAACTCTCACTTTCGGTATTTGAAGTAGCATGTTTGTCGATAGAAGAGCGCGTGCCCTCATTTCTAAGAAAGACCGAAATTCTTCAAAAGTCGGCATCTTTCCTTTCGTCTGTGATAATTCCCATTCTTTTAATGAGGCGTTCTCAATTTTCCTTCTTAATGAATAAACCAAGATTGAATCCCAATTATCAACCTGTTGGTTTAAAATTCGTAAGTTGTCTAAGCATGCAGTTGATAAATTCAGAAGTTTCCTTAAACATTTAGCTGATTCAATTTGCAAACTGGGTTGCGTGAGTAACTTATCTAAATGACGATAAACTAAGTCGACTTCACTGTGATACCTATTAGTAAGTGCTTTCCACGCTTTTTCAAAGCTTGCATCTGAAACTTGTATAGAATTGATTAACGATAGTGCTTCGCCTTTAACTGATAATTTCAGATATTGCAATTTTTGAGAATCCGATAATAATTCATTATTGCGTACAGTAGCTGAAGATAAATCTCGAAACGATATCCTAGAAAAAAAATCACCTGAAAAAGTAGGTAAGTCCAGCTTTGGAAGATTGATGTAAGCCTTTGGAGTTTCAGCTACAGCCGAAGTTTGAGATTGTGCGTTCGTCAAATTACTATTTCGTTTCTTTAAAGACAATTCAAAACTATCTAATTTATTCAGTAAGTGGAAAAGCTCAGTTTCGTAATCTGAATAATTTTCTTCGTCGCAAACAACTAAGATGTCTTTGAAAAGATCCAAAACTTCCAAATTGAGTTCACTTATTTGACGTAAACAAATATCAGAATGTTCCACGTTAAGTTCAGTATCTTGCAACAAGTCAGAAATAGAATTAGTTACCCTAGTAACTTTACTTTTAACTACTCTTTTCAGCTTAAGTAGCTCTTCTAATAATTTTGGCATATTGAAAGCTCGTGAAAAGTAATCCAAAGCCCTAACTAAAAATTAATTTCGATAGCTTCGACCTCGACGGACCGGAATGTGGGGAATACTAACATGAATTAAACTAATATGAGCCATCGAATAACGAAATAAAACTAAATTACCAAAACAAACTATTTATTAAAAACTTTAAAAAGAAAAACTGAATTAGAACATACTTCAAACTTCCAAAGTAGTTGGGGAAAAAAGCTCTGCACCCTGAAACTCGCTTAAAACCAGAGTAAAACATGCTGTCACGAAATTGTTAATTCAACTGAAGCAGGCAAAATTATTCTAGTTAGCAAGATCTCTTGCTAACTAGATTCAAAAGATTTTTCCTAATAAGTTATCGTTATATTATTCAACTACGGCTGAACAATAGTATTTCCCGTATCTTACGATTGATGAAACAACCCAGTAAACTAATTTAAAAATTAATATCTACTAATTTGATAAAGCATAACTCAACCGCAACCTTACTTCAAAACCCATTGCTTAACGAAAAGTCTAGCTCTAATGTCCATTCATTTTTTTACGGTTTTGAAACTATACTAGTTGTAAATAGTTAAAAAAAACGCATAATTTTGCATATTTTTTAAACCGCACTGGTTGTAAACTGTTTCAAAGCCGTAAAGATAAAAAATGCTCTTTACCGTAAACTTTTCGCTTAATTTGAAGGGCAGATTACTGCTGGTTGTTTTACCGTAATTTTCAAATAAAAATTCTAACAGTGCGGTGTTAGCAAAAAATATTTGACATCTAGAGGGAAAAAATCGATTGATGAGGGAAAGATTTCATTAGAAAGTTCATTATTTGAATTAAACTTCGTTAAACTAATTTCTGATTGCAATCCCTGAGCAAATAAATAGCTCTCTTTTGTGCAGAATCAAATCAATAGCATACCATCTAAATAGCCAAAGTGATTGGAAGGTTTGAAAGAGCACGTTTTGTTCTAATAGACTGTCGGATTTAGAGCCATCCCCCTGATTAAATTCGTTGAGGTTAAATGTAGTATTAGTAGCTTCCTCTTCTGCATGAGATCATTTATTTTGTAAATCTACGATAGATGGAGGATTTAGTGAGAAATTTGTCTTACGTCTTAACACTCTATCTTCTTAGACTCTAAAAGCACTAAAAAGAAGTTTGAGAATGAATCCCTACTAAAGAATTGTGGACTTGATATTATAATGCAGGTTAATATGTATACTTAATAGAGGGAGAAATTCTTTGCGGCAAATTCTCTTCCTCCTACATAAGTAATTTAAAGTAGAGAAAAAGTGAGTTCACTCAGAAAAGAAGTATAGTCGAAACTAATAGCAAATTTTACTGTGTTTCTGCCTCTATTATAATAGCAAAAAGTTTTGTAGTTTTTACCGAAATGCTTTGGTAATAAGTTAGGTAAAATTAAGAATAACTTCATCATGATTTGATAAATATCATCAGAATATTTTATCATGATTAGATTTTTATCAAATTTATCATGAATGAATGATTATTAAGTTTATCATGATTTGATTATCATAATAAATTTGATTATATCATGATATCTTAATGGTTTAAAAAATATTTATACGGTTAAATTTACCTTTATTTGTATTTTTTAATTGTTAATGATATGTATTTTTTTTCGAAAGTGTGTGATAAAAAGAACTATAATTTTGAAAGCTAGAATTTCCGGTAAACTGTTACCATATGAACGAAAAAATTGTTAAAGGAATTGTTCAAATTCCGTATGTTTTGGTTTGTTTTACCAAAATTATGGTTTATTAACAAAATTGTCTGTCCCATACAGTCTTTACCATAACTGCCTTTATCACACATTTTTTTCTCCGTAAACAATGAAATTTCAAATGCTGAAAAAAAATTTTCAAAAAAACAAAATGAAAACAAATTATGGCCGAATTACTCAAATGTGCGCAATGGAATCCTGAAATAATTTGTTTATCGTAAAAGAATTTTTACAGCATTTGAAACCTCATGTTTCACTCTACACCGTAAAAAATTAATTTTACCGTAATATCATAATTTTTACCGCAATATTTATTTAATTAAAGTGATTCAATATCTTTATTCTAATTATTTCTATGAAAATTAAGGCACATCAGTTTTTTCCGTAACATGTTCTGGTAAAACTGAATTGCACGGTAATACGTACCGGATCCTGAGTAGCGGTACTTTTACCGTAATTGCAGGAACGCGATTTACTAACTTTTATCGTATTTTTTAATTGTAATTTGATTCGGAATTTTTTATAGGGTTGGTTTTAATTGTATTTTTTCTTATAACTAACTGAGGTGAATTAGACTTTGCTAGTAATTTTTCACCCATTAACTCTTCAATTGTTCAATAAATGCGTTCAAATACTTTGAAAGGCATAGTCTAATATTTTACCAGGAGCTTCGATCTTGTATTTGTGTTTTTCTATAAGCTTTTTAAATGTTTAATAAATACGTCCAAACAATTTGAAATTCTTGATCTAATAATATATAAATAGTTTTTATTGCTCAAAATAGTACAACCATAAATGCTTAAATAGTGCAAACAACACAGGGAATCGGTTTGTTTGCTTCATAGGGTTCACATGGCAAAGAACCACATTCAACTGTAACTTCTTTTACTTCAGGTAATCGAGAATCCTCTGAATTTCCGAACTTTATTGTTTTGTCTGGGCTCTTCATGTTTACGTCCACACAGACATATTCACCTTTTGAACTATAAAAACCAGGAGCCATGAGAATGCCTTCATATTCCTTTGTCCATTTATCTGTTGGGCAGGAATTGTTAGCCATCACCACTAGAACAGTGGTTAGTAAAGTTGCTCGACACTGAGCACATGCTATTGGCTTATCCTTCATAGAGCTAAATTTTTTTAGTTCTCCTTGGTATCTTAAAAAAAGAGAAAATCTTACTAATATGTCTAAATAATATGTCTATGTCTGACGCTCATAAAACTTTTACGAGGAATTTTAAACAAGTTTAAACTTTAAAAATTTGTGTTTTAATTTATAATTAAAAGAAATTATTCTTTAAAAGTAAAATTTTTTTCAAAACAAAAGTATCCAAAATTTTATTTATCATTAAAATCTTTTGTTTTAATTTCTTTAATGTTAAAGAGATTTAGCGCCTTCACTTACATCCAACACTTTCATGTGCGCATGCTCTGATGTAAGTGAGCAAGCACAGTGTGTCTGTGTCATGAGCATGCGCAGTTAGTTCAGAACTGCACGCAAACGTGAAGGATGGTATGTGGAAGTTCCAAATCTCGCTGTCAAGGAAATCTAAGAACTATTTTTGCTTAAAATATCAAAAATTTTATTGCATTACCTGATTGGACTGACTAATAAATGCTCGTCTGGATCATCTTTGCCTGGATATCCTGGGAAATAACTTTTGGGATTTATCTCAACTGGATCAACTGTAGAGCACATAAACTCACTTGATCCACCTTCTTGCACAAGTTCTGATGTTGCCATTACTCCCGAAATGAATGTTTCAGTTTCAAAAGTAGTACACTCATTATATCCCCATCTGATGAAATCAGCACCCCCAATTCTTGGTCTTAGTTCTGCAAATCATTCACAATTAACCAGTTGATACTAATATGAAAACTTCCGAAGTATATTTAAATAACAACTAAACGGACAAAGGCAATTAATAGATAGATTTTTGTTTTAAGGGTACATATTTAAGAATGCGTGTAAGAACACATAGTTAAGACTTTTTAAAGTTACGCTCATTTATTTGATTTTTTTTGTGCCATTTAATAATTATGTGCAAAATATGTTAGAAAATCTGCTTAACAATTTTTAAAAAAAAGTTACAAATTTTGAAAAGGATTAATTTTAATTTTTGAACCCCTTAAAAAATAATGTAATTTAAATTGAACAATTTTTTAAAAAAAATCATTAAATTTTAACTTTTTTAAGTACTTTTTACTATAAATGTTAACAAAAATTTTTATAAATATTTTCAATTTTTATATAATATACTTTTTTGTTTTCTTCATATACATCAAAACTTGCGTACCATAACTGAATACAAACTTTTCAATTGGATAAAAGTAAATTAAGGTACAATACATAACACAAGCTTATCCGAATATCCTTTAAGTTTTTAAAGCTCAAAAAATGCGAAAATTTATCATAGGTAAAAAAGAATACAAAAATTTAGCAGCACTTAAAGATCTCAGATAGAGAAAGACTCTCCATCCTTTATGTTAACCTAAGAACTATAAGGACATAATTTTTATTTATAAATAGTTTTTAGTATATAAGACACTTTTGTTTAAAAGTAATTTTTATGTATAAGTAACTCTATTGAAATTAATGAACTAATATTGCTGAGCATTTTTCCTTCAGCTTTAGTAGTTTAAAAATATTATAGGTCACAGTTATCAAATTTTTAATTTTATTTAAGATTGTAAATATTCTTAAAAACTTCTTCAGAAGGCAAAGAGTCTCAAAGTTAAAGTTTTCAAAATGCTTACAGCCTTATAATTTGAAATTAAGTAACCTCGTTCAATCAAATACATTTAAAAGATTAAAATAAAAGATTAATATCTTAAAACATTATTTAGATACTTAATTAAAAAAAATTTGTACTCAACTTATTCTCCATAGATTAACATGGAAGAAATAAAAAATTATTTTTTGCCTTACCGAGACCTTTAACGGAAGTTTAATAGAAAACTTGCTTTATCTTATGTTTCAGTTCATATTAAAAAAAAAAAAAAAATCTCCAATAAAAGAGATGACATCAGTATTTTCTTAAAAATAAAAAAAAAATTTATGAGTTTGATTTTTATAGCTCATATTCTACACTTAGTTTCTTTTGTTATTTTTATAGTTTTATTGTGCTAGTTTAAATATTTTTCAAATTTTTTTTAACTAACCTAGAATTTTGCCAGTATTTCAATCATGTTTATGCTAAAAAAAAGCATGACGTCTTATAACCTTATAAAAATTTCAATAGTTTTCTCGAAAACTTCAACAGTTTCAAAAGGAACCTTGGTGGTTCAGGAGGCAAAGCGTTCGTCTTCCAATTAGGGAACTGGATTTAAATCCCAGGGATAGCTCATTGATTCGAATTTCACACCCGGCGCGCATCGGTCACAATGATGTAAAATATCCTCAGTGGTAGACATATCGTGTATATCGTTACCGTCAGGATAACCATAAAAGGTTTTCATGGTTTTCCTCTCCGTGTAATACAACAGCGGGTTAGTTCCATCAAAAAGTCCTCCACAAAGACAAATTTCTTAAAATACTTAATCCAAGAGTTCTTTTGTCTTCTGAATTGGATTCAAAATTGCACGTCTACGGAGTCGAACATTAGTAGTTGTAAACTTTTGAAAAATGGGTCGGCTGTTCAACGAGGATCATAAAATAAAATAAAATAGTTACAAAAAATTTTCTAGTATATGACCATTTCGAATCAAATGAAGAATAAATATTATTTTTTTCGCGGAATAATACAATTATGCAATCAGCATTTCAGATAGATGTTAAAAAACTTCGCTCAGATATTTGAAAAATATCTAATCTCGATTTGAGCAACTGTTATAAGCATACTCGTCAAAAAACAAGCAGTTTGTGATTTTTTCCACTTACATATTATCTAAATCTTCCTCATTTCTTTTATTTATCTCTCTAGTTTTGAGGTATGACAATGGTTATCATGGTAAAGAAAATCATGAAAATAATGTTTAAGAAATACTAAGTGGGTACTTATAAATGATTTTCTTATTTTGAGGACACAAAACAAGAGCAAACCAAATAATAAATTGTTCTTAAAAGAAACTGCCTCGTTATGAAAGAATAAATACTCTGCATAATCTTTGAAGACTCTTTTTTGCAATAAATAAAAGTATTTTTTCTTGTACAGTATTTAAATTCTTCGTGATCCTTTGTTTGAAACAAAAGATAAAAGTTGCGCATTCAAACAGTCAAGAAATCCAATACTTTAGTTAATATAACACTGAGGGTAAAAAATATGGTCAATACTACCATAATATGGTAAAATTTACTGTGTTTTTGGTTGTTTGGAAGTACCAAAAATCTCGGTAATTTTTGTCAAAGAGCTTTCGGAAATGATTCTGGTAAAATTAACAATAAAATAGGGTTTTATACTATCTGATAAAATTCGGTAAATGTGGTAAAAAAATTTTAATTTTATCATGAAATCCTAAAGCATTGCATTGAAACATCGATTCGGAAAAATTTTCTTTTTGGTTTTCTATTTTTTACTAAATGTATAACAGCAAGAGCTATAATTTTGAAAACCAGAATTTCCGGTAAACCGTAACCATATGAACGGAAAAATTGCCAAATGAATGGTTCGTATATTTTGGTATTTTAAACTAGGATTATGATTTTTTGTTATCAGAAATGTAATTACCATGCTTAACTGTAATTTTACCAAAGTTTTTTTCGCTGTGAAGATATATTCACGCAATTAATTGATTCAATATTTCAATTATACTTCTATAAAGTATTTATGTTTATTCGAAGAAACTTAAAATAAATGTTTTAGCTAAACCTTTTCAAAATAGGTAAAAACAAAATTTTAAAAACATGAACGTATCGTTGAAAAAACTATTCAACGTAATTGTTAAAAAAAATAAAATTTTAGACATTTTATAAATCTTATAAATTTACTCATTGGTAAAAAAATATTTACAGTTTGTCATGGCAAAACCTACAAATTTTATCTGTATTCAGTTACATAATAAAAATGTGGAACCACTTTCATGATGTTTATTTGACCTTATATAACCATAATTTATTAATCTTAGAGTATATATCAAATACTAATTGTATATATCTAATTTATTGATCAAATACTAATTTTTACAGTCATAATTTTTCGACTGAAAACTGAATTTTTAAACAATGTGATTAAATAAAAAAAAATTGCTGAAAATATTGTTTATTTGAAATTTTAATATAAAAGTAATAAAATAAAACCTACCTGGATGTTCATCATACTAAAAAATTTAAAAAGGAATATAATTAAAACATAATAATTGAACATAAGAAATGTGCACAGTTAAAAAATTACGTTAACAAAGAAAAAAGAATAACTAAGAAAAATCTTATGAAGCTAATTTAGCATGGTAATTGCGCGTAGTTAATCACATTCTTAAATCTACAAGAAAAACATTTTCAATCAAATATCAAATATTAGAGCAAAAAAAAATTACTAACGAATTTTTATGAAAGAGTTTTTAAAGATAAATACTTTAGAGAAATAAATTTTTTTTAAAAAATTACGTAACTGATGAAATTAATATTTTGATTTCGTTCAAATTTTGTATTTCGACAATTACATTTCCATCACATATTTTAAAATGACCTAATGAATTCTATTCAAAGTTTTTCGACCATTGTTACATAAAATGACAATAACTAATTGCTTACAATTATTTTTTGAGTTGATATCTTTACTTAGACACGTTTTACAAATACTTAGATATTCCCGAATTCTGATTAAATACGCATATTATAATGAACGACATTAATGAACTAATAAGCATTCAACAGCTCACCTATCTAAGTTGTTTAAGCAATATTTTGCCCAAATTGATGGTCAAAAATCCGAATCTGACCAAAAACATACTGTGTTTATTCAAAGAAAGTACATTTTTATGTCGGATTTTGTAACTAAAACAAAAGTTAGCACAAAATATTTGAGGAATAATAACCCTTTGAATCGTATACTGAATACTGAATAATACTCTTCGAATCATAAGTTTATCACTTTATATCAGAATATCCGCTTTCTCTTATTCAAGGCGATACTGTTTTAATTCATTTTTTGGCTCACATTTCATTCATGGTGATATAAAATAAACTTCATCAAAAGACTTTCTGCTCCAAGTAATTAGTTTTTTCCCCTCGTACATAGAGGTGTATAAAAATATTAATGCCAAATTCATTTGCTACGAAAAGTTTCATTTTAATTTTTTTTATTGGTTTTAATAATTGTTAGTATCCTGTTAGCACTTTAAATTAGAATTAGTTAATGATGTCAGTGTTCTTAACTATTCCATAAACAACTTATAACATACAAAATGGTTTATTTCACAGTTCTATTTATAAAAATATAAAAAATACTAGCTTCATCAATAAAATTCGAAACGCTTAAAGCTATAAAATGGCGTAAATGTGAGTATATTAATGCTCAAATATCAACTCAAAGTCATTTTGTTTCTTCTGCACAAAAAAGAATGAACAAACTCAAGGAACAAAACAAACTGTTACCATAGCAATTCAATTTTATGAACAAGATCGAAGATAAAGATTAAACAGACGGTAATTCTCAACAGTTAGAATTATGAAGATTTCTTGAGTGTCTTATAACTTGTGAGCAAATGCGGAAGAAGTGATATTCATCGGTTGGTAACTCTGTCCAAACCAGGGAACTTGGGTCAGTAAAACCAAGCTCTAGCCTCTATGGAAAAGGAAACGTTCCATTTTCAATCAGGATAAGTTAGGAAGTTTTATGTGCTCACAATTGTATATTTACCTTCCACTCGACAAGGATATCTTACTTATATGCTGCCGTGAGCTTTTCTTGTAATTTGGAGACTCGAGTAATCAGTTTAGAGAGTCACTCCGAGAGTCAATGTCCGAATCACTCTCTCAGTGTGATTCGGACATTGGTCTTAATTAAAACTCGGGTAATTAGATTGTTTTGTCAGAAAAAAAAACTGAAGAACAGGGTGATGTAGCATAGTGCTGTCATCTGTCGATTCGTGAGAGAGCTTTGTATCAATTGCCTGTGGTCTCTAATATAGAAAATATGATAAATGATCACCATATGGAAGTGAATTAGGATCAGTATACGCATGCCGTAAACATTAGATATGAGAGTGTATAGCCAATGACTATACATTCAGAGGATGAATTAAACTGACCGCTGCATACTAATGGGTAATGAATGTATCAAAAAATGTATTTAAAAAATTCAAATTTGAAATCAAATAAATGTAAGCGGCACTCACAATCTCTTTTTGTAATGAAGCCAGGTGTCTTGCATACTTTTGAGGGAAAATATATTCACCGTCTTTATAAGCTACAAAGGTATCATCAATGTATTTCGTGGGTGCTCCTTCTGACAGGTCAAGATCGCTAATTGTCTTTGCATAAATCTCATACACCTTATTCACCTTATCATTGAACTTTTTAATCTGAAACAAAACATGAAGAATCTACAATGAAAAGAATACCACACTTGATTAGAAATGGTTGTTATAGGCCGGTGTAAGATGTGGGCAAGGCTACGGGGTTCGGGCGGAGAGCTAGGTTAGGAGGGGCGCCGAACGAGACTCAGATTTAAATGCTCTGTAAATTATTCATCTCCTCCTTTTTTAAAGTATAGTTTGCTTTGAAAATATGTTTATAACTCATTTTTTATTATACATTTCTGTGCTAACTTTCTTTATCGTTAAATTTCTCTAAGTAAAACTTTTACTAAAGACGGAAAGAAAAGTGTGAAACAGAAAAATCACTTGCTTGACATGGAATAGAGTGAGTTCCGTATATTCCAGGAAGGATCTCTTCTGTAGAGATTTATGGTCAGGGAAATCATCCAATAAACGAGTTAATATTCTCAAAAGATGAATTAAAGGGAATCTTGAGAATGGTGAAGGGATCTTGGAGAATGAACAAGAACTCAAATTTAGTGACAACTCAATCTGTGTATTAAGCGTACTCCTAATATAACTTGAATTTACGAGTACAAATCTTTATATTTTATGAAGAAAATGCAATTTTGTCTCCAAATGTAATTTAAGTTTAAGTTTTTCATCCAAATCTCTGTGCATTTTTTGAGAAATCGGAACTATTTAGAAACAAAATCAAATGGTTAGTTTCCAGCTTATTACTATAGAATAGATAATTACCAAGATACCATTAATTTATGTTAACAATAAGAAACATATATTAACTTTTACAACATTTTACATATTTTGTTCTTTGATACATATTTAAAATAGTTATTAAAGGATTTTCCGGGAAACTAAAGTAAGACTTTTTTTTCTCTAAAAATATTTGTTAATAGCGAGTTCAATAACTTTTTTCGGCATCTGATTTACCTAAACGTTTATTATTGTTGTATTTGACTGTTGAACGTAGTTTTTTGTATATCAATATTAATTTGAAGAGATATTATCTAATACTTCCCAAATCGAGATACGAGTTTTACGAGAAATGTTTAGAAACATGTTCAAGGCTTATAAAGTAATTGCCAATAAATTTTTGGAGTCTTAAGGACTGTTTTATTCATCTTAAATCGAAACGTACCCTTGTGCTAGGTACAATATTGAGTGCTTATTATTTTTTAAATTTGTAAGTATAACTAAATTTTACATTTTATAAATTTTTCACCAATGCACCTGTTCAATGTAATTTCCAAAATTACTCGTATGCAATATGCAAGTGTTGATATTCAAGTTCAATACTCATTGCTAATTGACACATGACTTTGATCATTACACGTATACACTTTTAATGTAATGAATATTATTTAGTAAAACATAACTTTAAAATCCGTATAAGTCTATCATATTGCATACATTAAATCTATCATTTTCTAATTTAATGAAAAATGATTACTTTTTATGATAATGATTCAAATGATTATTCATAAAAAATAATTACTTTTTAGCTCAAATAACTGAGATGGTTAAACTTACTTTTTCATCCACGCTTTTGGGAGTCACGGGAGGTAATGATGCAATAAAATGTTGCAGTTTGCGCCTAGTTTCCAACAAATCGTCAAACTGAGTTTCCAAGTCATCCAACTGATCGTTTAATGCTCTTAAATGAAAATAAAATAATTCGATTAACATTTTAAATAACTAATAATTCACTCATTCAAAACAAATAGCGTTTATTATAAGGCAATTTGTTATGACAGGAAACAGTTTTGCATACATGCATTACGTAAATAAACGTAATAAATACTTAAAATTCTTCTTTATTGGCGATTTCGAATTTGTAATTGTAAATGCTTCAAATAATATAAACTTGCAAAACAATTCAAGTTAATTAATTTATTAAGGCGTATAAACATAAATATAATTAATCTTTAGAAATATGTTAGGGTGGAAGGTTAAAGAATCTTTCACGGAAATTTACTAGTAAAAATTTCAAAGAAAGCAAAAAAATCCTGCTGAATTAGGAAAAGTTAAATACTTACAAATTACTTACTTGAATATCTTCATCACTTTTTTGTTTCATTCTAAGTATCATCAAATTTCGTTAAATTATTTTGCAGATATCGACATTTTTAAAATAAATATAGAACAATATCGATTCACGAAAAAGAAAAGAAAAACGTTAAAAAGTGAAACTAATAAAAAATCTGAAGATTGAAACTTAAAAATGTATCTGATAATAGTCTTTCAATTTCTGTTTCCTCCGATAATAAAACACGTTTTCATCGTATTCATTTCCAGCAAGGACTCTAAAAATATTTATTAAGAATGGTAATTTTGGAACACTATTTGCATGAAAAAGAATTTTGACCACTGAATGGAAACAAAAAGAAAAATAAACTCTTTTTCTATATTAGTTTCATACCTGCTTTCGAAAAAAGCGGGATAGTTTGTATCCAGGGAGCTTAAAGGAAACAATTCCATTCTGAGTGGATTCCCAGTTCCATTGTTGACATTTTTAACATGTTCAGGAAATTCATCGATGAGTTTTAAAAGTCCATCTACGTCATAGGACACACCCTGGATTGGTACAGTTGCATAATAGTTGATTTCCATTGAACTGCTGTCCTGTGCATTTTGTTTCAACATTTCAAGTTTACCTGTGAATTATTCAGCTGAATTAAAATTAACTATATTTTTATACAACGTCAGAATATAATAATAGTCAATAAATTTTTAAAAATCATTGTTAAATAGAAAAAATTGATAGTTTGCTAATAATTATTGAATTATACAAGTGCAGATGTTTAAAAAAGGAATGTTAACACATGGTCAGACATTATTTTGAAACAAAACAACGTAAATTCTGATAAATTGTCATATAAATAAATAATAGTTCTTCGTACATTGTGCAAGGCAGCAAATAATTGAAGAAATAATAATAATCGAAAAATAATGCTACATAAACAGACGACTTTACAGTCTCCGTTCTTTAATGAAAAATCTTTTTCATAGTCAAAGCAGAGAATGAAAAAGGAAAATGCTGAGAGGCAGAAGAAAATTACTATAACACTAAGAAAAAACGATTGTAACTTGTTTTCGTTTCTCTTCTGCATCTCTGTGGTTTTTCGGTCTATACTGTATTTCGATACTGAAAATAGTCCCTCATTTAAGTACCGAACCTATACATTGCGTATGTTATGTGTCAATTTTTTGAGCTCCATTCATCCTGTTTAGCTTGATTCATCTTTAGCACAAATTCACCTTATCACATTCATATTTCTATCTTGGTATACATTAAATTTTATTTTAAAAAAAGGAATAAAATTCAGCTAATTAATATCTAAAGAACAAATTCAATTAATAAAAAAAGCAGGTAACGCTTATTCCAAATCATACCAGAGGGCAGACCATACTTAATGAAATATTCTCACCGGTGTTATTTATATTTTTCTTAAACTGCAAACGAATGCAATCTAAGGTGATTTTTAAAATACTGATTTGCTTTTTTTCTCTGTTAGCAGAGCCATCTGTTAATAAACTTTTTAACTAATTTTATATTTGATCAGAATAAATATCTGTTTTCCATGGCAAAACGCGAATAGCAAACCGTTAATTTTTATCTCCTTCGCTTCTTCCTTAGCTGATTTTTCAATTCGCTGATTATGTTTGTGACATCTGATGCACTGGGTGCAGTATAGCCACTTTCGACTTTCATGCCAATAAGTCTACCTTCAATCTTTCTCAACTTATACGAAATACACCTTGTTAGTACCAAAATGATTATTAATTAAATAGCTGACCTTTCACATTTCCTTCAAATGATCCTCCGCCAGCATTTATGCCACCATTGATGGCTCCTTTGATGCGTAAAAGATCGTAGTTATTCGTAGCAGTGATACGGATAGAAGCAACTAAATCACCCCCATATGTTATACTTCTACAATAATGAGTACCCAAATAATTACGAGGATACAATGTCCATCCAGTTTTAGGTTTTACGAACGATGGAATGGTTTTTGTCACCTAAAAGACAAGAATTTTTGTTATAATTACAAGAATTAAGCAGTATTTCGTAGCAGTTATTATCTCATTAACATAAAGCATAATCAATTACACTTCATAACACCATTCATATTTAGTGTCAAACAACGTAAATGTGATAATTGTTCGCAATTTTAAATGTATTTTTTTTTTTTGAAAAAATTCTTAAATTTATTTTTAGAAAATGGATTTATTTTATTCAATTTCCTTTTAACCATCTTTACATTTCGGTATTCACTCGCATTTGTTAATAAACTATTTCTTTCTATCAGAAATTGTTATGTTAAAGCTGTTTAGAAAAATAAAAAGTTAGTCATTATTTTTTTATTAGTTTGTTGTTACTTTTAATTTTGTTGCACAGAATGTATTTATTTGTTTAAGAAAATATGGGGAAATAAAAAATTGGAACTGAAATAATTTATTTATAAAAAATGGAATGTATGTTCAAAAAGTGCTTTAAAATATTTTTCTATTTTTCATTCCATTTCCTTTTACCGAAACGAAACAGAAGAAGCAAAAAAAAATAAAAACATTAAGCATTTTTAATCCTTTAAGCCAATAATAAAAAAATTTATAGAAATCTATTCAGAACAGCTTTATCAAATCACTTTCAGCTACGCAATATTTTCGCTAAGAGTTAAATATTTGTTCATATGTTGTTATTAAACATTAACAGCATTTATTAACTAAAATTAAGCATTGCATAAAATTTCTTTTTAGTAGCATTTCTGAAAACAGAAGGCTTAATAAGTCTAATATTTTACCAGAATTGCTCAAAAATATATTTTCTTGTGTGTCACTACAATGTAGTTACTTTTCTACGTAGAATTGTTTTTTGAAATTCTTTTTTTACAAAATAAGGACACATTGGACGAAAAAAATGTGCCGAGAATAATAATAACATTTAATTAATTCATCAAAAACTGAAGCATAGCTTAGATTTAATTAGTTACATATAGAGATGAAAATTCAAGTAATTATCAAATCGGCAAGTATGAAAACCCCTGTTTCGAAAAAGCTCCCTCTAAATTAGGTTAATGCATGTTCTAGCTACACGCTTCTTTAATAATACTCTGCGTTAAAGTACTTTTTGTCTTTATCATTTTTTTTGTGAATTTCAACTTACTTTTTTAGAAAAAAAATTTTTTTAATATCCATGCTTGGTATTTATCACTTCTATGTATTCCATTTGTCTCTATAGGAAAATATTCTCCAATATGTATGAGTTTAACATTTCTAGGCGCTTCACTAGTGCTTTAAGGAAAACATTTTTCAATATGCATACATGGTATTTATGCGTTTCGATGCGTTTAACTCGATCTTTTACGTTCAATTTAGAATACGTATAACTTTACTCCTAGAAAAATGTTCTCGAATATGCATACGTGATATTTGTCATTTCTATGTATTTCACTAGTGCTTCTAGCAAATTATTCCATAGTATGAATACGTGGTATCAGTCATTTCTATTTGCTTATTTAGTCCCTTTTGGAAAAGGTTTTCTATTATGCCTATGTAGGATTTAACATTTCTAAGAGTTACACATTTAAGAAAACATTTTCGATAATGCTACGTGGTGTTTGTCATTTTTAAGCATTTTACTAGATCCTTTGCGTTTAAATTTGAAGAGTTTAACAAAACTTTTAGGAAAATATTTTCTAATATGAATACATGGTATTTTTTATTCCTAAGCGTTTAACTAGATCCTTTGCGTTTAATTCAGAATTTATTTAAGTTAACTTTTAGGAAAATATTCTTAAATTTGCATGCTTGATGTTTGTCATTTCTGTGCATTTAACAAATCCCTTAATAAAAACATTTTTGAGCATGCATATGTGGTATTTATCTTTTCTAAGCGTTTCACTAATGTTTTTAAGGAAAAATTCTTCAACATTCCTACTTGGTATCACCAAAAAACAAAATAACAACATTTTAAAAAATTCACATTGGTTTTCCTTTAACCACAATTTTATTTTAAAAAACCAAATATTCTGACGCAACATTTCTTACCGTTTCAAAATGCACTTTCACCAATATTTCCATTCCGTTTGTTTTAGATGAGCTGTCTTTTAAATAGTGTCCTTCCCCACTCACATCCAACATGCCAGATTTAATTTTGAGAGATAACTTTCCACTAATGTCTAAGAAATCTTTTACTTGGGCAGCATTTTCAACCATCCTGTATTGAGAGTCAGTAAAATAATGTTCTATTTTCTAAAAGAAAAATTAAGATTTTAATTTTACTGTTATTTAATTATGATACTTTGTTAAATATATGTAACTAAATAAATATTTCAGGAAATTCTTACAGCTATTACGTACTTCATTATTTTTAAAAAAAATTTTAATACAATACTTCTTTCTGAAATTTAAAATAAATGTTTTCATTAAAATAGTTTATTTAACACTAGATTGCCCAAGGAAGTCATTTTGACTGCCTTTTAACTGCTTTTCATTTGCAAAAAAAGTACAAATAATAGAGCAGGAATTATTTTTCTTCCAAGTGAAGTAATTTTTTTATTGCTAATATTTACTAGTAACTTGTTATATAACTGTAAATAATATAAAAACTATTAAAAATTAATTAAGCAAATTTCTTTACACATTAGTTATTCTTTCACAATGCAGTCATTTTTACTGCTTTTGGGCAATATAAGTATATACTAAGTTTCAGTCTTTCTAGTGTTAAGAACATGAATTATTTTCCTTCTTCTTTAAAGAATAAAAATTCTCTTAAAATTATATTTATATTTCATAACTTGAAAAAAACACAAATGGAACAAAATAAACATTTCCAAGAAAATAATGAGAAGCAATCAAGTCACAGCTCTTATTTCATAAAACATTTCTCTGAGAATTTTATAAACCCATATTTTACCTTCAAACATACCTTTTTTATGTTATACTATCTTATACTAGCTCATATGATTTCCTTACGATGCTTAAAAATAAATACAAAAGCTTAATAATATAAATAAATTCTAAAATAAATGTAAAGAAAGGCAATACTTACAAATTAGTAGTTTCTAAAATTATAAAAACATATTCAAAGCCTAATGAATATAAAGATTTAATTTTTTTCTATGATTTATATCAAACAATTTTATCATTTAAACTTACATGAAATTAGGAATACTTTGTTTGTATATACGTAAAAACAATAATTAGTTGTGTCATTAAGAATAATTTAATTTAATGAAGACCTTTCAAATAACAGTGCTATGGCAGAAACATGAGTAAAATATGGTTAAGAGAGAGGTTGTTGCATTTTAGTTGTCAAAAGAGTTTTTGTTTCAAAATGTAGGCTTTAAATCACTCAACGATTTTCAGTAAACAAAATAAAATGGAAGAGTTATAAGCTACACTTTTTCCGAAATTGACATATTTAGATCAAACTTCTCCTTAGTATTGTTTTCAAGATAAGTACTTTACAAAACTCTGAAATTTCTTCTATACAACAACAAAATACTCAGAAATATTTTCGTGCGTGCTTGGAAATTGTAATAGTTTTCAATATTTGAATTGTGCTTTCTTTTTTTTTAACTTACTTGCATAGTAAAACTTCGATATTTGTTTGTGGAAAATATAATTATGAACTACGGAAATTTGTGCATTGCAATAAAAATATTTAAAATAAAAGCGTAAAGGCTTAAAGGGAGTAGTTCTTGTTATGATAGTTGCTTAATATTTAAAAGTTTATGGCAGCATAAAATCTTAACCGTAATATAAACCATTAGAATTATGCACGGAGAAAAAATGCTGACAAAATTACCGTACAACATGGTAATAACATTTCTGGTAAAAAAAATTAACTAGGATTCTGGTATTAAGGGCTAAAATATACGGTATTTATACCATTCATTTATTAATTTTTCGGTGTATATGGTAACGGTTTATCTAAAATTCTGGTTTTCAAAATTATCGTTTTTATTACCAAACATTTAATAAAAAATGCAAAACTGAAAATAAATTTAACCGATTAAACAAAAGTAAATTATACCGAATGAAAGGTATGAAGTATCATAATGAAATTATCAAATTTTACCACATTTACTGATTTTTATCACATAATATAAAATCATATTTCATTGTTAATTTCGTCAAAGTGCCTCGGTAAAAATTACCAATCATTTTAGTGGTCCCGTAGAGACAGAAACACAGTAATTTTTACCATATTCTGGTAGTTTCGACAATACTTTTTTCCCAGTGTGGAGTTGCTTAAAATTTAAAAAGCGCGGCTCAGAATAATTTGAAAAATGCGACTTGTTATTACATTGTTCCAATCTTTCCCATAAAAATTATAGATTCAAATATAATACATACCACAGCATCTTCCTCAACATCAGAAGGAAATATTTGTAGGCCTGGTCTCTCTTTTCCTAAATCATAAGATTGTCCCAATAACATCGGGATGACGTACATCATTATTGTAGTAGACATTTTTTCAGATCAAAATGAAAATCTTCTTTCTGAAATAAATTTAATTTATGCCGTTTATTCTGACTCTTACTAAATCTAAAAATATAATCAATTATATTTAATTTTTATTGAAAAAACTTTGTTTTTTTTCAACTTTAATATTATAAAGTACATAAAAAATTTGTAAGGTATAATGAAAAAAATAATTTAAAGTATTCTAAAATTTTCTTTCATAAATCTTTGAAGAAAATTTTGAGATGCTCTTTAAAGGCATTTTTATGAGCAGAATGTTCGCAAATGACTCTTTTAAAACATTTTTACAGAAGGTTTGTATACTTTTAGAAAAACATACAAATTATATATCGCAATTTAGTATGTAAGTGACACTAAAATACAATTATCTAACTTCAACGAAATATCATTAAGATTTATCGATGCAAAAGAGGAAAGAGGTACTAAAAACGTTTTGGAAGATACATACTGGGAATGTGTATAAATTAACTTTTTTATAATAAGTGCAGGTTTTGGGGGATTTGGCAATTTACTGTCTTTGGACTTACAGTGCAAACTTCGAAGAAAAAGGAAACCACAAAGCTAGCCAAAAAAAATATGATAGCACGACTTTTTAATGATTTTAAATCATTAGAAAAGTGTTTTGTGGAGTATTTTAATATTGTAACGAATTAAAAAAGTCTTACATGAAAATAAATTTAATAATTCAGTTATATATTTATTTTAGTTTTGCGAATTTTACTATATTAGTACTTTTCTGCAAATTTGTGATCTTGTACAGTGCTAAAAATTCCGAGTCACGTTGCACCAAAAATTGGTATTTGCTTGCTGGCTACATAAAAGGGAGCTCAATTTTTCTATATTTTGGTATTTTCAGTAACTCCAAATATCAGTAGAAGGTTACACCAAAAGTAGGTGTTTTGAAGAAAAAAAGCACCTATTTTCATTCTTTCTTTTTTTATATATAAAAGCAGAGGAAGGTTGCACCATTGTTTGTTATTTTTAAAGCACTAAAGTTCAGGCCAAGGTAGCTGTTTATCATAGCACAACTATTTACATTAAGTAGGTTATTTTATGACATACCTCTAACCATGTTAAACCGCCAACCAAATTTAAAACGGCAGCATAAATGAAATAAACTTTAACTACTGCAAATAAAACATTTACCTACCTTATAAGTTGATACTTGAAACTACATGCATTAGTCATCCCGATACACCGAGACCGAGTTGTAAAGTAAGCATGGCGTCGTAAACAAATATCGTTCTGTTTAAACCACCGACAAAGTTTTGTGCCTTTTACCAAAGTTTGGTGCAGTTAGTTACACCATGGAAGCATTTCTCGATCATATTTCACAATTTATGGTGTAACTAAAATAAAATGATGTTTCATTTAACTAAACTTTAGAGAGAAACTTTGCACCATATACTGGTTAAAAATTTACTGAGAGTTTTTTTTTTTTTTTTGCAGTGCTCTACAAAGCACTTTGTACGAAGAAAGTATTTTCATTGTATTAAAAAAGTAACATTATACTTTTTCTGATTGCTTAAAAATATCCCACTATTTTAATTGCTAAATACTTGTAACAAATTTAACTACCTGCATATTTGTCAATTAAAAATCTTTTTTACTTTGAAAAATTCAAAAAACTATTTTAATAATAATATATTTCTTAAAAACAACCTTATATGAAATTTGACATTAATTTTAGGTATATTTTTTTTTTACTTTTCCGCCATGTTTATAATATATTTGCAAATATCATTGAAAAAATATCTTGCTGAAAGAATTTCTTTTAAAACACATTGAAAGTGTACTTACCGATTCTTTGTCATAAATTATGCACTATTAAAAAAATTTGGATAAAATTAATTTATTAAATTAAATTTTAGCTTAGACATTGTTTTCTTTTAAAAACTTAATCATCAGATTCATAAGTTAAAAAAACTTAACTGGCATAGATATCAGCAGTGTTCAACGCCAAATTTATCTTTACATCATCTGAAAAGTAACAGATGTGTATAAAATACGATTAACACTCTTTTCTCTTTTTAAGTAGAATAGGTAACCTTTTTACTTGAAAATATTTTTATCAACCCAAAAGTTAAAGAATTTTAGAATGTTATAGTGCGCAAAATAAATTGCATGAAACGAATATTTGTTATTAAGTTTTTTTAAGTGGTACATTATTCAAAAAAAATTTTTGAGGAAAATGAAATTTACCGTTTACCGTTAAGAGGGAATTGAAATCTTAAATTAATAAAATATTTCTCTAGTATACAACGAGGACAGAAAATCGATTATGTCTTTACAATATTGGTGATTCTTATTTTAATTGTTGGTCTTCAAGTCACGATGCTTTATTAATTTTAAAAAAAAATCTTTAATATACATTGAGTATCTAAAATAATTATTTCATCATAAAATTGATGATCCTTGGTGCAATTAAATTAAAATTCTTAAATATTTAATCCTTGAATTTTCTGCGATGTACAACGAGGACAGAAAATCGATTATGTATTTACAATGGTTATTATTGAATTATAATTCTTAAAAAAACGAACTTTAATATACATTGAGGACCATGTCATTAAAACTTATTGATAAAAAATTGACTAATTAAAAATTGGATTAAAATTATTCTATGATTGAAATTTTGAAAGCATTCGAATTGATATGTATTTGAAAAATTAATAGTTAGAAAAATTATCTGTGATTAGATTGATAATTTTATGAGAATTTGAAATTTTCACAGGGAAACGGCATTCCGTTTTCTGTATCCATTCAGTTTTCTGTATTACATGCATAGGTAATTATGCTTAAAATTTAGACAATAATTCTAATTGCATTTAGAATAACTACCAATGCTATTTATGAAATCAAGATTCTCTCTATATTAAAAAAATCTTAAGCATCACCAACGCTGTTTTAAATGTTTAACTTTTACATTTTTTTTGAGTAACATATTTGAAGATTTCATCGTTTAAAAGGAGCATTTTTGTTGGAGATTCAATACTTTAATTTTTAAAACTAGCATATTGCTGAAAATGTATTACTGAGAATAATATAAAAAACGATCAATTTCCCTCATAAAATTAAGAACTGACGGAAATGTTTTAAAAGTTTTTCAAGGTTAGTTTTAAACTAGGGTTTATTTTTCTCTTTTTTTCTCAGTGAGATACAGAAATTATTTTTGAAAAAGGCAAAAAAGTATGTACGAAACTCTTCGCACTGTTGTTGTGAAAATAGAAAATATTTGAATTTAATTTTTAATTGCACTGATTAATTAATTTAGTTATTTTCATTAGTTTTTGTTCCAGAAATGTAAAAAATTAGTTAGCATAAATTAACACTACTGACAACAACTGCGCTAATTACTAGAAATCAAAGGCAGAAGATTTTAAATCCAGTATTTTTGCCGCTGCAAAAATAACCCAGATTAGTCGGGAAGTTATCAGTTTTGATTCAGATAGAGGGAAACCAGCGATTTTCAATTCTGATAGGTTATGTAAATGAATAAAATTTAATTTTTTAAAAGGCCTGAAAAACTGGATAGGTTGTTAGCAATTTTGCAGCAAACGGGTTAAAAAACGGCATAGTAGTAACAAGTTCACGGTAAGGATTAGAAGAAGATAGGAATTTTGGTTAATTAAGTGTAAATCCACATCATTATTCATTGACGTCTCTCCTGTTTTGACAATGGGTGCCTATTTTTAAGCGCTCGAAACATACATACTTTCATTATCATCATCATGTTTTTTGAAGAAATAAAGTTTTATATCAAGTGTCTCTTTCCGCTTCAGTTTCTTGGGATTCTTCATTTAATGAAGGTTAATATTTAATGGAGTACAACGAAAAAAATATATATAATATGGTATAAATTTCCTTTTCCAAATAAATCTCTGCTCCACAACGAGAACAAATAACTGTGAAGCAATTTTATTTTATTTTATGGCCGTCGTTGTAAAGCCGAAACAATTTTAATTTGAAGCAAATTTGCAGTTAGGAATCCAAGAAGCTATCAGAGAGTCGAATCTGCTAAAACTCGAAACTAAAAAAAAATATACCATTCAGCTGAATAAAAGATGTTTTTGAACTGAAAATCTCGCAATTTTCCCGAACATCACGTTCCTTCTTTCATCATATGTTTCAATGTTAATATCATTTTTTTTATTTTACTTTATTATAATTTCTAAATATTACTTTAAATGATAGAAACATTTTTATTGCTATCATCAACATCATCATCAGTAACACGGCAGTCCAGTGACTATTGGCTAAGGCTTTACTTTGAAGAGATTTCTAAGGAATCCTCTGGAGTATAATGAGCTTCCAGTTCTTAACTTCTCTCTCAACTGCACCAACCAGGGACGTTTTCTTTCTGTTTGTCCCTATGGCTTTGTCAAAACGAGCCTTTTATATGTCGTTATGAAAACATGAGCATCAAAATTTAATTTATTTATCTTGATAAATTTTAAAGTATCTGGTTTCTTAAAGCATTTATAAATTTCCACAATATCTGGTCTTTTCCTACAATCATGTTCATTCTTCCTTTTAAAATGGCTCTTAAAATTTTCAGCTAAAACTATTAAAATAGGATGTGCTTGTCAATGTCCATATCTCAAACCATAGACCGAAGCAAGTTATATTAGGTTTTTATATAATGAGAATTTAGTTTTTCTGCAAATTAATTATGATTCAAAAAGAAAACCACCAAGTTAAAGGCTTTATTTTCAGACAGGGTTATGTTTTTGTTAAAGATAAAATAGTATTTTGGCAATTAAATTGTAATTTCAAATATTTAAAACTAAGAGCAAAAGAGAAAGCGCGAAAGAAAATATCATATGATCTGACAAATATTTTTTAAGGAAAGCGTAATAAATATTACCATTATATTATACTATACATTTAGTATTATTTCTAAATATTATATTACATTAAATAATAACCTATTTGATTAATTACAAATACTATTGTAGAAACGAAGTATCAATAACAACAATAAATTTTTTATTATAATGACTATACTCATATTTTCAGTTTTTATTTCTTTATTCTCGTTATTTTTTTCGTGCTTATCTTTTATCTTCGATAAAATAAAAAAAAGGGGTGATAAAGGTATTTATTAAGAAAATGTCCGTATCTTTCCTAATCTATGTGTTAATAAACCCAAAAATTAAGAGCTTAAGTTAATAATGGTGAATTTACAGCTTAGTGGGGTGAATTTTTAAGTTCTTAACCGATTATCTTTTCATAAAGTATTACACTGAATTCTTATAAAATATTAAATTAGTTTTTAAATTAGGGGTTAAAAACAAAAGAAAACTATCTTATTACAAAGTTTTACAGCGTAAAGCTCATTTCTCTTTAATGATTTCACTTTTTAGGATCCCATAATGTGACAAAATATATCATAAAAACCTAATAGTTTAATGACTATCCATAATTATGTAACAAGCGAGATTCCTCAGTGAATTATAAATAATCCAAACTTACTAAACAATCATTATTTAATTTCTTGGTGAAAAGCAAAATAATAAGCTTCAATTACAATGAATATATTATTACCATAAGAACCACACATAAAAATAAATAAAATCGTTTCTATCGAATGTTTATATACTAGTAGCTGCATGTAAGAATCTTATTTACGATGTTTTTATCGACTGGCTTTCATGTATTTGTAAATAAAATCTTGCTATTAAAATTTCGACCACTCACCGACTAGCTAAAATATTAAAATTTCAACTGAATTCAACTGAAAGTTCATGCCTGGTGGTAATATAAGTTACACTTACTTTCTAAGTGGTACAAGCATAAATTTGACTGCTTTCCGACATAAGTGAACTAACGATAATAAAAAAACTAGAAAAAAGACACAATAAGATAAAATAAAGAATTTAAAAAGCTATGTCTGGCAAAAAGACTAAAAAAGAAAAAAAAAATGCTGAAAAACGAAGAATGCGTCCCTTTTGTAATAAAACACTTTAGATTATTACACTTTATTACTTCAGAAACTTATGCGTTTTACTTTATTTGTTTTTTGGCTGATAAAAATAAAATTATTTTCTCCTTTTTAGTTTACTTTTAAAACTTAGTTTTTACAATTTTAATTTTACTTTTTAACCTCTATAATCAATTTTTTCACTTAACTATTGCATTGAATGTTACTTTGAATGCATTTGATTTTGCATTGAATGTTACAGCTACAGAGAAGTATATAAAGAGTTTCTACTCTATCCTTCTACAGCAAAGAAAAGACAACGTGTTTTTTTATCGATGCGTGCCAAAATGCCGACACTCTGGCCGTTACGTTTTTAGCGTTGCGCTTCAGCAAAAAGCTTAGCATCAATTAGATTAATGAATTTATGAGTTTATCGTTCTCTTTTATTATTTTCTTTCTTTCTGAATTTATATAACTCTTTATAATCGTGATAACATTTCCTTTATTTACTTCGATAAAATAGTTAGATGCCAATTCGTTAAGGATTTCGTTTATTAATAAAAGTAAAATAAAGCATTCCCGCTACAGGCCAGGAGAGTCATGATGGTAAGGGCTCCACAATTTCGTGACCTACGACATTGTGGTCAGCACTGTGCCGTCGATCTGAAACTGGGTGGAATTCCCAACTGAGGATCGAACCCCCGTTCTTCACAATGACAGTTCAGTGCTTTAACGAACAAATGTTCTTATTTATTTTATTTTATTACCATTGATAGACTGCATAGCTATACTAATGTGAATTTGAGACCCTATCATTCATCATCAATATTGTTATTTTGAACCAGACTCAGTTATTAAGAATCGGGACTAATTCCTGCTCATGGCGAATTATCCGAATAATACTAACTCGCATTTTACTTTCATGGGGAGATAAACATCTAAATTTTTCAGAGTTTTCCCTGACATCAATAGAACTCTGCTCCATGATTCATCTACCACTGTAAAACCAGCGAAATGCAATAAATAAAATTCACAATTATATTTAAAAAATGTCCATCGTTGTTCTTTTTAACGCGATATTCACCTTCGATTTCAGCATATTTTGCCATTATATATTTGCCATTATATTTTTCTATTTAAATAAGCTCAACGGATAAAACACTAAAACCCGTTGGGGGTCCGTAAATTTTAAAGCTTATTTTCTTGTTATGAATTAGTGCCTCACTGAGATGACCACTAACATCGACCTACATGTTTATATTAATCATGCATATGATCAGGTGTCACTTTTCAATTCGCATTTTCGTGAGTTTAGCTCTATTTTTCAAGATGACAGCAGAAAAATTCACCACTGAAAGAATATGTGATCGGCTTTATGAGTACTGCCACACCATATTACCTCTCGATTGTTCTTCAAAATCACGTAACTTGAAACCTATAAAAAAATATGTGGGATATGTTTGAAATGAGGGAGAAATGACGAAATCATCAATCCGGCAGTTTACTGCAATTGTGAGATAAAATCCGCAACGTGAGGCTTGAACTAGATGCGTCATACCAGAAAATTTTGTAGACTTATTCTCTGACCTAATCGGCTTGGTTGCTAAGAACAGAGTTACGCAGTTTTTAATTGTGGTTTTTATGATTTCTATAAAGGTGGCTAATTCTTTATACGGTGAGCTTTTCCAAATGATTTACAATTTTCAGCGGGACTGTGAGCTTGTCTAAATGATTTACACATTTAGCGGGACAGTGAGCTTGTCTAAATGATTTACAGTTTTTAGCGGGGCAGTGAGCTTGTCTAAATAATTTACCAGATTTGAGCGGAATAGTGAGCTTGTCTAAATTATTTACAATTTTTAGTGGCACAGTGAGCTTGTCTAAATGATTTACACATTTAGAGGGACAGAGAGCTTGTCTAAATGATTTACAATTTTTAGCGGGACAGTGAGCTTTTCTAAATGATTTACACATTTAGCGGGACAGAGAGCTTGTCTAAATGATTTACAATTTTTAGCGGGACAGTGGGCTTGTCTAAATGATTTACCTAATTTGAGCCGAATAGTGAACTTGTCTAAATGATTTACAATTTTTAGCGGTACAATCGATTGAAATAAATTTTTGTCAAACTGAAATTTATATCAATAAATTTTATTTAGAACAGACAACGCAAGGTATAAATCCAAGACTTCCATCTGCTTGTTTTACAACAGCGAAATTGAGACTTTGGTCGTGAATACCCATGTAATTGTCTTGATTAGACTCTAACGTGAGGTCGACACATACAGTCTCTGACCTCTCTAAATCTGTTGCGGCCATCATGTACCCGGAATATTGCGTTTTCCAGCCACCTTTTTCAGGACATTCTTCCTCGCCTGTAGAAAAGAATCCATTAATAAATTTTGGATGCAACTTAAAAGGAATAGCTTCTTAAGACTCTATATGCATAATAATATTCATAACGCGTTTCAGAAACAATCTGCTTTTCTTCGTCAGGTGTGTTAAAATGACAGTGACAGAAGAATAGATGATGGTAGAAGAATTGAAGGCGGAAATTGATCTAACACAAGGAAGGAAGGAGAGGTGATGAAACAGAGGGCAAAAACATGACAATAATAGTAGGGAAAGAGGGGTAAATGAAACTTAAGCTCGTTTTTTCCAAAAATTACTGGGTGAAGAATGAAAACGAAGTAGAAGTCGTAGCTCATCATTTAATTTATCAAAACCTTTAACCATTATCAAAAATCTCAGTATAAACATTTGTGGAATCTTTAAATGAATTGAATGAAAATGAAAGATATCATTGAACCCGCAAATAAAAAAACGCTATTTTGGAATTGTATCATAATTAAGATCTATAAAGTTTCAATTACAATTCATGTCAATGATTTAGGTAGTTTTATGTTCAAATTTTTTTTTCCTCAAATGCCCACCTGTGTTAACATCCGTCAATTCATGCATATACAGGAAGAATTTCTTGGCCTTTCTTTCAGAGGCACCATATTAGGTAGGCCAACGTCGCTCCCACAGTGAGAACAGATAGTACAGAGAAGGAAAGAACATCCATGTCTTGCCCGGGATTCGAAAACAGAACATTTCTGATGCAAGGACAGTCCCCTGCCCCCTACACAGGGCGATCGGCTTTATGTCTTAAATAACTAAACTAAATAATATAAAGGTCTATAATATAGGATTCGCAGCAAAAGTGTGATGGATCACGAACATCGAGAATCACACAAGCATAGTATACAAGAATCACATTCATCAGATGATGACTAACATAGGAAACACGAGAGACCATTCTATGCTTTTTAAACGGAAATAAATACGATTGATCTTAGAGACTAAATTTACTCCAGGGTGTAATGCTTTTTATTTATACTGTAGTCTACTATTCTGCTCCTGCAGGGTTTTTTCTCATGTGCGACGAGTTCTATCCTGCGTCTTATTCTATAGACTTTGCGTTATTAAATGTCATGCGTTCTCAAATTTCCATCTTCATCACGTGCACCCCTTTATTAGAAGGATAACTTGGCAGGAATGATAAGAAACAAAGATAATAAAATTGACAAGTTAACCCAACTAACTAGTAAAAATTCAGTTGAAAGAATATCGTTAAAGAAATTGGCGACTAAAGAGCTATCAATAAAAAAATAAGTGTTTGCAAATATTCCAAAATGATGGAGCAGCAGTTATGTGGAGCAATTATGCAATGATTTACCGTAATTTTTAAATTCTTAGCTGTTTCAACAATCCTTTTTTTCCACTGGTTGGCAAACTTTTCGATTTCTATCTCCCATGTTTTTACCATCCTGAGTTCTGACGGTGAAATTGCACCGAAACGAGTTTTAATAAATATATTAGGGAGATTTCGAGAACGCTCCCGCACGTAAGATTTCAAATAATTGTGAATGCGTACTTCCAGTGCGCATGCGTCATTTCTGGTGAAAGGCGCATGTACCCGTGAAAAAATATCAAACTTGCGTAAGTTTAAATAAGAGATTTTGCATAAATCCGTGAATTGAAAACGCTGACGTAATGGAATATCATTTTAACTTTAACCACAAAATCAAAACAAGCATTTACAATGGACGTAGATTATCTCTTTAAAACTGTGGCATACGATTCAAAATACTTTATTCTACGACGTAAAACTGCTATTGTGTGAGCAGAAAAATTTGGTAGATTATAAATATTGATAAATTCATCGATAAAGGATACAGCTTATTATTATTTTTGATAGTAGCAGTTGTAGTATTTTTTAAAAATATTATTGATCTTCTTTTGATTATTTAACTTCTTTTAATTCAATTGTATAGTTAAAATATATAAATATAATTTATAACTTTAAAATAGCGAAACTATATCTAGTTTCTTATGGAACTAATGCAATTAGACAACCATAATTTCAAGCAGAAGCCATTAAAATTATTTTTTATTGAATGAACCAATTGTTGCGAAATCACACGAATTTCTGAATTTCATCATTCCATCATTTCTTCAAATTCGCATTAGATGTCAATGTTTTTAATTCGAAGGTAGGCCTAAACAGAAAACAACATTTAAGAACTATATACAGCGTGCTTGTAGCTTTGTCTTTGTAGTGTAAATCACGCCAACATAACGTAAAGATACTGAGCAGCTAAAATAAACGCTAGCATGCGCAGTTGCTTCAAACCTGAAGTACGAGACATTATTGAAGCTAACGCAAAGGTGCGAAATCTCCTTAATATTTGTGATTTTAACTTTATCTTCAATTATTCACCATCAATCTGTTTTTAATATTTAAAATACCATAATATGAGACATTTACCTGGAAAAGTAACTAAAGCCTGTCTCTCTACCAAACATACAGCGCACTTGACACCTCGTAAAACTGATTTTATGTCAATTAAACTTTTAGGCTTTGTTTCCAATAGGCCATATTTGACACCAGCAATCAAACTGAGGTTGCCAACTTTGGGATCATCTCCTGAAATTTTTGTTACCGGTTTTTGCGGCATACAAAGATAATTGAAACCTCCTCCGAGTTGGTTGCGAGGGGAAGAGGCTACATATCCTGGGTGAATAGTGACAGTTTTTTTGTCACCAGTGCAATTGCTTGAACCAAAATGCACATATGTGGAAGAATATTTATCTGAATAATCTGATTCTGTAATGAGAAAGAAATTATTAAATTTGTTATACACAGATGAATGTTTGATAAGGATAGAAACGGATATGTATAATAGAGAAATACATAGGATAAGGACGCATGCAAAAAGTACTTTCTGAGGTTGCAACTAACGACAACAAACTTGACCCTCACCCCTAAATTTACTCATATCCGCTAAAGAAAATTGAGGAAACAGTTGACTCAACTTTGAGTTAACGACTAACAATGTTCAACTCTGTAATTTTGAACCCAATATCCAGAAGACAAGGGAATTCCTGGATCTAGTACTGGAAAAATATGCCTACAGGGAGGACTTTTTTATGGAACTAACCCTCATTTGAGTTTCATGAGGATTAAAATCACGAAAATATCCCGCTGTTAATCTGGTGGCAAAGGGACTCTAACCCATGATCCGTCTACCACTGAAGATATCTTACGTCAGAACTGTGTGCGGAATTCGTATGGACCAGCCACGGCTGGTCCTCGAACTCATTGGAAGACAAATGATCCATCCTCTAAGCCGTCGTGACAAGTATTTCTTTTTTATTTGAAGAATACAAATCTGTAATGAAAGAAAAAATGGTCCAAGTTTAAGATTTTAAAGTTGCCCATATTTCATGCGAGCATTTTTAGATTCTTAATTCGATTATGATCTCGAGATATTTTACTTTTCGAACTCTCTGCAGAAAATATACACTGATTCGAACTCCAGTTCAACCTGAGAGTGAGCAATTAGCCCTCTCAGCTACAGTATATACACCGTTTCATGGAACAAAATGACTTTAAAAAGTGTGCTTAGTTGGCATGGATAAAATACTGGCTGTTTACCCGTATTAGAAAAAGTAATCACTTAACGTTTTATCTCACACTTAATAGTTTGAATATCATCGTTTTTATAATTATTTAAACGTTTTCGTTGAATATGGTAAAATAACAATTATATAAATCGCTATTTAACCAAATTTGACGAGAAATTTTCTAACAGTTCAGTGTAACTAAGATATGTTAGAATCTGTAAAATATTCAGTTACGCTTTATGGCCTCTTATTTGGAAAAAGAAATTTTTACCAGAATTTTTGTCTCACTTAGCTATGGAATGAATCATGAAATTTGTGATTAAAATATTGTGCATGGTTTTAATTATACAAAATATTTTTATGGTATTCAAATATACTAGTTTATAAATAAAGCAATCATTGAAAATAGTTGTTAATAATGTAAATACAATTAAAAGGGTATTTGGAAAAAAGATAACGCTCCATCTAAAAAGCTTTACCTCTTGAGTACCAGTAGAAAAATTTTTATAAGGAGAAAATGAACTAGACTAAATGCTTACTGTATCAAAACTTACTCGTAGTAATCTATAAAAAGAAAAGAAAAATATCTAATTATATAAGAATTTAATACAACAGTGTTTAAATCATTGATATTTCATTAAAATTGTAAAACAAATTGTCAAAATGCGAACTAACTAACAGTGGTTAATCTAGCCAAGCGAATGTTTCTTTAAACTTTTACGAATTAATTACACAAACTAATAGCATAATTTTTGCTTGGCATATAGATTTCAATTACCATGCAAACATTTAACCTTAATATCATTCTAAAAAAATAATATTGATCTTTTAAAAAATCAATCCAGAGTATAAAAAACATCAGAATGATATGAATGAAACTATCGGTATTGTATTCAACCATCAGGATGAGATCATATAGCAGATCTGGGATTGTAAAGAAATGTCCTTCAACTATTTTGTTGAAAATTAATACTCGATATCACATTCAATTCTTAAAAAAATCATATATAACCAATCTTTAGTTATCTCTATTAAAAAGTCTATCTATTTATCACATTAATAAGGATGATGATGAAATTAACATAACATCAAAATTTATAAAAACCTGCTAAAAAAAGTAGCAAAGTTAGAAAAATGTGACATTTAACTTCAATAAATAGTTTATAAACATAATCTATGTTGCCAACACACATATTCAGTTTCTGTTTTAGTCTTTTTGAAATACGTAAATGTAACAGATATTTTTGAGTATATTTATTGTATTCATATGGTTAAAAGATAAATTATTTTATAACATAGTTCATCTACTAAACCTACTTTGAAAGCTTAAAACCTTAGAATACTTACTTTTTGGAGTAATTTGTTCACTTCTCTCCTGAATTTGCCAGGCATGTCGTTTTTAGAATTTTCTTTGAATGCTGCGTTTGCATCATCGAGTTGAGAAGAACCTTTCTCTAAATCAAGGTTAGCTATTGTGGCAATAAACTTTCGTAAAATTTTTGAAATTCTTTCGCTAAATTCAGATATCTGAAAATAAATAAAATCTTTATCATTCACTCTCAGAATTAAGGCCTGTCGCTTAACACTAGATTGCCTAAGGAAGTCATTCTGACTGCTTTTAATTTCAGTTAGAAAAATAATTATGTATGACGCAATTTCTTAGAATTTTCTGCAACATATAATTTTTTTATTGTTAATATTTACTAATAACTTGTTATATAGCTGTAAATAATAAAAAATATAAAAATTAGTTTCAAACAAACTTCTTTACACATTATTTATTCTTTAACAATCCAGTCGTTTTGACTGCTTTTGGGCAATATAGGTATATCCTAAGCTTCAGTCATTCTAGTGTTAAATAACATTACATTAAGTTTTTCAAATTTCGGGGGAAAAAATCCATTTTTTAATTATTTTTTTATCTAAAAATTCAACATGTCAAGAATAAGTTTACATGATAAAAAAAATTCGTCACCCTTCGCCAAATCAAAACTCTAGGGGTAGCATGATTTGGATTTTGAGTGCCTGATTTTGAACATTTGAAACATGCCGACTTTCACAACATTCATAAGTTTTTATAGCAAATTAAATTTTAAGTAATAATGAAAGAGTTACCATAATAAATTAATCATTTTTTTACTTTTGGCTAAAATTTATTCGACTTAAAGTAATAAATATATTTATTACACAACTAAAGCCACCGATTTAAAAAATTACGATATTGAAAATTGTCAAACTGCATAATACATATTTATTTTAACTTAGAAAAAATTTAAAATGTTTCTTACTTCTTTCAACATAGAAGTAACTTATTATTATAACAGTAAGGGTTAATTATCACAATGGCTATTTATGATAGTAGTTGGAATTGTAGTACGTAGTATATAATTTGCATATTATTTGCTAATGTTTTACCTAGATTAACGGAACAGCAAGGTCAACTTTACCTTCTCTTCTTGTTCTTTAGTAAACGGATCAGGAAAGTTTTCCACCCAATTTTTAATTCGGTTTTTAGAACTTAATAGATCATCCAATTTTTCTTCAAAAAACGTCAGTTCTGTTTCTAGTTCTCTACAAGAATATATAAATAGCAAAAATTATTTGTTATAGTTATTTAAAGAAAGTATAAAAAATTAGTTTAAGTCATATTGATAGAAAGGTAAGAAATTAGCACATTAATAACCATGAAATATGAAACGGTAATGAATTATTTAACTTAAAATTATACAAGGTGTTCTGCAATACCTTCTCTTGACTCAGTCAAAATTCGAAATTATAACCAATACACATATGAGATTAAATATTAACATGTTAAAATTATATATAATTAAATATATTATATAGTTATTGAAGTCATCCAGAGCATAAATGACAAATAAAAAAGAGTTTTAAATAAATAATTCTAAAAAACTGAATTAGTTGCTTTATACTTGATTAAAGGTTTAAAAAACATACAAAACGGAAATAACAGTCGACATGTTTCAAGGACACAAAAATTGGCGTCTATTTTCGAGACTGGTAGAACGTAAAAGAGAACAAACAAAATTGATTTGAAAAATAAAACTTAAAGTTGCCAATCAAAAAATGGAAAATGAAGGTGAGAAAAAAAACTTGAAAACCACAGTAGCCGAGAGAGAGAAAAGATGAAAAACAGAACAAGAAAATCCACTGTGGCCAAGAGATACAAATCACAGTAATGTGTATTTTCGCATGCTATGAAGAGGTGGTGAAGAATTAATGTCGTTAACAAGGGAATCAGCATTCATATGAATAAAACAAGATTCAAAAGCATCTAGAAGAGCTAATGTGACTGGGGTGGGGTGAAAATAATTTTGTCACCGTCGAAATTGAATTTATGCCCAAGATTCCAACAATGTGCAGCAATTTATGACTTCTCGTTTTCTTGATAACGGACATATCTATCGTAATTTTAAAGCGTAGTTTATCCTATATAGCCAATCTAGTTTATCCCTATAACCAAGGTCACACTGAGAAGGACATGTCACCCGTTATTTCCATTTTGCATATTTTTGAAGTAAATGATGTTTTTAATCAAGTAGCGAAAGGTTTGTTTTTTGTTTGAGACCGACATCCAGCAAATAATCTATTTCACCTTTGATTGGCTGTTTTAATAATTCATCACATTCCTATTGCACTTAAGCTTGTTTTTCTATCTTAAATATTATTTAACTACTCCTCATATGTATGTTTCTATAACATCATCTTTTTTTTAACAGGGATTTAAAAATATATATTGCAAGGGTGGTGATTACGGAACATCCTGAACTTATGTTATGAAGAATTAGTTGAGTGAAATGTAAGTATTGTATGATTCAAAGTAACTGCTTATCTCTAAATGGTTCATGGGTCCAAAACATAAATTCTTAAAATACATTAGCAAACAATATTTTTAAAAGAATAAAAGTCTTTTTCAAACTGTGCAAAATTTAAGCTTTTGTCTATCTTGCATTTTTATTAATAATTTGTTTATGTGAGGTAGAATAATATTTTAAAGTTTATTTTAAAATTTTATTTATATATTTCCTAATATAACTAAGAATATGTTGAATGTTAAGATCTATTGTGTTTTTTTTTATTATTATTATTAAATTTAGCGCATTTGAGTTCCTACCCTCAACATATGAAGGGTGGCCAAAATCAAGAAAATATGGTATCAATATAGTCGGAAGAGTAGTTTTTATATAACAGTCGTTGAACTGCCGACCCAATTTTTGGGTTTACGACTACTAATGTTCAATTCCGTAGCCTTGTAATTTTGAACCCAATCCAGAAGACAAGGGAACTCCTGGATCAAGTATTGGGAGAAATTTGCCTTCATGGAGGACTTTTTGATGGAACTAACCCGCATTTGCGTTACATGGAGGAAGAGTAGTTGTTACTTAGAGCCTCATAGTGTTGATTCCAGATTTTGTGCATTTCGACATATCTCTAAAACTATTTAAGATAGTTAAAAAGTTCCGCACATAATTTTAAAACTCTTTATCCAAAGATTATTTCATACAAAATACTGTGTTTTAAGATTTCTTAATATAACTATTGCTTAATTTATAAATAGAAGAACGAAAAAATTTTGAATTGTAAAAGTAACAAATTTTTATTCTGTTGTGAACTACATTATTTTAAATTACAAAGTATAAAATTTGAACAAAATCGATCGACTAGTTTTTAAATAATATAAATTTTACTAGGCTGCGGCTTAAAAGTTTTATTTCTCACGAACTGCGACTAATTCCTTTCAAATTTTTCAAAATTACAAAATTTTGTGTGTTTTTAAAGCTAGCGTGCCTTGTCATTCGAAAAAATTTTTAGCATAAACAAATTAAACAATAATAAATAATTATGAGATATTCTTTTTATACGGAGTTATCTTTGGCTAAATAAGTTTCATAATTATGTGGGGAAAAAATTTGGTTAGCGTAAATAATCCCAAAGATGTGACGAATAACTCAAAAAGTGAAATTAACATTAAGATGCCCTAGCTTTTAACCACTTGGTTAGAATAGTTGGATTATATTATAAACCAGATTGCGACTAACCCCTATTTTAAAGGTCAGAAACTCATAACAATCTGAAAAATATAGATTTATGAGGAAAATATGCTTTTGCGCCTGACTTTGTAATTCAGAATATGGCATGAGTATATTAATTAGCATATTTAAGATTATCCCCTCGAAACTTAGCTCGTGACAATTAGATCAAAAGTCATTAAGGTGTTCTTTATATTTATTGAAATTGATATGTTCTCATTTATGACAATTCGTGAAGTTTTATTCAATCTATAAAAAAATATTACGTGTTTTTGAGGTATTCAAAACCTCTATCATAAATCGACAAATCTCCAAGCTCCACTTCCACGGGCACACCATCACCATTGTTGACTTTCTTAACGTGTTCTTCAAAATCTCTCACTAATGCTCGAAGTCCTTTTATATTATTCGCAACACCTTCCAAAGGAACTGTCGCAAAATAATCTATTTCCATCGTCGCTTTCTTTCTAAGTTTCTGATCTAAAGTTTCCAGCTTACCTAAAAAAAATGCAAAATCAATAAATACTTTTATTTTCTATTACTTGTAAAATAATAAGATTTTTTTTATCAAGAACTTTAAGGTCACAAAACTAGCTCTGAATCCAATATTTTTTCAAGCACTTTTTTTTGTTAGTTTGATAATTAATTTTTTTCTCTGAATGATTTGAAACAAAACTAAATTTTTAAACATAATTTTTTTTATATTTAAAAAAGCAATCACTTATTTAAAGTATTATATTTTATATTTTAAAAATTTTCATTCAATAACTAAAAATAACAAATAGAAAAAGTAAAAGATTCTTGCGAGTTTCTATAAAAACCTATTTCTTCTTGTAAGCATTATTGTTTTTATAAAATACTAAAAGGTACGATGATTTCATATAGTACCTTACTCTTCCGAATTTTGGTAATCATTTTAGCCTGATGATATATTTATAAAGTCAGCAATTTTAGGACTCTTTCTTCCAATTTTTAGAGTTTTGACTTAAATAAACTTATCTCGTTGAGGGAAACTCATGAGAAATTTAGGTGTGATATTTATATCTGATGTCCTATTGAAACTCAATCAACAAGTCATTTCAAATGGGATATAAGACCCATTTGTCTACTTTTTTTATCAAAATTAAAGAATAAAAATTGTTTCACATAAAACAAGATTCATGATTCATGTAAGGCATTTTTATAAAAAAAATACGTAAAACTATTTAAATAACTTCTAAAAATACATAAAGCATTTAAAACACTAAAAACATTTATAGCATGATTCTTCATTTTAATCCAAATACCAAAAAAAAATTTAAAACATATCTTTAATAAAAAAAAATTTCATACTACTGTAAAATAAATTGAAAATACATCGTGCTAATTTTGAAAACATTTGATAATTTTGGAAAGTTGAATGATCAATAATTAAAGTCATACCTTCGCCAACTAAATCCAAAGCTCTTCCAGTAGCAATAGATGTTTTTATGGTGGCTCTAATATCCTGTAAATCTTCTGAATTCTTTGCTTTGAATCTAATGCAGGCAATAAGATCTCCACCATATAGAATACTTTTTATGTAATGTTTACCCAGATAAGACTTGTCAAGAGTACGCCATTGAGCAATTGGTTTGGCATCATGGTTCAATGTCTTTGAAATCTTTATAACAAGCATTGGAATATATTGCACAAAAAGTAAAGACAAACATAAAACTTCATGGTATAAACAATATCTTTGTGCATGCTTTTATGTCTTTGAAAGGTGGCAGAGAACTTTTTTTTGATGGATTATATGATTTTTGCAAAGTTCAAATTCGTGTTAGGCAACAGATACACAGAATTGTATAAATTATGTCATTTTGTTCAGGAAACTAGAAATTTTTTCTCACTAAATTTTAAATTTAGTTATAAGTTTAGTCATCAGATGTCGCTGCTGAGTGGTAAAAGCTCGATATTTTAGTTTTTTGTTTGTACAATGCCTACTCCATATTTTCCCTTAATGATTTTTTAATCATTTACCAAAATCGGATATTTATAATTTTTTAAAACTATTCTAAAACAAAGTGAACATAATTCATTTGAAATATTGAAGATTTTTAAATAATTTCTTTTTATTTATTTCATGCCGCGTGTCAGAGTAGTTAAGCTGAAACACGAACATTTGATAATTTTGTTCTCATACTACACTACCTAGCAGATGCAAATGATGATTATTTCGCAATCATTAATTTATAGTTTCTTCAATTCACCATCTGTTGACGAATTTTGAGATTAATTTTAAAACTTGATGGGTTAATCTCTAATATCCCAAAGAGAATACAGTGAAACTTTTTATAGTGTAACTCTCTATATGTTTCTATTTTTCCCATTTTTCTTTAATTAATTTTTCAACTTTTTTTTGCAACCTGCACAAAGTTTTAAACGAAGTTTTTAATTTTTAAACTTTTTCCTGCAAACCATATTTCTTTCTTCTGAATACTCGGAAAATATTCTTTTGATTTTTCTTAGGTTTTTATAAAATTACTGATAATCAATATTCCAGTAAGAAGTCTTATACGAACCCATTTTTAATTTTTTATAAATTATATTTTGTCACTTATTTTAATTATTGCATCAATGAAAAACTTTTAAATTATAAAAATTAAAAAATGCAAGTATCAAAAAATGATTGTCATGATTATAGATAATTAAATAATAACATATTAAGCACAATATCGCAAAAAGAAAATATTATTCGCATGAATAGTTTCTGAGGCATCCATTTGATAAAATTGTTTTATATTTTAACATCGTTTTATATTTTATTTTTTTAATAAATACTATTTTCGACGCGTTTCTACTAATTTCAGAACTTTATAAGAATAAGTACCAGTTTTTCTAAAAGGAACAGAAGAAAAAATACATTTATATATATTTCAGTCTTTTTTCAATTGACTTTTCAAATCATCAGTCCTTCTTGAGACACCGATATGACTCAATTTGGATTCTTCAGAAGTTCTTTGAAAACATTATTATAATTGTATAATCATAAAATTTTAAAGAGTTTTCCCCTTAAAGTTGAATTACACATAATTTTCCCAAATAAATGTGGCATAAATTATAAACGTAGAACAAAATATTGATTTTTTTAATTGATATTTCAAAACTTTATTTGTGATAAGGTTACACAAATATACTTTTTATTTTTCAGAGTTGTGAATATAATAATCCCCAAAAACTTGAAGAAATAATTATAAAAGTAAAAATAAACATTTAGAAGCTACTACACACTACAGTATTAAATAATGTTTCAATATTTATCATATTATTTTGGAAACAAAATACTTTTAATGACTAATTCCTATTTTTGTATGTACAAAATACTTTGTTGACGTTTGCAAATACTTTATTTTAGCAAAGTGATTATTACGGAGTTGCTTTGGTTCAACACAGAAACAAAGCTCGTAATTTCTGTACTAAAGAAACTAAACAAGGCAGAGGGATACTATTTTTCGTAAAAAAATAATTTGTAGTTTAATAGTTTTTGGTAATTTTATAGTTTTGCCACTAGCAACACAGGAGTTTTTGTGAACCATTGCTTTGAAGAATAAATTCTTTTTCTCTAAACTTTCGATTGCTAACAAATCCAGTTAAGTAATAAAAATAAGGAATATCAAGACATTACCTTTAAGTAGCCTGTTATCAATGTGTAATAATTGTTTTCCTTTTCTGTTTTTCGACAGTATTAAAGTTTGGTAAATATAACCTATAATATCAAGCTAGATAGAAAGAATGAAGTCTTATTTTCGAGTAGCAGTTTCAGCAAGAAAAAAAGCAACTCTTTCAATTTAATGAAACGAGGATAATTCAAAGTTCCTGAAAAGGCTGATTGTGAGTTAGAATAAAAATGCTGGCGACAAAAATCACAAAAANGTTTAACTTAAATAAACTAATCTCGTTGAGGGAAACTCATGAGTAATTAAGGTGTGATATTTATATCTCATGTCCTATTGAAACTCAATCAACAAATCATTTCAAATGGGGTATAAGACCGATTTGTCGATTTTTTTTATCGAAATTAAAGAATTAAAATTGTTTCATATAAAACAAGATTCATGATTCATATAACGCATTTTTTTAAAAAATACATAAAACTATTTAAATAACTTCTAAAAATACATAAAGCATTTAGACACTAAAAACATTCATAGCATAATTCTTCATTTTAATCCAAATACCAGAAAAAAATTCAAAAGATATCCCTAAATAAAAAATATTTTTCATACTAATGTAAAATAAATTGAAAATACATCGTGCTAATTTTTAAAACATTTGCTAATTTTTGAAAGTTGAATGATCAATAATTAAAGTCGTACCTTCGCCAACTAAATCCAAAGCTCTTCCAGTAGCAATAGATGTTTTTATGGTGGCTCTAATATCCTGTAAATCTTCTGAATTCTTTGCTTTGAATCTAATGCAGGCAATAAGATCTCCACCATATAGAATACTTTTTATGTAATGTTTACCCAGATAAGACTTGTCAAGAGTACGCCATTGAGCAATTGGTTTGGCATCATGGTTCAATGTCTTTGAAATCTTTATAACAAGCATTGGAATATATTGCACAAAAAGTAAAGACAGACATAAAACTTTATGTTATAAACAATATCTTAGTACATGCTTTTATGTTTTTGAAAATTTGGCAGAGAACTTTTTTTTAATTGATTATATAATTTTTGCAAAGTTGGTTGGTTCTAATGCCACTTGCCACACGGGCAAGCCTGTTTGGTGAAACCGAGCAAATTTAAGGCAGAGTGTGCGATTCTTGTTTTTCAGTGTTGCCATCTATGGTCAAGAATTTGACTTCGCCACACCATACGTCACACCTGTTTATAGGGTGGACCCATTCATACATCCATTCATTCATCCACAGATCGTAATTTTGACCTCAACTAGAGAACGATCGATCTCCAATCCAGTACCCCCAGAGGTTTTGATTTGTTATGGGAACATGGAGAACTTTTCGAATCGACAGAATTTTAACGTGCATCAGTCACCAACTGCACGGTGAGTCTTCGGCCGGCCGGTTCAAACCGATAAACTCTCGGACACGGTCCCAGCTCCCTACCGATCAGGCTATCCCGGCTAAAGTTCAAATTCATGTAAGGCAACAGATACACAGAATTGTACAATTTGTGTCACTTTGTTCAGGGAGCTAGCAAATTTCTCTCACTAAATTTTATATTTAGTTATAAGTTTAGTCAACAGATGCCGCTGCTGAGAGGTAAAAGCTTGATAATTTAGTTTTTTGTTTGTTCAATGCCTACTCCATATTTTTCCTTAATGATTTTTTAATAATTTACCAAAAACAGATATTTATAATTTTTTTTAAACTATTCTAATACAAAGTGAACATAATTTATTTGAAATATTGAAGATTTTTAAATAATTTATTTTTATTTCTTTTATGGCACATGTCATACCAGTTCAGCTGAAACACGAACATTTGATAATTTTGTTCCCACACTACACTACGTAACTGATGCAAATTATGGTTATTTCGCAAGCATTAATTTATAGTTTTATCAACTCACCATCTGTTGACGAATTTTGAGATTAATTTTAAAACTTGATGGGTAGAAACCTCTAATATCCCAAAGAGAATACAGTGAAACTTTTTATAGTGTAACTCTCTATATGTTTCTATTTCTCCCATTTTTCTTTAATTAATTTTTCAACATTTTTTTGCAACCGGTACAAATTTTTAAACAAATTTTTTAATTTTTAAACTTTTTCCTGCAAACCATAATCCTTTCTTATGAATACTAGGAAAATATTCTTTTGATTTTTTTTAGGTTTTTATAACGTTATTGATAACCAATATTTCAGTAAGAACTCTTATACGTACCCATCTTTAATTTTTTTATAAATTATATTTATATTTAATTTTTTTATAAATTATAATTTATATATATAATGATATATATAAATTATATTATATTANTATATTATAAATTATATTATATTATAAATTATATTATATTTAGTCATGATTATAGAATCATGATTATCCTAAAAAGAAAATATTATTCAGATGAATAGTTTCTGAGGTATCTATTTGATGAAATAGTTTTATATTTTAACATCGTTTTACATATTTTTTCAATAAATACTATTTTCGATGTTTTTCTACTAATTTCAGAATTTTATAAGAATAAGTACCAGTTTTTCTAAAAAGAACAGCAGAAAAAATACATTTATATATATTTCAGTCTTTTTTTAATGGACTTTTCAAATCATCAATCCTTTTTGAAACACCGATATGACTCAATTTGGATTCTCTAGAAGTTATTTGGAAAAATTATAATAATTGTATAATCATAAAGGGATACTATTTTCCTTTAAAAATAATTTGTAGTTTAATAGTTTTTTGGTAATTTTAAAGTTTTGTCACTAGCGACACAGGAGTTTTTGTAAACCATTGTTTTGAAAAATAAATACTTTTTCTCTAAACTTTCGATTGTTGTCAAATCCAGTTAAAATAAGGAATATCAAGACATTTCCTTTAAGTAACCTGTTACCAATGTGTAATAATTGCTTTCCTTTTTTGATTTTTGACAGTATTAAAGTTTGGTAAATATAACCTATAATATCAAGCTAGATAGAAAGATTGAAGTCTTGTTTTCGAGTGGCAGTTTCAGCAAGAAAAAAAGCAATTCTTTTAATTTAATGAAACGAAGATAATTCAAAGTTTCTGAAAAGGCTGATTGTGAGTTAGAATAAAAATGTTGGCGACAAACATCACAAAAACAAAACAAACAAACAATACATATATATATATATGCAGTACCCCAGAGGTATTGATTTGTTATGGAAACATGGAGGACTTTGAGACTCGGCAGATTTAACGTGCATCAGTCACCATTTACTACGCGGGGAATCTTCGGCGAGCAGGGATAGAACCCACGACCACTTGGACATGAGCCCAGTGCCCTACCAACCAGGCTATCCCGGCCCTTTATACTTTGCTCCTTTGTTAAAAAGACAAACGAAAAACATGCTCAAAACGATCCAGTTGGCGGTACTTCAAAATATTTCGTTTTAGGCTGTCACCATATACATGTATCACTATATTTTGCAAATATAAAATACATTGTCTAATTACCTACCGTTCGATAACTGACTTTAGTGAGGATATCCACCGAATTTTCAGAACGTATTGCTGATTTGATGTAAGATCCAAATCCGCTGATTGCGAACATTCCAGCTTTAATATTGAGCGACAGATCTCCATTGATTTCTAATGTTTCTTGCACATCAGATGATGTCTCAATAGTTTTATAACTTGATCTATAGAAATTCTCCTGTTTCAGCTATATTAAAACAAACTATTTGTCAGTAGGTTAATAATAATCAATTTTTCAGCAAGCAAGCTTAAAAAAATTTTATTGTTTTAAAAATTGCAATTATCTTTTCTACGTATCTAAACACATTAAAACTAATTCTGTTTATACATATATAAACTAAATTTAACTCAGTGGCACGACAAGCCATGGAGCGCCAAGGCCGAATAGGTCCATCCCAGTTTTCGTGATTTTCAACTCTGGTGTGCAATACCAGATGTTCCATTTGAGTAGTCAGCTGAACTCAGAATCCTCATCGTTTAGCCCCCAAACATGGTTGATACTCATTTTATCGATCCACTAAAGGATTGAAAGGAGTCAACTTGCCCGATCAGAGGATAGAATCTCGAACCTGTAGCACCGGAGCTTTAAGCTACTATTCAGCCACAGGGCTTCTTGGTTATAAAAATGTTTTTAGAAAAACTACTTCAACGTTAGTCTCTACAATCTTTTCCTTGAACTACGTTATGCTGAAAATTTAGTAAAACTTATAGAGGTGTTAAATTGAACCATATTTCTGTTCAAGTTGAACCATAGCATCGCCTAAAAAAATTGTTAGATAAAAATACTTTGATCAAATACTTTATGGGAAATATAATTGTTAAATTTTTAGTGCATTGTTTAATTACTCTGAGCTTTTGAAAAGATTTTTTTTAAATTTGAATTTCCAAAAATTTATGTTGTTTAACATAATGAGTTAAAATTATTTTTCAAAATTTAAACTTTAAATTAAATAAATCAGAAATCTGTAATAGGCAACACATAATATTCTATAATGCGTGTACAAAATTTTATTTTTAATTTGGATTAATTTGCATTTGTAACTTGATTAAACCAACCACATAAACATAGTAAATTTTTTGAAGCATAAATGGTTCAGCAAACTGTTCTCAATGACTTTATGAATTTTATTTTTTGAAATGTACCTATACTAATATACAGTGATACACTTTTGTATCTCAAAGCAAATTCTCTTTTTCCATTGAATTTTCATGAAACGCATAATAAAAAACCACTCAGATACTTATTATATTGACTTTTAAAAAAATGAAGTTGTCTTTGAAAATAAATCTTATTATTATAGCTATCAAACGAAAAATATGTATGTAGTAAAATAATAAAAAATGCCATAAAAACTTATTGCTTGCATGAAATATTACTAATGAATGCATTTTGTAATATCTAAGATGTATCTTCTTATAAAATACTTTTATAAAAGTTATTTCTGATTTAAAACAAATGTCTAAATTAACAAAAAACTTAACTAAAAAATCTAACTTTCATTCATGTAAATCAAATTAAAAACATAGCAAATTCCTTTTTATCTTTGATTTAAAGTACCTTCAAATTAAACCAAAACACTATTCAATATTTTTTCTCAAAACGATATTTGATATGAACAAAAAACATGTCAAATATATAAGAATAAATTTACCTAATACCTGACTATTCGTCTATAGGTCTAAAGGTATTTAATGTAATAATAATTTTTTTAAAATGTAATTCCTATATTAAAAACCTCTAATTTAATATTTTTGATTTATTTCTATGATTGCTTAAAATTTCAATCATTTAATAATTTAATTTAAATTATAAAACATATAATATATCACTTTAAATATTATGTATAAAAAATTACTAAATATTATATGAAAATGTATAATACAAACTCTTATTATGAATTCACATATGTTTCAGTATAAATCTTACTCTTGGATGTTCGGTGTCGTTTAAGGGAAATATATCAACTCCCACTGTGTGCTCTCCAACATGAAATGTTCTGCCTAGAAGCATAGGCAGCATGTACATCATACGAATGGTCATGATTCTAAAAATCAATAAATTAAAATTACTCTTGTCAGAAAATTTTTCCTTTCTACCATATCTTAAAAGTAGTTAAAGAAAAATAAACAAACTGTTATATTCATATAAAAAAAGTAGAGATGGTAGCACTGTCTTGAATTAGAATTAGTAGAACCCTGATTATCGAACATTCTCGGAATCAAGGGTGTATCCAGAAAACAAAATCATCGGAAAATCAGTAGATCTGTAGAATTTTAGATACAAATAGAATTTTTAAACTTTTAAATGTTAATCTACCAGGGATATTACATATTCCATAAAAAATGTGATTATAATAAAATTTGAAAAACGGTAATTTTAATCATGTAAAAAATTATTAATAAAAATTTGTCTTCAGCTTCATTTCGAGCTCATTTTAGCAATTGCTGCTAAAATGAGAAAATGTTCGAAGATACGCTTTAACAGGCGTCGAATAGAATTTCCGCTATAAGAGGTGCCACAAAGTTTGGTCTCGGATTATCAGAGCTCTGATGTATTCTGATTTTCTATGCCTTCGGACAAGTTCAGATTATGAAAATATCCGGCAGTGGTGATTTTCTAGTAGAATATGTGACCAGACAAACACACTTCACAGAGATGTATAGGAAAAGCGAAGAAGAAACAAAAACTCCATCGTAATTTGATGAATTATAAATGAAAATAGCGATGTGGAAAAAAAAACATGCCTGATAAAATTTGAAGTTGTTCTAATAATCATCTTCTCACTGTTTCCTCTGGCAATCAAACAAATTTCGTTGCTAGTAACCCTACTTTCCTCAGTACTGATTTGTTTTTGTGTTGCCTTAAATATTACTTTGCTACCCCTTAAAATAAATACTAATGGGTAGTTACTACGGAGTACTCTATGCGTAGCTTTTAGGCTTTTGATAATTCAGGCAATCATAGGTATTCTGATTTTCTCAAAAGTTGACAATCCATAAAGCAACTTTATTGATACTTTTGATTTAAAAGAGCATTTTCCTTAATATCTTTTTAATTGATTATAAAATGTACAGAGCAATTTTGTAAATCTCTGTTTTAAGAATTTAAATATCATTTAACCAAATAAAACTTTGTTATTATTATTATTAAAATGTAATATAACAAAATAGAATGCACAGTGAAATATTCCGAATCAAATTACGATAAAAAGTACCCTCAGTCAAGGTTCAAGTACGTTTTACAGTAAAATCCATTTTTATCATGAAATTCTGCTGTAAAACAAAATCTGATATACCGTGACTTTTACAGTAATATTTTCCGTAAAGTTACTGGATCACTGTAATTAAATAAATATTACTGTATAAAATTTTACGTTAAAAATGAGTTTTTTCGGTAAAATGGGTTTTACGGAGGCTGCACTCAGGATGCCAGTATGTTTCATAGTGTGTATCTAGGGGCTCTTACATGACCTAAAACAGATTTAATGCATAAGTTTTCAAAATTTTAAAAATTAAGCATAACCCTGCTGTTTCGATGTGATAAACCAATATGAAACTTTAATTAAATTACTAAAATAAAAACCTTTAAAGAAATTCAAAGCAGAAAATCACAATTTTAAACAACGTGAGTTAAACTTTAAGGTAAGGCATATTATTAACCTTCCACAATCCAGTGAACAATCATAAAGTGTAAAAAAAAAAATTCAATCCTACGTATGTAATGACAACATCTCTAAAACACTATTTAGAAGCCACGTATCTTAAAAAATTTTTGTTTATAGTTATGCTTTTAAAACTTGTTTATATATACCAAAAAAATGTAAATACATAAATAAATGAAGCAAAAAGTAATTAAATTATGTACTAAAATGCAAATTTATAGCCAAAATTTCTTGCTGATGGTATATCTTACCTACAATATGTTAACCTAAAATAATAGCATAATTTCCCGTGAGAGATATCACAGATGGTTCAACTTATAATTTTTAGAGGAATTGAGCTTATATCAAACAGGTTTTTCTTAACATAATAATACAAAATCACCAAGAAGAGAAACAAATTAAATAAACTATTGAAAATTTTAAATTTTTTTACTTGATTTTATTTTGTGAATCATTACGTATCTCTGATTAATACCAGTTTAATTATTATTTATGGTTTCATTTTATGGGAATACAAGCAAATCAGGTATTTAAGAAATCAAGGTATTTAAACAGCAATAAAGTTTCTTTCATGCGCATAAGTTCAATTCCAAACAAAAATAAAAATTAACATCAAAAATGAATATTTTTTATACACAAACCTAATATTAATGTAACTAAGTATTTAGAACTTTTTTGAAATACCTTAAAAACATAATTTATTCCTTAATAATCACTAAATTTCATTTTAAGTGATCTATAGTTCATTGCATAACTAATTAGGTATTGATTATTGTGTCTGTGTTTAAATTACTTAATTGAAGAATCCAGATTCGGATTTAAATTTTCAATTGCTTAAGTTTTAATTCTTTTAATTGCTTTACTGTAAATTTTTAATTAAATTACTTTCAATGCTTTATATTACTTTAAAAGCAAAAACTTTTAATTATTATAATAAAAGAAATTTTATTTCCACAAAAAGTGAGTTTTATTTTCTAATATATTTTTTAGCTTAAAAACTAAAACTGTATTCAATACTTGGAATATGAAATTTGCTTACTGAATATAAAAGAAAGCACAATGAAATGAATTATAACAAAATTAAAAAACATAATAAAAACTCACATAATAACTTGTAAATTCCTTGATTCCTAATAAAGTTTAAAATTCAATCGTTCTGTTTAAAATTCCATTGTTCCCTTAATTTAATCTTTAAGTTTGAAAAAAAGTATTCACTTACCTTCGTCTTATCTTATGATATCAGTTGCCAACTTTTATCAAAATAACGAGCCAGTGAATGAGCACCTGTTTGTTAAGCAATATCGCAAAAAAATTTCCAATACTCTTATTAATCTTTCTTCATAATCCGTTTAATATGATGCCCATTAGAATTGAAGCCATACAGAACCAGTACTAGTCACTACTTGAACTTAATATCTGTACAATAATAACCACACGAAGAGAAATANTATGTCCTACAGATATCTATATGGCTTATTCTCTCTCGTCCTTCAGGTCTCTCTGCTCAAATGCCATCTTCTCAGAAAGGCCTTCCCTGACCTGTCATCTAGAAAACTAGGCCCTCTCACTCTCTCTCTCTCACTCTCTCTCTCTCTCTCTCTCTCTCTCTCTTTCACTCTCTTTCTCTCTCACTCTCCTTCTCTCTCACTCACTCTCTCTCTCTCGCACTTTCTCTCTCGCCCTTTCTCTCTCTCACTTTCTCTCTCTCACTTTCTCTCTCTCACTCTCTCTCTCTCTTTCGCTGTTTTGACTCTCAAAATATGGGAAGTAGCTATAATCTGAAAACTTGCTCAGACACATGCTAATCTATGTATACTATAAATATGTTCGTATGTGCGAACAGGCTAAGCACGACACATTTAGTTTAATAATATTCATGTAAGCTTTTTTTTAAAAATTCGTTATTCAGAAACAGGCTAAATGTGTAAAAAATAAATATTTTATTATTTTTTCTAGTAATATTTTGCGTTGAGACTGCGATTTGAAACTGGTTACAAATCGCAAAACAAGTGATTAAAGTTTTCCAGCAAAAAATATCCATGTATATTAAGACATCTTTCTTGAAAATGTTTTAAGATGTATTCTTTAGTCTAAAGCAAGCTAAGCATAAAGCTAAAAAATGCTACATAAGGATGGACACTTTACGAATTTTTCATGAAATTTTGTGACAAGACTTATATTTGAAACTGGTACCATTTAAAACCAAATACATAATTTTTTTTTTTAATATTTTTATATCTTTAGATCATTTTAAAGGATATTTTTAAAAGATATTTTTTATTCCAAAACAAGCTAAACCTTTCTCTTAAAGTGTGCTGTTGCGACAGACACTAATAAGCAACAATATTTTGTTACGTAAATTTACTGTGCATATTTAGAAAGTGGTTAAATATTGAAACGAACATTTACCAAACATATTCATATATTTTTAGATATCTCTATAAAAAATTTAAAAAGTAATATTTTTCAGTCAAAGACAGGCTAAACGGAGAATAAAACGTGTTGTAAAAAATAATCACTTTTCAAATTTTTTATTTTTGCACATGAGACACTAATTTTAAACATGTAATATATTAAAACACGCTCGTAAAGATTTTCAAAAATACTCATATATCTACTTGGACACATGGAAAAAAAATTTTAATTATTCTTTCTTCCAAAATAGGCTATGTGTTGTGCATAAAATGCAATGCATGAGAATGGACACTTTGCGAATTTTTTATATGATATTGTGACAAGACATCTATTTGAAACTGGTATCCATTTCAAACAAGAGAATAAAATATTCCTAAAATAATATTATATCTTGAGAAAATTTTATAGAAAATTTTAAAAAAGTATTCGTTAATCAAAAACAGGGTAAATATGGAGCATAAAATGTGTTGTATTTGGATGGACTGCTTGCGAAATTTTATTATATTTTGAGATGAAGCATTAATTTATAACTGATTCCATATTAATTTATTTACATCCATTGATTTATTTACAGAAAATGTTTTAAAATCTTTAGTACATGAAGGCAAAATGTGGAGAATAAATGTGATCCATGAGATCTTCGCAAAATTTTTATTTGACATTTATTTGAAATTTGTTCCATATTGTAAAAAAGCGAGTCTCACATTTTTCGAAAATACCTTTTAATTTTTAAATAATGTTTTAGAATATTTTGTAAAAATATGATTTAATGCAAAGGTGACTAAACGTGGAGCATGAAAAGATTTGTATAAGGATGAGTATTTTGCTAATTTTCTATAATTTTATGAGTCGAGGAATCTTTTCGAAGAAGTATCCATATCAGTAAAATTTTCTAAAATTATCCACACATAATTCAAAATAATTATGGAAAAATTTTCAGGAATATTCTTTAATCCCAAACAGACTAACTCCGAAGGAAATATTGCGCTATACGCGGATTACGCATAACGAATTATAGATATGTGCATATAAAACTCCTACTTCTATATTCAGAAATGCTCTTTTAATTTTATTAAAGTTCCTATAGATAATTCGGAATATTTAAAGAAATTCTTTTTAAAATATTCTTATGTAGAAAACAGTCTAACTCCGGATTTTTATAGTATTGTATAAAAAGAGGCATAGTATGCAAATTTTCTGAAATTTTTTGCAACGAAAGATACGTTTTAAGCTGGCTCCATATTAAAAGGAAAAATTCCCATTTTATTTTTGACGGTTTTCTTTTCTTAACATTTTTACATTCACTTTACACTTTCATCTAAACATTTTAACCAAGCGCTCTACCTTAAAAAATTACTATTCTCTTATTCACTTTGATTGATGATTGCTTAGATATTCTAAAAATATATTTTTTATACTTCAGTCTTAAGATCCAGAAGGCTGGGTTATCCGAAGGGCTAATGTTCGTACCTCGAAATTTGATCAATTTGACCATTTGATGTTCATTTCGAAAGCATAGTTTTAGCTTCTTACTTCCTGTCAACGAGTTTTTCACTCATAATTGTTACAATTACTTTTAAACAAGTGTTTTTAAAAATTTTTTAAATAGAAATTAAGTATTTGTGTAGAAATATTCCTAAAAAGAAACAAAAATTTTTTTTTCATGGCCTAGAATGGAAGCACTCCTAAAATTTATAAGTGTAAAAATAAAATAATATAAAATTTTAAATAATGGCCTCAATACGTCATATTTATTTATTTAATAAGTACAAACAACACATGGAAGTAGCTGATCTTTAGGATAGTTGTCACATGGAAGAGTACCACAGCTGATTTTGACATCGCTGACATGATCATGTTTCTCTGTCTTAGACATGATCAGAACATCTCTGTCATGTTCTTCGGAGTGGACGTCCATGCAAACGAAATCACCTTTCCTGCTCCTCAAATCTTTGGTCATAATGTAGCCAGAATATTCCAATGTCCATTCATTTGGACACTGCGTCCGACCAGGAAATACTGTCGCTGATGTCCTTTCTTCGACGAGACACATGCCGCATGCTATGGACTTTTCGCTGGATACGTTTCGTCCTTGTAGATGAACAGGAACAAGTTTTGAATAGAACCTGCAAAAAAAATTTTAATATTTAAGCTACACTAATCTGAAATCACGTGTTTATTTTATTTCTGTAAAACTAAATGATTTACTGAGAAGAAAAATTAAAGGAGAAATATATTTTTAATTCGTTCAGGAGGAATGGGAAAAAAACTGCCATACTCTTACTGACGCTAGTGATGCTAGATTAATTTTGGTAATAGATTCAAGTTGAAATAAAAGAAGACAAGTACTTTAGTACTTATCTTCTTTTATTTTATTATTATCTTCTTTTATTTTATGCAAAATTAAAGGAAAAATTTAAATAATTCGGTTAAGAAAAGCCTTAAGTTCGGAGGGATGACCTCAAATAAGCTAATTAACTGGTGCAGACGCTATTTTAAGTTACGAATTCAGGTGAGTACTTTCCCTGAATAAACAAACCTATTCTATGTAATTCGCGACACCCAAAATGTAGGAGATAACTGCGGAATCATCGTTTAATAAACGAATTAAATTATTGTTTCTAAAAAAAGTACGTTCTTATGACTTATTTTGTAACTTAAAATATAGTCTGCACTAATTAGCTTATTTCAAGTCACCCTCTTGAACCATCAAAATTAAATCATAGTACATAGTTTTCTTTTATGCAGTGTACATTCTGGAACCTCTAAAATTCCGAAGATAGCTTTCAATAGATTATCAGTGGTAACATAGGTATTGTAATGTGTTCTGTAATCATCGCCTTTAACTTATATTGACCGTAGTCAAAAATGAAGTTTAAAAGTAGCCACGCTTGAAATTGTAAATAATTATTAAAGCTAGGAAGGAACGAAAATCTTCCAAACCACAGTTTAGAAAGGTGGAATGAAAATGATATAATCCAGTATGATTGCCTGACAAAACTGGGAGGTATTTTTAATAATCACTTTTTATTTCTTTTTAGCTTTCCTCCGGTTATTAGCATCGCCTTCTTAAGTAATTATTATTTGGAGTTATTATTATAGTGATACAACTATTGATACTACTTTTATTTGTATCATGTTTGATGCAGAGCAAAGAGTCCCAAAATAGTAAGTGCGTCAAAAACATCGATAAAGTGAGCCAAAAGGCGAGTTTGGCGAAGTTCCCTCTTGTTGTAGGGGTTGCATCCATTTAAGAGTCAGTCAAAGCGCTGCCTGGGAGTTGCGAGGTGAAGAAGGTTCAGAGATGACGCCCTGGTGAGTGATTCTAGATTCTCCCCCACTGTTATTATATAATTAGATCATGTGCATTCAAGAAATTTTTAATCATTAAAATTTAATTTAACTTTAATATGAGTATTAAATTTTTAACTCTAATTAACATGATACAAATAAAAGTAGTATCAATAGTAGGAATAATAAGTAGTATCATAGAAGGAATACCAATAAGTATCTCAATAATAGTAGGAATAATAAGTAGTATCACAGAAGGAATTCTAATAAGTATCTCAATAATAGTAGGAATAATAAATAATTATTATTATTCCTACTATTATTGACCCATTGTTTCTCATTTAATTTTCTTAAGACTATTTTCTCAATTCATTTATTCTTAAAAATGAACAGAAATTATTAAAGTTAAATATTTTTCATTTGCTTGCAGCTGGAGATAAAATTCTAAATTACTGACCTATGATGTTTTTTGTATACTTTAGTGTCTGGATCATGTTGTGGATCGTCAGTGAGGCAGATGACGTTGGCTGATCCACCTTTAATTTGATCAGTTGATGCAATAATACCAGAAACAACAGTGTGAGCAGTTGAGGATTCGCATTCTCCTCGTCCCCAGTGGATGTAAGAGGCACCCCCAACATCCATCGTCAATACTGAAAATCATTAAAATAATAAAAATATCTAATATTTTAGTGCGCAGCATCGTTTCCATCTCAAGAAAATACTATAAAGAAATTTTTACTCATAGGTAAGCATTGGGCAAACGCATTTTTGCACGGCGTTTTTCGGAAATTAAGTACTGTTCTAGAAAATGTCGCATAAAATACGTTCTTTCAAAGCAAATTTTTTTTACTCGAAATAGCATTTTGAAAACCATTTGCGAACAAAGTTACCAGCATCATTCAGATTTCTATCTCAAAGAAAACAAACTATTTTGTACCTGCTCCAAAGAAAGATGTCGCCAGTGTAGAAGCAATAATTTAAGCGATTTGAGACAATCTCATGCAGAACAGTTTTTGAAATTGGTGAAATTTAGTTTAATTTAAATTTACCCCGCCTCGCCCCAATAAGGGGCATCCGTGAAGTATTGGAAGTCTCGAAATGCTCGTCCGTGTCTGTCTTATCAGTACAAGAAAACAAATAAATTGCGATAAACAAGGGAGGTTTTGAAATGAAGCAATCCTGAGAGTGACCCTGGGTTACAAGGGTGTAAATGTACAGATTGAAAGATGTGCTGTCTACAGAGCTCCAAGTTACAACTGAAGAATGTTCCGTAATTGATAAATTTACAGATGTTACATGCTCTATAGGCCAAGACAATAAAACTTGGGAACATAATCTATGAATATGAGTTGTTAACTAATGTGTCCAGATGTAAAGATGAAACATAGCATCAGGTCTACATCATTAACTAAGCGGAAAAAATAGGTAGGTTTTCAAAGCAGCAAGAAAACAAATGTAAAGATTACTGTCTTTTACATAGCACCAAAACTGCAATTGAGAAAGTTATCGATGTAAATGTACAGATGTAAAGATGCGCTGTTGACTGAGCTCCAAGCTAAAACTAAAGAATGTTTCGTAATATAAATTTACAGGTGTAAAAGTATGTTGTGAAAGTCAGTACACAGGAGTACATATTTCTAAGTAAATAAGACTTCCTTGGAAAAAAGTACTTTCACTGATAGATGTTTCACAGTAGTAAAGATGAATCAAATCATATTTAAGAAATTTGTTACTAGTTCAAACCATAGTGCATGTGAATTGATCCCTAATGAATAATGTCTTTGGAAACAGTTTCACTGAGTTTAAAAATATAAAAAGGATGCATTAATGTAAATATTCAGACGTAATGGTAAATCTTGTGACATTATGATTATGATATATGAGGCAAGTCTCACTTCAATAAAAGTTGCAATAAAGCGAAATCTGGCAGACTTTACTTTAAAAAGAAAGACAAACCTCGCCTTCAAAACAAAAGATTTTGAACCGAGTGTAACTGAGTTTTGATTAGTTTTGTAAAGGATTTGCATCAGTTTCTAGAAGGAGATATACGTCACTATAGCCAAATGGTTTTGGTAACCAAAAGGTATCACCCTAACCCAATGGTTTGGAATTAATGAAAATTCATACCAAATCTCTCTTATTATCTCTGTTTTCACGAATTTTTTCATTCACTTTTGTAACCAAACCATCATCGACAACAGGTGACCACCAACTCTGGGCTTCGTCATTGATAAATTTTCTTTGTTTTTGACGAAATTTTTTCGTGTGAACCATAGCCACATCTCGAGAGTTTGTTAAACAAATCAAAAAAATCCGTTTAATACAGATAATTACATGCAAAACATAATTTTTTAATAATTTCTAATTATTTCATTTAATAAGAGTAAAAAAAATTAAGTTGTAAGGTATAAATATTTTTACATCGTTTCAAAAAGAGCAATTTTATATGGCAAAATACAAAATTTGAACGAAATCGGCTTCTGAGTTATCAAATTTTAAAATAGTTGGATATTTATATTTATTTTTTTTGTTCACTGTTCAATTTTATTTGCATACGTTTTAACTTTTTAATTGTTTAAGCGATTGATTCAGATTTATGAGAAAATGAATTCTCATTTTCCACTTATGATCTAACAATTTCAAAACTTTAAGAGTTTTCATTATATAAACTACTAAGTTATTTTGTTAAATTTAAACAAAACTTCTTGACGTAAATATTAAGTAAACAAATTAACAAAAAATAATCCCACAAAATAATTAGTAATTAGGGAACAATACTTGAATAAATAAAATTACATTGTGAAGTCTTACCTTTAGAACTTTGAATCTAAAAAAAATAACAAAAACAAATTAATGTTAATTTGAACCAAATTCAATAGCAAAATTATACATAAATAAGTAAAATAAGATGATATGATATATTCATTCAAAATTGTACTTGTTCGCTTGAAGTTTCCCTTGACCGACAAATATCTAATAAGGGAGTATTTGCAAAGAGAAATCTACGTATGTAGATAGATGTTTCAAACATTAATCTGAAAACAAATTATTATCAATGCTGTGAGGAAGAATATTTTAAGAAATTAAAAAAGTTAACGTTTTTTTTAACTAAATAGCAGAAGCAAGAATTTCGAGAGCACAATTTTGCTTCAAAAAACTTTTAAAAATTTGGAGATCAAGTAATTTAATGCTCTAAAGACTAAAATTAACATTTTTAATTCAATGGTAAGAAGTGTGCTGTTTTATGGATTCGAAATATAAGAACTAACAATTCTTCTGAGTACAAAACTAAATAATTTGCAAAATAGATGTTTTGAAATAAAAATATTCTGTCCTACGACCATATCAAATTCAGAACCCTACAGGAAGACCAGACAGGAACCAATCACCATCATTATAAAAAGAAAAAGATGAAAATGAATAGGTCACGTATGCCTCCTGCAAGAATACCATCAGTAGCCTTAACGTGGGCACCGAAAGGCAAACGAAAAAGAGGCAGGCTCATGCTAACATGGAAAAGAAAGGTGGAAGAGGAACAAAGATAGACGGGATGGACGAGCTAGTCCGAGGCGAGATCCTGTGCGAAGGACCGAGTGAGCTGGCGCAAGAAGATAAGGGCCTTATGTGCCACCGGACACGAAATAAGAGAAGTAAGTAACTAAATACGTCAAGGTGAACCGGGTTCGAGTCTCAGGCAATGCGAATTCCGCATCCCGCTTGCACCATCCACAGTGCTGACGTGAAATATCCTCAGTGGTAGATGAATCATCATGGGTTAGAGTCCCCTTGCCATCAGGCTAACCGTAGGAGAATCTCGCGGTCTTCATCTTCATGTAACGCAAATGCGGGTTAACTTCATCAAAAAATCCTCCATGAAGGCAAATTTCCCCCAATACTTGATCCAGGAGTTCCATTGTCTTCTTGATTGGGTTCAAAATTACAAGGCTACGGAGTTGAACATTAGTAGTCGTAAACCCATAAAATTGGGTAGGCTGTTCAACGACGGTTATAAAATAAAAATAAAGTGCTAAAAAATAATAATGCGAATGTAATAAAGAAATGTACTTACAATTTTATGCTTCAAAACAATCAGTTTTCGGTAGTACTTATCAGGTAAATTTCCTCCACTACTAGTATAAGCATCAAAAGCCTTTTTGAATTGCTCCACATTGGCGTTTTCAGCTAAATTCATATTTCCCAATACTTCATAAAATACAAAGGAAATTTTCTCCAATTCTTCGTTAAATAGTCCAATCTGAAAAATAAAGGCAGTTACAACAAAACTCTATAAAGAAATAAACCTCAATTACTGGATCACCAAAATATGTATGATAACAGCCATGCATTTTAATCCACTTTTTACATTCTCTGTTAAAGAATATGATCTGGAGCTTAATTGTCGGAATTTCTTCAACAAACTTCAGCTTCAAAATTCCCATTCTCAATAAATACTTTCTGCTTATTCACCAGGGTTTTTCTTTAATTTTTTTCATCGGTAAAATTCATATTATATATCAGAATGAATATAACAGTTCTTCGTTTTTTTAAATTAATTTTCGAAATATGTTCTTTTTTACTCAATGCGTTCTTTTGGAATTGTAATCTTTTAAGAAAAAAAAATAGAAAATTCCGTACAAGATTCTACTCAGCATTTCAAAACAAAATATTTTTAGAAAAATTTCTGTTTCGAAATTAGAGTAAGAATACTAATGAAAACAGAAAAATTGTGTTAAAAATTTAAAGAAAATGCAAATGGTCAAACATTGCACATTACAACAGATCTCCTGATAATAATTCTAGTGTTCTAGAGAAATAATAGTAATCTTCAACATAAAATTGACATTTACATTTAAACATTAAAATTCATATCTATGTGCGTTAAGAAGCCTTGACCTTCGCCATCTTTGATTTCATGTTATATTTTTGATTTTCGTTTTCTTGATACTTTTTTGCATTTAACTGTACTTTCGATGATATAGTATTATTCGACAGCGCAATAGCCTTCAAAAAATAAGGGAATATAGGGATTGCTTTGTTACATTCGCAGAAATCAGCACTATATCATTTTTAGAACTTAAATAGATTTTTTCTCAATACTGCAAAGCAATTTAAAAAAAATACGATTTGATGTTTTGAGTCAGTAATTTTAATTTGTCAGTTTTCAGATTTTTTTAAAATTAATTTTATTTGAGTTTAAACTGTTGAAAACCCATTCCATACTAAGGATTTGTTATAAATTATCAAAAATCTAGAACCTATCATTGTTTTGACATAATTTTAATTGGCATATTTTTGTCAGAAAGTTAAGGAGAATTTAAAATACCGCACGCTTTATATATCTAACAAATCTAATTGAGTGACGGTCTTGTATTTTACATGTATCGCTGCCGAATAAAATAAATATCCGCCATCATTTAATTTGTGAAAATAAAATAAATAAGATTCAGCATATTTAGAATTTTTCTTCCCCACCTCTACCCCTTTGAAAGTTCGATGGAAACAGAGAGAGCAAAAAAATGGACGAAGCAAAAAAACGTTCCTTCTGAAATAATATGGTAAAATGTTATTGATGTCTCTTACTAAAGTGCTATAATTATAATTATTTGAGCACGCTATTTCTCATGGGAAAAATCCCTAATCCATTACCAACGCAAATTATTTTTAGAATTGTATAGAAATTAATAAAACGTTTTAATTGTAAATTTCATAATTTACTATTAGCAACACTTATTTCAGAACAATGCTTAATGCAGAGTTGAGATGTTTGTGGCTGCTCTTTGAAGGTTCTTCCTTCGTTTTTTCCTAGATATCATGCTATTTAATTAACAGTTGCATCAGTAATTTGCACAAAGACAGGCGTAAAGTCATGTAGAACATAAATAAACTAATTAGGTACACATGTGACCTATGTCCTCAAAGCCAGCTGATCGTTTATAATTAAAATGGCATTTTAAAATTGCGTTAAATTTCTCAACATAAGTTAGAATAACATAAATTAGAAGTTAAATAAATACATCGAAATTGCTGAAATATAATTATTTCTCGTCTACGTCTTTTACTTAACTTAGATTAATCATTTGCTGATATATTTTATTGTAATCGTGATATATTTTTGTTTTGTGTACCTGAAAACTTCAATGCATAATTAGTTTATTTATGTTCGACATGGCTTCGTGCCTGCCTTTTTGCTAAGTAAGAAAAAATCCTTGTGAAAGAATATAAAATGTGCCACTTAAGAGTTGATACTTGACGGGCTTGGTACACTCAAACTAGAATAGAAAGAACAATTGTTAACGTTAACAAATGCCACTTTTCAATAACCAATCAGGATCGAGATATGCACACTACGTCACTTTCAGGTATCCTATTATGCATCAAAATTGTCAGACACACAAAAAAAAAAATCATTTTTACAATAAAATCCACAAACAAATAAGATATCTAAGTTAAGTAAAAGACAAAGTTAAGCATAAATCTAAGTTAATTAAAGCCTTCATTCGACTTTAAAGGAACTCACACTATAACTTATTATTCTTTTCCTTGGTGAGACGTTGCTCTTCAAAATTTAAAAAGGAAAACAAGAAGTTTCGAACAAAAAATCAAATATGTTTTTTTAATGAAATGTAGAGGAAATGAAAACTGATGAATAGACACGTTTCTTCGAAATGTAAGATTTACTCATTTCTATGAACTCAACGAAATGGGTCCGCTTTGCAATAATTACCTCTTCTTCTATTTCTGGAGAAAGCACTGGAGGAACATTCAACAGCCATTCCTGTAAAGATTTTTTTGTGGCACGAATGTCATCAAACTGAGCCTCCAAAAGATCCAGCTGATCCACCAGGGCTCTGAAACAATCCAATTGCAACACACATATTTTAAAAACTATTTTTAAAAAAAAAAATCCTGAAACTTTGTATTAGCTATTAAAAACTATTCTGTTAAACTTAATTTTATGACATTTAATAAATGCTTTTCATAATAACAAATGCAGAGTACACATTTTAGCGTAAGATATTAGCAGCCCCATAGCACGTAACATGTTTTAAAAAAATCACTGTACAGTGCGCAAAAAATAACGGAACTACAGTGAATAATTTTTGATCTAATGATCGTATTCTTCTCATTCTAGGCCTCAATCTGAAGAGTACATTTAAAAAATCGTATATTTAAAATTCGGTTTCTCAGGAACTATTCAACCGATTATGCTTAAATTTTATATTTTACCATCAAAAATTAAATTCTTTAAAATAATGTTACACAATTTCATGCCTTGCAAAATTTCGATTAATATTAAAATAATAAAAAATAATAAGTATTTACAAAAAGTTATTTTTTTGCATGGAAATAGTTTAATTCTGAAAAATTTGATGGCTATACAATAACTGCATCAAAATGGTGATCATATGAATCCAAATTTGTAAACAATAGTAATTTCTGCTTTATATAAAAATAGAAACATGTTATTTATTATTTTAGTTGACGTTAAATATGTTCAGTTACAAATATCGCACAGATTAAGTAAGAAGGCACCAAATTTTTCCCTGTCAGAAACTATTGAAAGAAAAATTATACTGTATACGCAGCTGAGCTAGCACGCCATTTTTTTCCACTCAGCACATCACTTGTTATGCTGTCACAAGCTAAAGTGGTGGATTGCTTTTTTTTTCGATGTACCTGGAGGTACAGGTAAAACATTTCTCATTTCCTTTATTCTCGCAACCATATATTCATAAAAAAAAATTGCATTGGCAATGGCATCCTCTGGAATTGCGGCAACTCTTTTGGATGGTAGCCAAACAGCACTTAAAATGATCCTAAGATTTCAATGATTAATCTTTGAAATATTAAAATTCAATTAACTCTATCTCAGTAAGTACTACAGCTACAAATATCGTATAACTTTGCAATTTTAGGTGACTTAAGCTAATTGGGTGAAAAAGCAGTTTAAGAGAAAATTTTCAACACCAATAGTTGAAAAGAAATTAAGAAAAAAACAGTAAAAAGACCAAATATTTAGAGGGTTTTTTTTTCAAAATGGTGGAGCACCCTGTGGTCGGGGGATTTGGAAATCTTGATATTTCATCATTGTACCAATTAGTTTGACTGTACAAATCCACACACTTCTAAAAATAGAAATTCCCTGATTTCCGTAGCCATTAACGATAATAATATGGACTAGTCATTAGACGGTTGAAAATTCATTTTTGCTAAATTATTAACTGTGATTGAAAAATAACATTAAATAAAAATGGTTCCTACTTTGTTTCTAAATATCTTGGCACGTCGTTGTCTAAAGCCGAGAGGGGGAAGAGCTCCATCGTAAGAGGAACGCCTGTTCCGTTGTTGACCAACTTTGTTTGAGTTGGGAAGTCTTCCACTAGTTCCATGAGGGATTCCATGGTATTCGGTACTCCTTTGATAGGAACTGTGGCGTAATAATTAATCTCCAACGATGAAGAATCTTTCAGATCCTCTTGAAGACGAGAGAAGTTCCCTGCAATCGAGACAGTATAAAAGCATTTTAAAATAATTTAAATATTGCTTGGCTTAAAGCGTTGTGATCACAAATGCACTCCCAGAAAAATCGGTTTGGCGTTGAACCGTAATATCGCAGAAATTTGCAACAAACTTGATAAGTGTTAAATTAAATCATGGTGGCTGAGCACGTTAAATCTTAGTATCATGTAATCAAGTTCAAGAAGTGCTGTTATACAGTTCAACTAAGCACCATTATGAAATTTGTTCAACACGCTCCAGCTTTCTCAACAGTGTAAATTTTCAATCATTTAACTGTGTGGCGTTAATTAAACTATAAAATTTCTGTTAAAAATTTATATTCTGTTAAAAATGAATCTGTTTTACGAAACCATCTCCTTCAATGACGAAAATCGTTAAATTAAAAAAAAATCCATGTAGATAAAATTAAACCGAAAAGGGAACGACGTAGAAAAATAATAAAATAAGCGAACCCATTGAGAAGTTAATTAGAGGCATGTGGTTACTTTAAAGCATATGAATTGGCGTCATCATCAATACCAAAACAGTGAACTCCCTGCCTTGGCACTGATGATAAAGGTTTTCCATACCAATGACACAAATTTAAACAAAGGATAATTTGAACAAAGCAAAAATAATTTCAGAGAAAAGAACATGGATGCTATAGCTTCGGTTCTGTAATCAAGAACTTTTCTTAGTACCGAAAAACAAAATGAGAAAAACAAAGCTGGAAAGTACAGAAGTAAAATAAATTCATCTCTCATTTTGTGTCTCGTCACTGGAGCTCTTGACTATTAACTATATTATACCTGCTTTTTGTAGCTTTATTTATTTTATTTAAGTTTTCAATCGTTATTTTCAAATCTAGCACACGTTCTTTTGAATAGAACAAATGCCAGCACTTAACTTCTCAATTTCAACTTCTTACATTATTTCTTGGATTTATATTATTTAATTTCTGCAAAAAAAACTTCACCTGAAGTGACGTCATTGTAGATAAATCATGGCATTTTTCCACGCAGCGGCCTCTCCGATTCGACGCACACGCGTAACATGGCTTACAGGTATCCAATCAAATTTGATTTAAATCACAAGGTTACGCTTAAACACTTCACTTCTTCTCGAGTTGCAAATACTGAACTCTACGATATTAAATTATATTTTTCATGGTTTCATAAGGAATGACTAATACTTTATCCTTTGAGTTTTCCGGACTTTAAATTTTAAGTTTAAAACTTTATGTTTTTTTCGCCTGGGTCATAAAATAAGACAGTTTTTAATAACGACGCTTTGTAAATAGCTTCCTGTTGTTGCTGTTTTCCCTAAAAATGATATTGGTAAACTCACAAAAAAATACCTCATGCAGCATTCATCTGATTAACTCTTCATTTTCATTTTTAATTTCGTAATCATAAAATTAATATAAATAAAATACAAACCTTCAATTCCAAGTCCAAAGGATCCTGAATCTGCATGTAAATTAGCTTGAACTACAGCTCGAATCTTTTCTCTGTCTACAGCATTTTTGGCAGTGAATCTCAGAGAGGCGACAAGATCTCCTCCGTAGGTTACACTACGAACATAGTGGGTACCAACATCTCTTCGATCAAGTAACTTCCAATTAGGTCTTGGCTTAGATGTTGATGGCAATGTATAAGTTTGCTGCAAGCAAAACAAATACATACGGGTACAGTTGTAATTGAGCTCTAAGCAAAGTTTAGAAACTATAAATTGCAACTTTATTTTAACCACAAACTTTTCACAAGCCCCATTATTTGAAGAAATTAAGATAATTTTCATTCTGAGTAGTTTTAAGTGAGACAGTTTTTGTTTCATTAAGGAAATAAACTATTCAAATTTTCATTTGATAAGAAATATCAAAATTTGAGCAATAGCGTTTATTAACGCCATCCGAGTTTACTTGTCACTATGGTAATTAAAAACAATTTGATAGGTAAATAACTGGAGCTAACAATATTTTCAATTTGATGACTCTTTTCCATCAGTAATATGCTTTAAAGAGGCTTTAGATCACATACAGGGGATTGAGTAATGAGATGACCTCTTCAAATGAGGTAACACAGGTACGAATCCCAGTCGTGGCTGGTTGATATGATATCTGCTACCGACCAGCACTGGACAGAGTGCTGACGTAAAGTATCCTCAGTGGTAGATGTATCATGGGAGATACAATCCCTTTGCCATCGGTCTAACCATGGGAGGTTATCGAGGTTTTCCTCTCCATGCAACGCAAATGCGGGAAAGTTATATCAAAAAAATCCTCCACGAAGACTAAGTTAGTCCTAATGCTTCATACAGGAACTTCCTAGTCTTCTGGGTTGGACTCAAAATTACAAGCCTACAAAATTTAACAGTAATAGTTGTTTAATCAGAATTGGGTTAGGTGTTCAACTTGGTTATAAAATACTCAATGTGATTTAATGCTAAACTTAAAATTTTTACTTATATTTAAGATAATTGCACCATACATTTATCAGTTTCGTAAATATCACTAAACTTGTATTCCCGATAAACATTTTTAAACAAAATCTAAAACAATTCTTTTTACGTTGGTTTACTACTTTGATTATGTTTCCATTTTGATTATTTTTCTCTGCATTTTCAGATTCATTGTTGTTTCCCTGTCCGGGACAACATAGTCCCTCAACTTTTTTCCATTAATCTATGAATATGGATATTGCCGACATTGTTGTCGGAACAGCAAACAAAAGCAGAGGTTATATTTTTCTTTCTAAATTTGTTAACTTAATTTGAATATTTGAACCAAATATCTTTATGTTTTAGATTTGATTAAGTATTTGAATCACTATAATTGTAAGCAAAAAATAGTGTTAATTATTTTACTTTTACAAGTAAGAGCTTTGTGCAAATTATGAATATTTATTTTTGCGTTTTTGCTAACTAACTAACTCTTCAGTGGTAGTTGAATCATGGGTTAGAGTCCTTTTGACGGCGAACTAACCGTGAAAAGTTTTCCTATCTACGTAAATTATGAATTTCATATAGATATGAATTATTAATTTTTTTCTCGAAGGCGAGTTCATCCCAGTGCTTAAATCAGGAATACCCATGTCTTTAAGATTCAGTTCAAAATTACGAAACTATGTAACTTTAATTTTTAAAAAAAACTATGTATTTGAACATTGGATATGAATCAGTTACTCGATGGCAATGTCAAATCAAATCATTTAATTTTACAGTAATCAGTTGAGATTAGAAGAGCATATAGCTTAAAGGAGAAAATCCATGTAACAGGTCTCTTCTTTCACCATCTTGGATTTTAGAAAAATATTTTGATTTTTGTTTTCTCTACGTTTATTGCTCTTAACAGATTTTTAATGATAGACTACTTATTGACAGTACCATACCTTTTATAAAAGGACGAAAATATAAAAGCGTCGCTTTATTAGATTAGGAGAAAGACGATTAATAATTTATGGGGATTGTAAAAATTGTAGAGAAATGATTCGAAAATTGTAAAGCAGAATCGTAAAGCAATGAGTAATTTCGGATAGATAATTTAATTGTATATTTCTCTCCTTTTTTTCAGGTTTCTGAAATTTGCTTATATCTTTGTTTAAACTGATGGAAACCTGCTTGGACGTCACTGAAAAATTCTCGTAACGTAAATTATAGGAAAAGGGATATTTTTGAGAGAGACCTAAAAACAGGCAAATGCATATTGCTCAAAAAAATCTCATAAAATAATGGCTACAAATTATACTGGTTAACGGTGTCAGAAAAAATCAAATAGAAAATTTAAAACATCACGTGCTATATTTCTGTAATTCCGATCAGGTAACAACCTTGTATTTTACATGTTTTGAGGAATATTGCCGAATGGAGAAAATATTCAGCATCGGTTTTAATTGTGAAAATAAAATTAAGATGATTAAAAGAATATTTAATTTGTAATTATCCCTTCTGAGAGTTAATCTCGGAAGGAGGAAAAAAGCTTTGAAATAAGAAATGCAAACAACAATTAACAAACTAAACTCGTTTGACGTGTATACACGAAGGACCAAATTTCTATCGTAATATGTATGACGAGTATACTCGTCATTCACACTGCAATACTGAATTACTGAATATTACTAAATTAAAAAATTACCATTGACTATCAAAACTTTAAATTACAATAACAAACAACTAGAGAATTATTTAATGGTATGTTCTTTTTTATATTATTATTAGAAACTGTTAAATATTTTATATTACAAAATAGTTTAAGGGCTCACGAACCGAAACCAATTACATACACATGCCAGGTAAATTCTGAGGCTTAGCTCTAAGGTAGAGTCCTAAACATTCGTGAATTAAATACCAGAGTCCCCCCCCCCATAATTCAACATAACCCATAATACCCATAATTTAACATAAAAGCTCTCTTTTCCCTGCTTTGTACCTCGTATTATTCTTATATTATGTTTTATGATTTTTTATTATTTCTTGACAATTTTAACAAGTTTTTAATATCAGAAATGAATTGTTAATTTTATAGCAAATAAAAATTTAATTCTTCCCCATTTTAAGCAAAACGTAGAATTTAAAATAGGACTATTTAGGACAGGATAATTTGTACTACATTGCACGACGCGTATATACATTATTGCTTGATTTTAATTCCGCACACTTATCTAATGTCGGGGGATATCTAAAACTACACGCTAAACTAGCTAGTATAATAACTCAAAAAATATGCCGTTGTATCAGATATCTTATCTTCTGAAAATTCCAATTAATAATTCCTAAAATAACAATAAAATAAAATAGATATAAAAAATTTGTTAAGCAAGTCAAATCAAGTTCATTCTAAATCCTTACTTACTGTTTCATAATGCACTTTAACAAGAATTTCCACCACGTTCGATCTAGAATAAGTTTCTCTCAGATAATCTCCCAAGCCTTCCATCTGAACATTTCCTGTTTTAATTTTTAACGATAAATCACCACTCACACCCAAAAAATCTCTTGCTTCCTGTGTATCTGATACCATCCGATACTGCGAATCCGTATATTGCCTTTGTATAACCTATAAGAGTTAAGCGAATTATTGGAGAACTGAAACGGAGAGAATTACTCGACATTATAAAACTTCATTTGCTTCAGAAACTTATAAAGGTGGTAAAATTCGACATGTTTTGATCGTTTAATAATAGTCGCTCATTCTCAAGACTAGCTACAGGAAAACAAAGATATAATGCCAAGGTTATTTTCAACCCTGTCACATCAGCTGATCTTGATTCACTGGAATCGTGTTTTATTCCTATGAATGAAAATTCCATCATTAACGACATGAGTTTCTCATTATTTCTCTATAACGACTGAAAATGCATTCTGGGCTGAGTTGTCTCTCTCAGACACTTCGGTTTTTTTCTTTTTTTTTCGCCTTTATTTTTTTATTTTTCATAGATTTCTTTACTTACTTGTTTTACTCTCGACGGTTCGATTAGATTTCTTTACTTACTTGTTTTACTCTCGATGATTTTTTTTAGTTTTGGTTTTCACCTTTATTTATTTTATTTTCCCTTTTTGCGTTGGCAATTTTGCGTTTTTTGTTTCAAATCTCCTGTGTATTCTTATAACGTCCAACGAAACGTGAGAAAAGGTGCCAATTTTTGAGCTCTCGGAACTCTTTGATTTTTACTGCCTTCATAAGTTTTCGAAACAAATGATATTTTTAGTATTACCAAATATAACCTATAAGAATGAATCAACCTATTATAATTCAATAAAGATAGTTTTTCTTTCCTAATATTGTAGTGTAAGTAAACTTACTCCAATATTTTCTGGAAGAAAAAAAGAAAAATATAACTTTAATATCTTACACAATTACAAACTTTCCATAGACTCCTATCCATTGGAAATATAGCTTTTTCCCAACCAAATATTCCAAAAAGCTTTAATTCACCCAAAATGATAAATAATTCTAGGCCTCTCTCTTACTGTTTTTTCATATAGAGTCTATTAATTATTAGGGTCAAATGAATGTATATATGCCTTACAAATTAAAAATTATTAAATTACAACAAAAATGATTTAAAAATTACTTTAATTTTAAAAAATTATGCACAATTTTTCCTAAATATATCTATTAGGGTTTTTTTTTACCTTCAATGTTTTCTCGACTGTTTACAAATTAATATGAAGTTACGTCTATTTATGGGGTCAATAGAGAAATACTGGAAACTTTTTTAATAGAATCAAATGGCGTAGCTATTCATTTTTACTAAATCTACAAATAAAAAAAAACAGAAAAGGGTAGCTCGAAAACAATTCAGACGGTATTTTTCTAGAGTTAATTTAATTTCGTGAGACATGAAATTTGCATAGAGACATAATACGGAAGTCCTTGCTTCCCAACATATTTCGAGGAGCATTAACTCCCAGCTTGTTTTATTCAATTTGACAACACTTAAGAACTTGACATCTCGATTAATAGGCCATAGATAAATTTTCTAATTGTTTATAATTGTGGTGATCAAAATCATTGCACATCAAGTTTATGAAATTAAAAAATGAAATGATAAATCATATAACTTTTAATTCTGAACACAGTTCAAAAAGCGTGTTTAAGAAAATAAACACAGCTCAAAAAGCGTGTTTAAGAAATTACGCACAGCTCAAAAGCGTGTTTAGGAAAATTAACACAGATCAAAAATCGTGTATAAGAAAAGGAATACAAATCAAAAAGCGTGTTTAAAAAAATGGACCCAGTCATTTATAAAAGGGACAAAGCATATTATTCCATTTTTTTATTTCTCTAATTCTTGTTCTTTTATTTAAGGATAAATTAATGGATCCAAATAAATTCGTAATGTGATCCAGTCCATTTGCTTTGCTTAAGTCACTTGGTACATTTCTTATGGCAGTCTTCGTTTGAAAAGATTTTAAAAGTCCTTATTTGTTTTTACAAGGTTGTCGCGGATCTTACAAATTTATAATAGTGGTATTAAATTTGCGTTGTACGAATATAAATTTTTAAAACAACTTTATCGCTTAGTATTCAGAAAATAAAGCTATCATCTGAAAAGTTACATCTGCAAATTATCAGGCTATCCTGACATAAAAATCCAAAACTTTGACCCGTATTGATTATGCTTAATTTTTAAAAAGTTAGGAAAAGTAAATACGAAATCACTCGTTTAGTTGTTCATTTTGGGTTGATTATTGAAAAGGCGTATTTTTACTGAGTCCATTTTCTTAAACATGCATTTTATGTGGTATCCATTTTCTTAGACACGCATTTTGAGCTGTGTTTATTTTCTCAAACACCTTTTTTGAGCTGTTAGTTCATTTCACTAAACGCGCCTTTTGAACTGTGTATATGTCCTTCAACACACTTTTTGAGCTGTTTCCATTAAACACGAATTTTAAGCTATCTCCAGTTCCTATCCAGCTCCTATCAAGTTCATGGAGGGCAACGTTTACTATCACTTCAATATTATAAAAAATTTCCCGTTTAACTGAGAGAAGTTTACCTGTACGAATCCATCGTCTTCGTTTTTCGTGTTTTTGAAGAAAGAAACATAAGAATTAAAGTTTGTCTATGTACTTTGATTTTAGATTATTATAGCCTCATTCGAGAAAATAATAAGATGAACTTATAAATTTTTATTTAAAATGATGAAAAACTTACGGAAGCTGAATCTATAACCTCCTGAGGGAATATATCCACTCCTGGACTGTCAGTCTTGATGTCATATGTCCTCCCCAACAACATGGGTAAGACATAAAAATACATTAACGTCATGATTTCTGAAAACGAAAAGTATGTACACATCATTTGAAGTATCATTTTGTTTCATTTTATAACCGTCGTTGAACAGCTGACCCGATTTGGTGTTAACGACTTTCAATGTTCATCTCAGTACCCTTGTAATTTTAAACCCAATCCAGAAGACAAGGAAACTCCTGGATCAAGTATTGGAAGAAATTTGCCTTCGTATAGGACTTTTTGAGACAACTGACCCGCATTTGCATTACATGGAGAATATGCCACGATAACCTCCCACGGTTAGGCTGGCGGCAAGGGAACTGTAACCCATGATCCGTCTACCACTGAGAATATTTTACTTCAGCACGTTAGTCGGTGCGAGCCGGGTTCCAAATTCGTATTAACCAGGCATCGCTGGGTTTCGAACCCGGTTTACCTCATTGGAAGACGAGCACTCTATCCCCTAAGCCACCACGGCTCTTGAAGTATCATTTATAATTAAGCATTCATTCGATAGCCCAGTTACATAACTCTCCAGCAACGTCTGTAGATAACATAGGGGAACAATGTCTTAAAAACTTTCGTATCGGTGATTTCAAATGTGCAATCGGTATTTCTCTCCAAGCTACAGTTTTTTTTATAAATGATATTTTTAATCTATTCTTTGACGAAACAAGATTAAAAAAGTTAGATATAATAAGGGGTCACATAAACTTCTAAGGGAGTTTAGGCTCTTCATCAGAATTAAAAATTCCATAGGAACTCATGCTCGGAAACGTCCACTTTTTTTAAATATATCATTAAACTGTTGCCTCAAAAGTAGGCAACTAACATAGGTATTTAGAAATAGTCAAAAGAACTTATACTATATTAAAATATGAACTGAATGATCGAAATTGGTAATTAAAAGCTTTAAATTTCGGTACTTAATAATTTTTATCAATATTTGTGTTAAATTTTTTTGATTAGCTACCGTCAAAGTTAGAATTAAAGCAATGATTGCGAACTCAGTTTAAATATATTTCATTCATAAAATATTTTCAAGGCATATAATGTATTTCTTAAAAATTCTATTTTGAAAGTTAATATTTTAAATAAAAACATAATTTATAAAAAAAAAGTCATTTTTGTCTGTTAAGAAAACTAAATTTGATTTTCGAAACACAGAAAAATGTAAGAAGTCAAACCAACTAGTATTACTTTAAAGAAATAATGAGCGTACTCTCCGACATTCGACTAGAAGTCATTCGATTAGACTTTAATTCTTTAAAAAAACATAGTAATTTTTACATTTTTTTGTAACTATATTGTCTATATAAGGTGAGCGCAATATCAACTATCAGAAATTTATTTTTGAAGTTTAACTGTATAACGGAATGGTATTGTTTAAAAAGAATTCATTGAATTTCTACTCATATAAAGTATTATGTTTGTACTTTAATATAATACTTTTGATAATCAGTTATAACTAGTTATAACCAGTTATAATTAATTTTAATTAATCTTTTTGTTACTTCGGTTTGCTTCTAAGAATTTGAGGAAAAATTCCTCATTAACAGAAATAATTTTCGAAAAATGACGCCCAATCCACGTGCTCGAAAACTTAACTTTTTTTTTAGATTTAGTAGTTCTGTGATCTGCATAATTTTTTGAAGTTCATATTAGCTTAGTATATAAAATAATAAGTCAAGAACATGCATGAACAGGTATGTGTACCTTCGTATGTATAGCTGAACTTATGACAGTGTAGTAAACAAGTGAAATTTCATTGTAATATGAGTATTTACTTATATCTACTTAGAAATATTTTTAGGGATCTTTTAGTTAATTGTTTTTTTTTGTTAAGATATGTACTTATATTTAATAACTTTAACTGCTTATATTTTTTATTTTCTTCATAATTTTGAAATTTTACCCCCAAGAATGAGATGTCTTTTGAAATTAATGTTAGATTGCTTCAAAAATCATTTATTTTGCATCGTTTGCATAATATAAATAGTTTTGAAACTTGCAGTATTGTATTGTACTGAGATTGTACATTGAAATTTAATTTTGTTTCTAAATAATTATTAAATATATTCATTATTTTATTTAAATTGACAATAATAAAACAATATGCATATTTGTTTTTACTTAAGGTGATTTAACATCTGAAATATGTATATTTTTTGATTTAGTTAAAACCAGAGGTACACGCATGTGTAACTAAAATTATCAGCCACCTGGCAGTAAAATTCATATTTTGTTTGTGACTTATGGTGGTAAAACAGAAATTTGGAGCTGTTAAATATCTTTTTGAAATACTTTTTTCTACTTCAGTAGTGAAGAGGTTAATTATATTTAATTATAATAATTTAAATTGCTCAATAATTTGAAAATAGGTATAAAAATGCTTACCAACTACATTATTAATTTAAAGCTTAGTTATGTAAAACCTAATTACTCAAAAATTATTTAATCTTCATAACCGCAAAGATAAATTAAGATTTCATCAAATTCATCGATAAATTAGGATCAAACTCATCTATAAATTACGATTTATAGTAAATAAGATTCTGATATGGGATACACATTTTAATTAATTTAAATTGGACACTACAATATAATTTATGCTTTACAAAAGATAAATTTCATCGTAGTTTTTAAAAAAATTATCATTTATTTTGTGACTATAATTCTGTTAAAAATCATTTGTAACACATTCATTAAAATTACAACAAAATTAAATTATAATTCAACAAAAATTAATTCATCTAGTTTTTCAACTAATATTAATATAATAAACAAGGAAAAGGTTTTTATTTTTCCAAAAAGTATTAAATTTTTAATTTTTAAGTCTGTAGTTGAAAATTTAATCTTAATTTTTTAAGCATCAATCATTAAAAATATGCTTAAATTATAATAAATTTAAAAAAAATAAAAATAAAAAAATACACCTTACATTTTATAGATATGCCCCCTGCCAAAAGAACCATGGAAGGACGGGGAGAAGTTTTTTGAAGAAAACTACCTCAAATACCGCCACACAATTGAAGGTAAAGGTATTATAAATCCTGTGGGAAAATGACATTTGGTAATGTTATCTAATTTGATAAGAATTAAATTACAATCCTATAAGTGAAAAAAAGTATTAGATATTGAATAGTAAGAAATAAGTTGAAAGTGGAAGAAAGTTAAATGATAAAATTTATTTTAATTATTATACTGTCGGAAACTTATCTCTTTATTGAAATAGTTTTTCTGTAATGAGCGTTTCCTTTGAATTAAACACATATTTTGAAAAGCAACAGTTTATTTGGTTTATTGATAATTTTAATGCATTTTGTTCTTTTTTGCTATTTAATATGCCCTACGGATTTCTGCCATGTATATTAAGTTCTACTATAAACAGAGAAATTAAAATCTATAATATATCTTTAATAAATTTTTTCTTTCGAGTAAAAAGAAAAAATTCCGGATCAAATTACGATACAAAGCAGAACTTTGGGAGCATCATTAGTAATACTCATTTTACAGTAAAATCCATTTTTACCATAAAATATTATACCGTAATTTTTATAGAAATATTTATTTAATTCGATTGGTTCAGTTATTTTACTATCATCATAACGGTAAAAATTACGATATATCAGATTTTTTGTTCCATTACATGTTCTGGTAAAAACATATTTTACAGTAAAAAGTATCTACACCCTGAGTACCGGAACTTTAAACCGCAATTTACGGAATTTTTTACAGTGAAATGGTGCTTGCCACCCATATAATTTTTAATTCATTAAAAATTTAAATAAGTTTAAGAACAATGAAAATGGTAATCTTTTAAAATATTTAAAATAAAATCGTCATTTACTTTGCAAAATGTTCTTTTGCCTTCATTGAGACCCGACATCCTTGAAGAATTAACATCTCAGCATTTTATAGAACTAAAATAAAACAAACAATTGAACTATTACAAAGGACTTCATAAATTCTATTAATAATAATAAAAGAAAACGATTTACTTATCAATCTAGCCAGCTTTTTTGCACTAGCGTGGCGCTGAAACCATTCTTGCCTATGTTCCCATTTTTACGGGCATTGAAAAAAAAGAAGGAAAAAAAACGTCATCTTTTTATTGTTGAAATCTAATATTAGAGTGAAAACTCTTTATATATTTCTCTGCGGTAGACTAATTCCGCAGATACGGCGAAATAGACAAAAAGTATAAATAGCATTAAGGGGTCCAAGCTTTCAACCGCTCTAACTGCTATTGGAACCAAATTTTTCATATTGTGGCTACTCCCTATAATTTGAGACCTGAAAATTCAAATTCTTTAAGAAAAAAAAAATAATATTTATTCAGAGAAAGTACGTTTTCGTGTTCGATTTTGTAATTTAAAATATCATTTTCACTAATCAATTAACATATTTACATATGCTAATATCTAAAGCATATTTGGGATTAGTTCTTTGAACCTTTAGGAATGAGTCATGAAAATTCGATTATTGGATCAATGTATGTATTATAAAGTAGTAAGAACCACAAAATTTTATCCAGTTACTAAATTTTTTGTGGTGGTATATCTACTCTCAGCTTTTCTTATATAAAGCTTTTCTACCGTTCCAGTCGTACATCTACTCTCATCTCTTCTTCTATTTAAACTTTTTTTACCTTTTGATTCGTAATTCTACTCTCTGCCCCTATAATAAAGTGTCAAAGTGACCTTAAAGTATAGAACAATAGGGTTAAATCTGCATGAACTAAGTACAACAACAATAGATTAAAAATAAAACTCAAAAATAGATCCTTCGAAATGGGTAAAACAAATTGGGTCAAAAATTCCTCAGATATTTTTTTTAATAGTCATAGTTTTCCATGGGATAGCTTTTTTTTCTTAAAAATCTTTTCATTATTTATGCGGAAAATCAGTTGAATAAAGATGATAAAAATCCAAATATTTTATTAATTTTAGGGATTTATTCACATGTTTTTTTAATAAGTACTCACACTTTTTTCCCTTCAAGTTAATCTAATTTCCAACAAGCTTTAAGTTCTCAGTCCTAAACAAATACTAAATGTCACAAATTTATGCGAAAAAAATATGATGTAACATTAGCAAGCCTATTCTTTGAACAAGTGATAAATTTAAAAGGTGGGACAAATAATTTATAAGGTTATAGTAAATTTTATAGGTTTTAATTTGATGTCAATTTTAGGAATTCAGTTGGCCATTTGAGACTCATAAAGGGTATAATTTCATTTTTGAAAATCAGTAGCGAAATAAACTGGCTATAAAAAAAATAGTACTAGCAAAATCAGGGTTCATACAAGAATTTTTTCATTCGCGCAAAATGTAGTATAGCACCGCAGAGTATTCGACATAATCATTGCTGTATGACTTATTGCAATAAACGATCATTAATTGGTAAATATTAAATATATATACATTCGTAAGAAAGTTTAAATACTCAAATGGTGATTCTGAATACGTTGGTGGTTGTATCGGATTTAAAATTACGAAGTTTTTAAAATGGTTGGGAAATTGCCGTGCCGGAAGTAAAGCAACTAGTAATTACAACAGCCGGGAAAACGTTTAGAAAATAACATTTGCGACGGCATAGTCGTGAAATGAGCGCATCAAAAAGTGATTAACCAAATTCGAACTTCGGATATTGCAATATCGTCTTAAAAATACCGAAGTTTGAAAAATCGTGTGGATATCGCCGAAAAAATTATAAATAACTATAGAAAAAAAAAATTCAGAGAACGAGGAGAATTTATGATGGGATCTTCGTTGAGAAGTAGCGTCCAGAAATAATAACTCAGATCTGAAATTCGCGTGTCATAATAACATCGAATTAAAAATATCGAAATTTAAAAAATTACGTGAAATAAGACGGAAAAGCAATCGAAAACCCAGGTCATGAGAAGTTACTAGCAATTTTGGCTTCTGCATTTGTCTGTAACAAGGATTCACTTTTTTTAACTAGTTATTTGTTACTTGCTAGTCCACGAATTCGTGCCCTGGATACAGGTATTTAGTCAACGAAAACTTTTGTTCGATAGTAATTAGTTAAGGCATTTTATTTACCCGTTTTTTTTTCTACCAGACTGCAATTTTTTTTATATATATAGCTACGCTATTTTAGACAAGTGGCACCATTTTTATGTGCCATATTAGCCTCAGAATTATTTCATAGTCTTAGATTATAAAATAAATAATATTGCCAAAAAAGCAGCTATTGGAAATGTATAAATACCTTTATATAACCTTTTGCTATAACCTTTTGACGCAGAATTTTTATTAAATATATTTGTCCTATTTTGTTATTATTTTGCCTTGATGTTGGTAAAAATATTTTATTTAAATTCATTGCATTTTAATAATTTATGGTTATGACATACAGCATGAAACATTGATGGCATTTTCTACGCTAAAGGAAAAATCTTCCAAACACGGCTCACTTCCAAACAATAACTTTTCAAATTTGCACTTATTTGCAACGATTTAGATCTAAGAAAAAGTTATTAAGCAATAAAATTTCTTTAATTTACAAAATCAATTATTGCTAAATTTTTTAACTTGAATGAAAAAAAAATCAAACTGCTTTTTTTATACAAATATAATTCCGATAATCTAACAGATGTTTCTAGTAACTATTAAACAGTTTTTCATTATTAAACAATACCAAATATATATTTTTGGTTGCAATTAGAGCGTCAGAAAAAAGAATATGTCAAAGGGACACCGATGTCAAATTAACATTAAGTGGTCCATTTTCTAACCAAATAATAATTATCAGTGATATGATGTAATATGAAGACTTAATAGTTACTTTTATGTGATCGACGTCAATCTGACGCACTTAATAGAAACTTATTTCATAGTCTGATCAAAGAAAATGCCTGTTTGCATCAAATGAAGCAGTTGTAATGTTTGCGAGAAATCTTAAAAAGTCAGCTATAAGTTCCCTATAAGTTACTCAGCTATAAGCTCACAGTCATATGCAAATTGTATACTTTATCTAGAAATGAAACACAAGTTGCAAAGATTTAAATTCTGAGTTGATGTTTCGAATGTTACTTATACGCAGAGTAAGAATTGCAAAGATTGAAAAAAATGCTTAAATCCCTTTGATCAGCAATGTGAATTCTTTGACAATCAACCAGATAAGAAGGAAGATGAATCAGAAATAAGAAAAAAGTTTTATTTGTGAAAAATAAACCTAATACATCATAAACAAACTTTTGAAAGTTTAGCAAAATGGTTTCGGATGCATGGTGTAAATCCAATATATTAGCAGCTACTTTCTATGTCAGCAACAATTACAATCTGATGAACAACGTAATACATACTAAGAACAGATGTAAATAGGTTTTACTTGTTTTTGTATAAATCAGTCATAGTAAATATCTGAAATGAGAAATAAATTTATCGAAAACAATTTGCCGTGGTCATACATATTTACATAGTTAAATACAATTCAAGATCATTTTTATAAGCCTAAATTTTTGTGTTAAGCAAACATATTGTAAATATAATTTTCATGAGAAGAAGATTTTTTTTTGTAAATACTAGATTAAAACAATAGATTTTATTCAAAGTTGCAAAGGCTATTTAAAAAACGTTTGTTAAGTTATACCGCTCATTGTTTTCCTATGCATTGTTATTATCTCGAATATTTTATTTTATTTACCCTTTCTCCGTAAGGGGTGAAAAAAATTAAGCTGTCAATAAATCTATAATGAAAAACACAACGAAACCATGCTCAAAACTGAAAGACATATACCAGAACAATTAATAAAGATAAAATAATTCTTATATTTTGTTTTCCTTGCGGGTAGTTTTACGTTATTATATTAAGAAAAACTTTCATTAAGAAAAACATGCAAGTTCATTATTTAATTATTTTTACCTTTTGTTTATTCACAAAATTAAGTTTTGATCAAATTTAGCACTTTCATAACATGTATTTCCCTCTTGTAAGCATCTGGACTCCGATAATTTCGAGCTGTGCAAAGAAAAATCCCAATATCTGAGATTTTAAATGTTGAAACTTTATTTTGTTGTAAACTTGAAAATGTCAGTTACATTTTATTCCCAAAATTCCACAAATATATAAAAATTAAAAAGCGAGTAAATTAATTTTTACCATATTCTCTTTTAGAAATCTCAATTAAAATACAAATCATAATAGAGGTATTTTTGCCTCATTAGTGATTTTGATCATGGATACCTTTTTATCCCTTGATCAAATACAAATATGTAACTTGCAAACTTGATATACAAATACAAATATGTGAATACAAATATGTAATACAAATATGTGAATATGCAAACTTGATTCAATTCATTCAACTCTATCTAAAATTATAAGTTCCTAGCGCTGATTATGGAACATTCTGTATATTATGAGTATTTAGTCATCATAAAGTAACCTTTTTTCTTAAATTTATTCTAGTTTTTAAATATTGAAAATCCTTGTAGTCAAATTACAAGTGTTCGGCAAGGTGTCATCTTTTAGAAAATTTTAACTACAGATCTTTATAAAATTACTTATAATGTTTTTTTTATTTTATTTTATTTTATTTTATTTTATTTTGTAACCGTCGTTGATCAGCCGACCCAATTTTGGGTTTACAACTACTAATGTTCATCTCCGTAGCCTTGTAATTTTGAATCCAATCCAGAAGACAAGGGAACTCCTGGACCAAGTATTGAGAGAAATTTGCCTTCATGAAGGACTTTTTGATGGAACTAATTGCATTTACGTTGAATGGAGAGGAAAACCACGAAAACCATCCATAGTTAGCCTAACGACAAGGGTATTCGAACCCATGATCCGTCTATCATTGAGGATCTTTCACGTTAGCACTGTGGTCGGTGCAAGTCGGATGCGGATTTCGTATCAACCAGTAATCGCGGGTATTCGAACCCGGTTCACCTCATTGGAAAGCGAACACTCTATCCTTGAGCCATCACGGCTCTTCTTACAATGTTTGTCAATTTTTGTAGATGTTCAATTTACGGTTCACAATATCTCAAAACTCATTAAATGAAAAAGAAATAAGACTCACTAAAGCAACACAAATGAAAAATCCGAGAAAGAAACCGGCCAAAATGTCATCCCAGTGATGCATGTGGTCGGCGAGTCTGGTAAGAGTTATGTATCCTGTTGGCATCAACAACATCCATAATATCAATGGCTTTGCCAATACACTGTATCTGGTGAAAGTTACTTTTTTATGAAGATAAAACTGAAAAAAAAGGAATATAGTAGAGTATAACACTTCATTCAATCATTTAAGTTAAAATCATCCAAATTCAATACTTGCCACTATATAGAACATTGAATAAGTTGTAAGAGCTGCATGACCTGAAGGAAAGGATTCTCTGAAATAATATTTTAAAAAATAAGTACATATTTTACAAACTGAGAGAAATATTTTTGAAAAAATAAGTACATAGACGCATAAAGGTTCACAAAAAAAATAATTTACATGCAGTTATAAATGTTGTCATATAAAATCTACGCTATAAATTTAAGATATTCGACCGACTTCGATACAATTTTTTTTAAGTTGAATACGCATTGCTATAATTCAACTTGAAGGGAAAAACAATTCGATTTATGCCGTTATATATGTTGCAAAGGCATGATAAGAAAACGTTCCTTTGTACCTTGTACAAATTATATAACCAAATTGCCTGAATTTGAATTGATTGAGCAACCTTAATGTGGTGTAATTTGAACTATTTTATCATACACCATTTATCCTCCTTTAAGTTGATTGCACATTGCTATAATTCAACTTGAAGGGGAAAACAATTCGGTTTATGCCGTTATATATGTTTCAAAAACATGATAAGGAAACGTTCCTTTGTACCTTGTACAAATTATATAACCAAATTGCCTGAATTTTGAAATTTGAATTGATTGAACAACCTTAATGTGGTGTAAATTGAACTATATTATCAAACACGCTAATCCTTATTTAAGTTAATTACACTTTACTATAACTCAACTTGAAGAGAAAAACGATTTGGTTCATGTAGTTATATGTCTTGCAAAGACATTATCAGAAAACGTTATTTCGCACCTTGCCCTAATTATGTAACCAAGCGAAAAATAATAAGATGAGACAACAACAACAAAAAATATATTTATAATTATTTTAAGATATCTTACCGAAAGTATTTCTCATCAAGTAAATTAGGATTGGTACACTTATACTCGGTAACATAATAATGAGGATTTGCTACAGAAGAGCAATTGAAATCAGGTTTGCAAAGGGCTAAAAAGTTTGGACGAGGTCTCCCTATAAATGATTTGATGAAATCATTAGACAGTTCTGACATAAGTAGACCAATGAAAAGTACACCTCCGAAGCTGTAGATTTCTTGAATCATGTGCGGAACTTTCCATCGAAAGAAATATATCTCATTCACTTCAATTTCCATAACTGTAAACTTTCTAACCACTTCCGTTAGACAGATCTGCAACACATGCATATATAAGAAAATTAAGAAGCGGAAAATAATTACCATTCAATACGTTATAAATTTACAAATATTAAATAAAAATAGTACCAAGATGCTGTTAATAAGAAATTCGAAATTTGGAATTGAATCAAAATTTGGAATAAGTAATTGTGTGATTTTAAAACTTATTTGTATACCTATTTTTTTTTTTTTTTTTTTTTTTTTTTTTTTTTTTTTTTTTTNTTTTTTTGCAAAAATTATGCAATCCGAAATTTTTATACTTTCGTACCCAACAATATTTTTTATTTATTAATTAATAATTGTGCAGGTAATATGTTTATTAAGTAACAACTAATTCATACAGTATTTTCGTGCTAAAACAGTTAATTTTTCGGCAAGATTACATACTAAACCTTGTAAAATCAAAAAAGTAAATAAGTCGAAAAAATATCTATTAGTTTTAACGAAGCACAAAAGCATATTATTTATAATTTTATATGAGAATTCAAACGAATACAAAAAATTGAAGAAGTAATTTACAACGTGAGAGTAAAACGCTCGTATAACAGAGTGAAAAATTAGTTTTGACAGACAATGCCTGGCTAAATCAAATATTTCATGCACAATTTTATATTAAATATTTAACCAGTTAAATAAAAATAGTAAAACTAACAAAGTAATTCTCAACGTGAGTGTGATACCACAATAGACATTACACATATATATTTCCTAGCTTTTAAAATTTCTTTAATTTCTTATACTTTTTTAAATCATTAGTAACCGAATTTTAATTAAATTAAACCAATTATTTAATTTTTCTTTCAGTTATATAAAATTGTAATAAATCTTTAGTAATCTTAATAAATCTTAAAATTATATCTTTTTATAAAAAAGAGTATATAAAATATTTTATTCTTTTCTTAACAGTCAATGTAACGGCTAACTTCCTATTTCAATACTAATGTAAGACTAATTAATTCACTGTCGCGACTAAATCAAAAACAAAAATCTATTTATAACTCTTTATTCTTTATTTCTTGCCACAAAAATGTCTCAGTTACATGATTTTACTAATTCTCATAGTCTTTTAGGCGATTCACTTTCGCCAAATTATTTTTAAATTTACTACTGATTATTTTGGGTTGGCTTTATTTTTGGATATGTAATCTTTCCATAATTCGCCAACCATGGATTTCTTCCCATGCTCCTAACTATTCGTTGGGAACAATTCATTTACGATGTTATTCATTTTTCTGAGATAAATATCTCTACTTGATATTCAAATTGAAGTGTATCTCACTCGGCTAAAAATATGCTTAATACTACAATGATGCTACCTGAACGAACCACAAAATTGGACTGATCTCCGCCTCCACAGTGAGCATAAAATATGCAACTAAATAAATGATATAACTGAGGGAAAAAACACATAATAAGAATAATTTTGACTTACAATGCCTAAAGGAACCAAAGTACAAAAACTCCAAAGGATAGCATTTGTAATGGTATTTTCTTTTTCAGGATACATTATGTTTTCATCATCACAGAAGAAACCTTGTCTAGTTGGTGTTGTACAATGCCAAACAATAGGCACTATCCCTCCACCTATGGAAAGAAATTAATCAAATTAGAGAACACAATTCTTGTTTACTAATATATCAGAATATTAATGTAAAAATTGTGGAATCCTAAATCCTTTTGGTTTTAACGCTTGCATCCGCGTTTTGAAATACAAGATAATATTCTTCCTCAAAAATCACTAATTTTATAAACAGAGTGCACAGAACGAAAAATTAACTTCCCTAAATGAACTTATCAACAAAACATCTAATGTCATGTGCTTTAAATTTTTTTATTATAGTTAATTTACAGAAGTATGCAGTCTACGTCATTATCAAAGTTCTTTTTTTTCTTTAACAGTCGCTGTTAAAAACCAGCAGAGAATTTTTATTAAACATATTTTTCATGCATTTTTCATTATTTTGTAAACATTTAGGTCAAAAATACGTGAAAATGTTATATTTAGCATTTTAATAATTTATAGTTATGAAATATAGCATAAAATACCGGTATTTTTTTCTGCGTAATCTTTCACACGCGGCTCACTTCCAAACAATAAATTTTTTTTTTAAAATGTGCATTTATTTGCAGCTGTTTGCACACCTAGAGAAACGGTTATTATCATTGAAATGTCTTTAATTTACGAAAACAATTGTTGATAAATTTTTTAATACCAATGAACTACTTTTTTTGGATTATATAATTTTGTAGAAATATAATTTAATAATCTAACAGATTATTTTTTTTAAAAATTACTGCACTGCTTTTTTTTTATAATTAAAAAATACTAAAATATACTTTTGATTGTAATTAGAACGTATCAGAAAAAAATATATATAAAAAGCACACCAGTATTGCATCTGCGTCAAAGAGTCAAGCAAGTTATTCTTCTAAGAACTAAATAAAACATTCAATCCTATTGTCATTATTGTTATTATTATTATTACAACAGAAGTATATATGAGGGAAATAAGGAAAATCATATTCGCGACTATCACGGTTATCATTAAAAAAATCGGTTCAACTTTAATATCGGTATCTTGAACCATATTACCTTGCGAAACTTTAATTAAGAATTTAATTGTGCCATATTACCGCCCAAGGAGAACTATATTGAGTGCTCAAATTTAAAAAGGGGAAATCAAAATTAAGGAAAGTTGCCCTAAATATCTAAATTAATGTACTAAAAATAAGAAAATTGCATATACTAAAATTTTCTGGTGGACTGAAAACATTTCCCAATTGTCCTTCATCAGGCCACTCCCAAAAATATCTTGGACTTTCTTGGATTCAGCTGAGAAGAAATCTACTCGTCTTCTCTGTTTGTCATCGACATGCTTAAAATCAACGGTTTATTCGACCTAGTCTGACGTAGTAATTATATTAATAACAATAGCTAGAAATCATTACTATATTAATTATAATAATTATAATTTCAAATTCATAGTAGTCATATTGGTCTATAAAGTGGAATAAGTTTTTTATGACGTTAAATTATTTTTATATCTTATTGGAAACAGTATCTAGATAAATTTCAATTGTAATTTTTAATATCCATAGTTATATGTAATAAGTATGAGGACTTACATATAAGAAGAAGTATACAGTCAACAAATACTTGAGGTGCAACGTTCCTTTTCTCTTTAATCTTTTCTTCCATTTTTTCTGTACCATTACTCATAGTTTATCTGTAATACAATATCATAAAAATGTAGGAAAAAACATCAATATAAACTTTAAAGATTACAAATATGTTTCACAAAAGTTTTTTAAACCATATTGGTTCGACTTAAATTTTCAGCGGTACCACTCAAAAAAACTTTATCCTCAATTAAAATTTTAGAGAAAAAAAAAATTTATTTTAAAAGTATTACACATAGCAAACAGCCAGATAATTTACTAATACGACAATTATTCTTCTTTAGTAAATCTGTCTAGACAAGACTTTATGTTCGATTGTTTGGAGTTTTACAACAACACATTTCCTTTATTTTCTTTATAAACGAAGAAATAAAAACCGAGACTATGTTTTGAAAATTCAAAACTTAAAACTCCTACCACCCGGTTGAACTTTTGGGACGTTTACAGAAGGTTCAGTTCCTAATGCCAACAATAAATTTACCAACAGGGGATGGAGCTTACGCCTCCCTGTAAGGTGATCCAGGTTCGATTCCCAGTGGTGGCTGGTTGATAAGAATTCTGCTCCCGGCTCAAACCGACCACAGTGCTGACGTAAAATATCCTCAGTGGTAAACAGATAATAAATTAGAATCCCCATGCCATCGTGCTACCCGTGGGAAGTTTTTCATGGTTTTCCACTTCATTGAACAAAAAAGTGGGTTAGTTGCATCAAAAACTTCTCCCCGAAGGCTAGTTAGTCCCAATGCTTGATCTGGGAGATTCCTTGTCTTCTGGGTTGAATTCAAACTTATAAGGCTACAGAGTCGTGCACTGATAGACGTAAACTGAGATTCGGGACGGCTGCTCAATGCCTGCTATAAAACAAAAACAAAAATCACTTATCCTACAGAATGTATCCCTACATAATCATTCTTGTCGCCAAAAGGATCGTTTCGCCGATAGCTTCTACCTTCAACACGATTACTTCCCCGACAGCTTATTTTATTTTATAACCGTCGTTGAACAGCCGACCCAATTTTGGGTTTACGACTAGTAATGTTCAACTCCGTAGACTTGTAATTTTGTATCCAATCCAGAAGACAAGAGAACTCCTGGATCAAGTATTGGGAGAAATTTGTCGTCATGGAGAACTTTTTGATAAAAACTAACCCACATTTGCATTACATGGAGAGGAAATCCACGAAAACCTCTGACGGTTAGCCTGACGGCAAGGGGACTCTAACCCATGATCCGTCTACCACTGAGAATATTTTACGTCAGCACTGTGATCAGTGCAAGCTGGGTGCGGAATTCGAATCGACCAGTCATCGCTGGAATTCGAACCCGGTTCACCTCATTGGAAGGGGAACGCTCTATCCCCTGAGCCACATCGCCTACACGATAATTTCTGCTACACAATTATTCGCCGACAGCTCATATCTCCGTAAACGATTGTTTCACCAACATCTCATTTCGCCCACACAACCGCTTCGATATAATGAAAAAATGCGTACTGTTTGTATAATAAACTATGTATAGTAAAGTATATATAAGGATGTAATTCATTTGCTTCAAGAAAAAAAATATGCGTTTTATTACTCATATTTTCGAAACACTTTATTTTTTTCCACCAATATATTGATGATGTTTTAACGATTATATACTTCATTATTCTAGTCAAATCAAATAGTTAATGTACCATTTGTTGATGTTGTTGTGGTCAGCTATTAAGGCAGAAGGAGTGCGATTGTTCTTGTTTTACAGTGGCGCCATCTATAGTCAAGAGTACGACTTCTTCCACAGCCATATGTCACACCCGTTTATAGGGCGGACCCATTCATTCATCCACAGATCGTAATTTTGACCTGAACCAGAGAACGATCAATCTCCATTTCAGTACCCCCAGAGCTATAATTTGTTATGGGCACATGGAGGACTTTGCGACCCGACAAATTTAACATGCACCAGTCACCATTTACTTCGGGCGGCTGGATTCGAACCCCCGTTCTCACAAACGTGACCCCAACGTCGGTGAAATTATCGGGATGGTAAAGAGTGCACCAAGTTTTAGCGACAACCGGGCGTTGGGACGTGAAAAGTCAAACATTTCGGGATCGGTAGAACCTGAAGACCTAAACTTGTTACCACAGCTTGCCCACAAGGTTCCAGACACTCACATACAAACAAACTCACTCTTCATATTATTACTAACAGTTTTCGGCAGCCAGCTCTTTCACCTTCACAAATTCGACAATTCATCGCTCCATAATGACCTCCTACCTTCAGCATTATTGCGCTGAATCTATGGCATTTTAAGAATTTCAAGTAAAAATCGGAGAGTCAGCATCAACCCTACATATATTATACTTATATGTATCAACCATACATATATGTCACTGTTTGTGCTTACAAGTAAGAAATAAAAAAAGAATTAGTCTGCGACCAAAACTTTCCTTTTCTTTTAACTTTAAATAAGTTTGATACACTATATCTCTAAATGCTTCATATGTAGAAATAATAGCCCTATATTTCTTTTAAAAAATACGAATACCGAAAGAAAAAAAAATACCAATAGCATAAATTCAAATTTTTCCAATAAAAGAAATTTAAGTTATTATTAAAAATGGTAAAAAATAATTATTATTTACCTGATACAACCTAACAATTTCAGCAATGTCTCATAGTTACAGACAAAACACCTTTCACTTGCAAAAATATCATATAAATTATGTTTTTGCAGATGTCCTTGCGAATAGTCTTAGATAACCCGAGAATTTAATAGTCGAGATAATGAAACGTAAAAATTTTGTAAAACGATAACACTGAAATAAATTTTATTCCAGAAAATAACTTTTTTAAACAACCATATCCCGATATCATAAAATAATTCCATCTATTTATTTATTTACTTCACAATGAAAAAAAAAAAAAGCTTATGCAATATCTTTTCTTATATTTTCTACAAATTTAAAATGTAAGAAAGAATTAAAAACGCTCATTTTATAACGTGAATCTGATAAGTTCATGAATTATAAGCTTTAGAGTTTCTATAACAACTAAGGAATCTAGTTCAATGGGCTTCTTCAGTTCGTTTTAAAAAATTTTACATTCTAAAAGAAAATGTCATGTTTCAGTCATATTTCAGAAGATATAAAGGAGAATAAATTAGTTTTAATTTATATTACTTGTTCGTTGTTCTCATCATTTGCAAAAGTCTAATTTCTTCTTTGGTGAATGTTTGCAATAATTTATTTGTTGATAATTAATTAATTTAATCAATTTGTTGTTAATAATTACTCTATCGAATGATAAAACAAAAATCCTTTAATAAATATATTCATTAAAATGGCCAGTATTTTATGCAACAGCTATTTACTATCGGGCCATATATATATGTAGAGAGAGATAGATCATAATACGTAATAAGGTTTTAAAAATACGTCACGACCTATATCTTGTATTCAATCACCGTTTAACTTTCTTTTCTTTATAAGTTTTATTTCTCCCACAAAAAATGAAAAAATGAAAGTAACTATTAAAAAAATGAAAGTAACTATTTATTTGCACGACTCATTTTAAAATAAAAAATACACAGGTGGAGGTTGAAACAGTATCGGCGATCGCATTTCCCATGCTTTCACCATTAGCGTGAGGAGAGTCTTAGAAGAAGGAAGTACGTTACTTTCTGTGTTAATTTGCAAATAGATTAAAATCTTTTAAGTTAGGAAACTATATGGAACTGAAAACTACATTAAATATAGTTCTAAAAGAAAGCGTTATGGAAATTTTAAAAAATATTTTTATTAATTAAATACAAAAAATATTAAGGAAAGGAAAAATATCGTGGTACATTCCTATGCAACCGAAAAGACGAGGAGAGGGAAGGGTCAAAAGCATGGAACTGGTCTTCTCCCCAGATGGCGTATTCGAGCGTTGCGATCCGCCTATTACATANAAAAATCTCATCCCTGTATAAAGGTCAACCAGTTTTATCCCAAGGAAATGATTTTTAGAGAAACTTCAGATGAAGGAATGAGGACTTCAATAATTTCGCTCCGCGGAAAATTAAATTCCTCATAAAATATTTTAACTTGTGCAAATAACAATTTCAGCGGAAATTAGCGGAAAAAATGGAAAAATCTGAGAAAAAGCGGAAATCCGCGAATCCGCGGAAGAATCTCATCCCTGTGGGTAACACGTTAATTATCTCATAAAACGAAAATATTCTCCATTAATGCGTTTCCCCGACTAAAAGCTGGGTACTCTAGTTCAGCAGTTCCCAAATGAGGTTCCGCCAGATAACACTCTAATAACCAGTGATTTGAAACCTCTAATTGAATTTAAATCCAATCTATAATTCCAAATTTATTTAATCTTACACCTATTCTATACTGAATTTGGTTCGAGCTGGGCGCGTTTTTAATGGGTAACACGTTAATTATCTCATAAAACGAAAAGATTCTGCATTAATGCGTTTCCCCGACTGAAACATGGGTACTTTAGTTCGGCAGTTCCCAAATGGGATTCCGTGGAAGATTTAAAGGAGTTCTGCTAGTTAACACTCTAATAACCAGGGATTTGAAACCTCTGATTAAATTTAAATCCAAGCTATAATTCCAAATTTATTTAATCTACACAGGCCTTAATGAAATTATTTCAAGTAAAATGTTTATGAAATAGAAATGGCATTTTTTAAAGGAAAATAAAAAAAATTCTAATAGCAATATATCGAACGAATTATGAAAAGAACAAGCATTTATAAAATATTACATTAGTAATTCTTATCACACTTTTCAAATCAAAATAACTAAAATCTTCAATAAAGAAATGTGTTTCCACAATAACCATTTCCCGTTTATAGCTTCTTTTTAGTTTTTATGTCAGAATTTAGCTTATTTAATCATTTTTAGCTTATATGTATACACCAGAAACAAATAACTAGATTATATAAAGCAATAGGATTTAACTGTAAAAATTTGACTGTCAGACATAAAACCTTGTTTAAAATCATTAATGATAAAGATGAAAAATCTCCATCCCTGTAATTAAACATAGTTTCTTACAGGTTAATACATTCACAAATACCGTAAGCATTATTTATTAAATTAAGGTTCTGCCGAAGAAACCTCGATTATTTAGGGTTCTGTAGTTGATAAAAATTTGGAAACGCTGATCTAGTTAATAATTATATTAAAAAATTTGTTCACTTTTACGGAAACATTATGAATATCCAAAAGATTAAACACCTAACTCTACACAGATTATCCATCCAGTTTTTTTTTTCCATAAACTAAAAATCTTAAAACATTACTCCACTTTTTATATATATTTTACATGTGTCATTTAATTTGGTACAGTGAGAAAAGGGGAAAAAATATCAACTTAAATAACTTATGTTTTAATGGTATGATCAAATTTTCACGTATTAAAGAATATTCTAAATGGCGCAAGTTGCTAACTATTATTAGTGAATTCTGTTGATATTGAACTACAGTTTAATTTAGTACTTTCTCCATATTTATTTTGGTTTGACAGAACTACTAGTCTGAAAGAATTTAGGACAGGTGAAGTCACTTTTTATCAAAATTTGGCGACTCTAAATAGATTTAACTCTAGCTCAATTTTAATAATAACAATAAATTTTCAAATTTTCTGGCTATACCTCCCCATAAACTTTCAAGAACATATGCACAATTACCTTTCTAAGAATAATAGAACTTATTAATTTAGAAGTTCTCAAACCTAATATGTTAAAAAAAATTTAATAAAATTAATTGCATTTTTTTAATTCCTTTCAACAATGAAATTTTAAAAATAATGCATGACATAGCGATGGAGACATGAAAGAATAGAGAAAAGAATTGTTAAAAAATCATCTTCCTTCTGCTTTATTTTATATATTTAGAACACTGAAATAAATGTATTTTGTGCATTGTGCTGAGATTGCTTAAAATAACTAAAATGCTTAATATCATCCACATTCTCAGCCATACACTTTTTGCAATTCATAAAAATTAAGGTAGAAAGAAATTTTGCTTCTTTCATCCAAACAATGCAAAAGATCAGTTTTTTTTATTTGTTATTATTATTAAAACTTCATTTCGGAGTTTACTAAAATTATTAAGCCAGTTCACAGAATAATAATTTAACAAAAATTACAAAAGTATCTAATAAAATCATTAGTTAGTAACAAATAAGTAATCCAAAATTCTAATTTTAGTAATATAAAATTGTTTTTAAAAATATACATTAACACCAATACCAGGAGTAAACTTTTAAAAACTACTTTTTAAGCTTTTATAAATATTTAATTTCTGCATAGAAAGTCCAATTTAACAAATCATTAACCCGTATGTGCTGAACCACCTAATAGCTTTTTTTAGTGAAATATGTTAAATTAAAAAACTGTGTTGTTCAGTTAATAAGATGTATTAGGAAACATACTGACTTTTAATTTAATAAAACAGAAATATTAAATTACTCAAAAAAATTGTGCTTTCATGTAGCTACAATTATGTATTTCATTTTTTTCTTCAAAATATTTAAATTAGCCAACTTTGCATAGGGCATTTTTTAATGTTCTATTGACTAAAACAATAATACACACATAATTGTTTTAGTCAATAAGTTAATAAGTTGAGTCAAAAGACTAAGATACTTTAATAGACTAAGATACTTTATTTAAATTTGGATGCATATCCCAAAAACAAATAATAAACTATATCAAAGAAAAAACATCAAGTAAATAAAGGGAAAGAATACATAAAAATAATAACTGCATCACATGCCACTCATCAATCCTCCACACATTTTTTAGGATTTTTCAATTTTTTTTGTCCTTTTTTATTTTATAAGTTCATGGTATTCACGTGGGATTTTTTTTTTATTTTTGCCCTTTTTTTTCATTCTTTTTTTTAATTTTTTTGTTTAACAACTAATATTTATAGTAAAAATAAGGCAATTAAGCATCTTTCTTCATGCCTCCAGCACCCAAAGTTTCTTTAGCATGATGAGCTTGAAGTACTGCAACAGCTTCTTCAACCTGTAAAACAAAAAAAATTATTAAAATTTTTATGTCACAAGAAAGCTCTACTCACCGACCATTTGTGCCTGTTTCTCATTCAGTATTTCCTTTCCTTTATAAGTCAATAAAAAATATTTTGTTTATTAAATTGATAGCTATTATAATTGCTATAACCTTATGAAAGCACATTTAGTTGATATGTTAATTGTAACCAAATATAAAGACAATTGGATTTGAAAAATAATCAAATTTACTTGAAAAATATCTATAAGAATATAGAATGTGAGAAACGATAAGATTTAATAAATGAGAAGTAATTTTACTTGTTGATAGTATAAAACGATAATCGTGTATCAAATAACAGTTCTAATGAAAATCAAATGCTTTTATCTCGCTGGAGCCTTTTATATTTTTAAATATTTCAAAACAAATGCTAGGATTTATGTGTGGCCACATCTAATCTCTCACTCACATATTTTTACTTATCTTACTTATTCATTTTCTTTTTTCTTTTTTTTTGTTACTTTAAGCATTGAGTCAATTTGAGATCAAGGTGCGTAGCCATATTTTAGTTCTTCATATATATATATAAACAAAATGCAAATTAATTTTCGAAGACTTTTGCACAATCAGGGTAAAATAACTAATTTCTGACAAAGAACTACTTTCTTGATTATATTAGTCACCATAAAAAACCATAAAAATAATTTAAACACAATTTTAATGTATTCAATATTGAGTAGCTCATTCCATTTTTTAAATTAAAATTAATTAACTTAATAACGTTAAAAAAAATCAAAATTATGATTGATTTAACTATTATTTAAAAAGGTTATCAAGTGTATTTTTTAGATTACAAATAAAAGTTATTTATATAAGCCTATTCAACATAGCATTAACAATATTAATACAGGGTAGTTCAAAATTAATATAGCGATTACAAACGGCTATAACAATTTAATGAAAAATAATTTATCACTAAGATTAACATAGAATATAGATGGAACTTCAAAATTTCTTCACGTAAGGCGCAGGTGCAGTGAAGCGGAATCCTGCGCATGTGCAAGTTTATTGGTAGAAATGGCGAGCCCTGTACAGAAAGCATTCAGCATGTTAGAACTTAATAATTGTCATTCTGTTATCTCGGTGAAAGAGAAGATTTCGTCAGTGTTACAATCAAGAACCTCCAAATGGGAGCAACATACGCAGGTGGCATCGGATGTTTGAAGAAACGAGATGTTTGTGCAAAGGGAAAAGTAGCACTTGCGTTGGCGACTGCACAAATGCTTCAGAATGTATGGCATGAAATGGACTATCGCCTAGATGTTGTCCGTGTGACCAAGGAAATTCACATAGAAAATCTGTGACACATGTATGCGAAACTTTGAAGTTCCTTCTGTGAAAATTTTATCCATAAATCCTTTTTCATTTAATAGTTATGGATATTTGTAATTGCTACAATCTTTTTGAATTACTCTGTATTATAGATCATACCAAATTTATAAACATATATAGAGAATTAAGCAAACTCAAAAAACTTTAATGCATTCAAATTACAAATGTAAATTAATAAATGACCCCCCCCCCAAAAAAAATTTATTAACATTTTTTACTTGGTTCAATATTTCTTTAATGAAATGATTAAAAAAATGTAAATAATTTTGAAATGTAAATACAACGAGTTCCTTAATGAAATGATTAAAAAAATTTAAATAATTTTGAAATGTAAATACAACGAGTATTGAAGCTAAACATTTGTGTCAGAAGTAAATTAGAGATAATCCAATTCTGAGACAATCCAATTTTTTTTATTTCAATTGTTTCTAAATCAAATCATTAAGAGATAAATTAAATTTTTTGATGAATGAAGCATTTCTGTGGCCTGTGTGGAATTTTTTACTACAAGTTTAATAGTCAATAATTCTTGAAGTAAACATTAAATGTGAACATTTTTTATTCTATTTTAATTCCTGTACATTTTTCTATACAGCTTTGTAATTAAACCCACACATTTTAAACCAAATGGGTCAATCTTCATCTAAAATATCTGGGTTTTTTTCAAACCCTTTAGCTTAACTAGATTGAATTTGCTTAAACTATAAATTAATTATTAGACAGATAAAAGATAAATAATGATAGAGTCCAAAATGAGACTCGTAAAAAGTAAAATGAGACAAAAAAAATCAAATCACAAATTAATCTAGCTTCATGAAGTCCAATGAATATTCATAAATATTAAAAAAATAATTTAAAACAACTTGTCTACACCAGTTAATATAACAAATAAATTTACCTTAGCCTTAAGAGATTCATGATGCTCCAACATGTGCAATAATTCTGAATTATCAATTTCCAGCAACATGCCAGTAATCTTGCCAGCCAAATCAGGGTACCAACGGTGAATAACTGGAAACAATCGCTCACCCAACATTTGCTTCTGCTCTTGAGCAGTTGCTTCAGCTAACATGGAAGCAGTCAAAGGTTCTTGTCCTTGGATATGAACAGCTTGCTGAGCAACAGCTTGTTGTGTAACAGCTTGCTGAACTGTTTGAGGTTGAGGAGGATTACGCATGTTAGATGTATACTTATAAGCAGCAGGGCGGCCTTGGTTAACACTTGGTGCGGGAACACCAGCAGGCCGTGCAGCACTGACTCCAGTAGTACCCATAGCAGCAACTCTTGTTCCAGTAGCAGCTGCTGCTGCGGCCGCAGCAGCATTGGGTTGTTGACCAGTAATTGGTCGAGCAGTTATGCCAGCTCTCATACCTGGATTTTGAGAAGCAGCAACAGCAGCAGGACGTGCAGCAGCTCTAGCAAATGGTGCTGCAGTTTGCATGGCTTGAAAAGCTGTGAAAAATAAGAAACAATGTATATTTGAATTCAAAGGTGTTTTAAAGCTTAATCAATAAATAAAATTTATATTTAGAATAAAAGTTAAGTTTCAATTTACAACTACTCAAAATATTATGAATATGTGAATAAAAATGTAAGATATATAAAGTTCATTAATACTAAATCTATGAATCATTGTCTAAAGAATTATATTTGTGCATTCTAATTAAGATAACTCATATGCCGAAGGCATTATGACCTATTAAATTTAATACTGATTACTATATATTAGAACATATTACACATGCTCAATTTAATAAATAATTTATTTGTATAACCACAAATCTGATATGAATTGGCTGTATAAAGTGCTGATTAAATAAAATCATAGTTTTCTGCAACAAGTAAAAATATTCATCATCAGCTTAGAACATATTTTTGTATTAAAAGTTAAAATATGAATAATTTCTGAGAATAAAGTAAAATATGCAATTTTAAAAAAGAAAAACAGTTTATATCATTTTTTATATATTTAAGAACACCTATTTCTTCTGGGGTTATTTTTTTACAGTGAGGAACACACATAAATCTTTGCAAATAAGCTAGGACTGTGGACAGAATGTAAACATTTTGTTCAAGATAATTCTTGGTTCCTCATAACTCCTTGTAAATCCTGCATTCGTAATTGTATTAGAACTACATTTCATTTACGGCACTTCACTTCTTCTCACACATTTATGATGTCAGATTGCCAATTTTTAATATGCATGTTTTAAAAAAAAAATAAATGTTAAACTGTTTTTTAGTGATATTAAAATCACATACATTTTGTACATGTTTTTTATGAAAATAGTTTAAAATATCAAACTTACTAAAACTTAGGAAATTCACAGAAATATAAAAGAAATTAAATAATAATTAGAGTTTGAATTTTATAATCATAACAGTAAGATATAAACTTCAAATTAAGAGTACCTGCAGCAGGCTGAGCTCCAGGCCTCATTTGTGGTGTTGTAGGCCAACGAGGTGTAGCACGCATTTGAGCCATCTGAGGATAGAAGCCTCGCTGAGCTTGGGGCATTGTTGGAACAAAATATCCAGCACCACTTGGGTTAAACATCTGACCCAACTGAAATATAATAAAAATAATACTATGTATGAAGACATTATTTCACAAGTAATGAATTTATATATAAAACTGTGTATTATTTATTATAACCCAAACGTAACAGAATTTATCAGCAAATTTTCATGACAGAAATGACATATTCACCCATAAACAAATATTATCAAAATACTTTTAAGTTTTCTGAAATAGCCAAAAAAAATAAAAAATAAGCAAATCTACTTAACATTTAAAATTATATACTAGATCTTAAGAAACCAACAAAATGATTATAAAAAATACCAACTAATATTCACCTGCATTCTCATCCCTGCCATTCGCTGCATATATTGAGAGGCAAGATGAGCTTTTCTATCTTCTTTTCTTTGAGCTAAGGCAACATATAGGGGCTTTGAAACCACAATTCTTCCATTCATTTCTGTTACCGCTTTTGTTGCTTCTTCTGGGGAGCTGAAGCATACAAAGCCAAATCCCTTGGAACGCCCATTTCCATCAGTCATGACCTGTGAAATTTTTGAAGTACTTTAGATTTGAATTTTGAAATAATATAAACTTTTAATAAAAAAAGTAAACTCAATATTAAAATCTACATCAATAATTACATGATGTTAACATTCATAATCTTAAAATATTAATATTAAGACAAAATAAAATTCAATAACCAGAAGTAAAAAAGTTTTTGCAATGCTTAATATATTTGATGAAATTTAATTAGTATCAAATCATTTTTTAAAAGAATATCAGAATATTCTATTGTAATTTATTAAAACGTTATCTTAACTATATAGAGCTACTTTAAAACATAAATCCATACAATTCAAAAATTACCACAAAACTGAGGTGATATACAACTATAGAAAAAAATCTCATATTTATTTACAATTTTCTTCATTTTTCCCTGGCATACAGTACATTTAGTAATTCAGCATCACTATTCAATCTACTATTGCATTCGCCTTTCAGAGATCTTTTTATTAAGAAATATTCACCATCTATCTTAAAAAAAACAGACAAACCCTAATGGGAGCTATGTGCTTTTCCACAACAAAATATCAGGACGTGCCCATTTCTACTTTTAACATCCCAAGTTTGAAGCTTGATAGAAATTTTACTGAAAATTATTTAGAAATATTTCATTATCCCACACAGCAATAATGTTAACATAGCTCTCATCTTCATTCACACATTTCAATTACATTTTTTTTCTTCTTGACATATTATCGAAAACTTAAATAATTTATCTGAATTTTGTAAAAATGTACAAAATAAACTGCATATCTCAGATTAGCATAACTCAATGCATTCATATAATCAAGAGGAAGTTTTTGTTGCCTTTTATTGTGCCACCATCTGCCATTAATAGAGAGAAACACCGTCAAGAAGATAAGTTAGATATAATGTTAATGACTTGTTATAGGTAAATAATTTTCAATAAATTTTCATTTTTTGCAATTTTTATTTTTTTAATTTAAGAACTACTAATATATTTTTTATTGTCTAGCTTCTGACCCCAGGCAATTACTTAATTTGGCAGCTCTATACATATTCTTACATGTCTAAGAATAATGTTTTTGAAATGTTAAAAATAACCTTAGTTGTTTTATCACACAATATAAAATTTTTGACTAAGTTCAAACCTTCAATAATAAACTGATATATTGAATACAAAAACTCACTTTAGCACTCGTAATTGTTCCGAAAGGTGCAAACTCTTTTCTTAAACGTTCATCATCAATTGCATCATCCAAATTTTTCACATACAAATTAACACCTTGGTATCGACTAATTCGCTCCATTTTCATCAATTCAAACCTTCGCTTTAATTCCGCAGCTCTTTCGGATTTCTTTTGAGCTCTTCCAACATAGAGAGTTTTGCCATTCAATTCTTTACCATTTAAATCTTCAACAGCCTGCATGTAAATAATCAAAATTCAGATTCAGATTATATAAAAAAATATAACTTCAAGATTAAAACTAATTAAAACAGCTACACATAGTTTGATTCTTGTACAATTGATCTGAAATAAGTTTATACTAAAAAAAACTAAGATGCATAAAAAAACTAACTAGTAAGTGTTGTACTAAAAAACTAACAAAATTAGAAGATGCAAACCTTTTTTCAATCCAAAAACACTTTTTATTTAGTTACCAGGAGACTATGTTTCCTCTTCACTGCCCCCCACCAGCCCTGTTGATTGCTTTGCCTATAATTGTAGCTTCTTCGCATAAAACAGTTTTTTCTTTGAAAGTTGAAATTATTCACTTGCAATATATACTGTACTAAAAAGAATTAATTCTGTTCGCTAACGTTTGTGCACCCACTTCCCACGTCTAAAATTTATTTCTTTAAATTAAATGTCATTGGTAAACTACCATAAGTGAAACTACAAATATTTGATGTCAATTCCTTTACAATTCTTTTCCTATTTATTTAAAACTTAAATTTTGCTAATTATTTTTCAAATTATCTTGAAATTAACTTTCTTTTTACAAACTGTTTGAACCACTTTCTCATACTTAATTTCTCACAGAATATATAACACCACTTTATATAAAATTAATATATTTAAGCATGAAAGTATGAACTAATATAATTACAAACAAAAACTCTCTTAGATCCAGAATAATGAAAATCTGCTAAATATTAATTTAATTAGACGCACGAAAAGTAAATTATTATTTTAATAAAAAATACTATGGCTTTTTCTTTTTTAAAGATATACTAAACAATTGCCTTTTTTAATAGATATATAAAATTATAATCAGTATATTGATGCAAAGTAGATAAAATAAATTAAATAGACATTAAAAATATTTTCTTATCTATAGAGCATTAATTGTTATTCTAAAGATTTCTCAGAAAATTGTAAACCTCACCATTTATTATATAATAATGTCTGTATTTTAAAACCATGCATAGCATTAAATTTATGAAAATTAACTAGAAACTAATTTTTACTAGTTTATATCTTAACACACTATATCCTTGAATTAAAATAGTTCCAAAACCAGGTTTGTAAGCAATTTCTGAAGAAAAAAAATCACCAAGATTTCACTGACCTTCTAAAGCAACAGTTAACAATTACATAGCATATCAATAACACAAAACACATCAATAAAGCCTTAAAAGCATAAAAAAAAAGTTAATATACATTATTACAGAATAACTAGCTTTTTTAAACATTTATCACCAGAAGCAATAATACATAGTCAGGGGTCTGTCCAGGCCGAATTTACTACCGTTTATTAGCGGTACCTTCACAAATTCAATTTTAGGAAAAACAGTAGTTTCACAAATTCAACTTTAGGAAAAATGGTAGTTTCACAAAATACTTTTTCTTTAATTTAATTTTATTTTTGTATCTTTTAAGAAACGATAAATCCATATTTTTGTGTTGATTTTTTAATACAACTTTTAATTTTTCACAAATTATGTCTAAATTTTTACAAAATAGGTACCTTTAAGAAAAGCCTACACAGACCCCTGATAGTATCTGGTTGCTTCTAAAAAACTTAAACATTTTTAGGAGAATTTTTTTTTTTTCGTCTGAAAATGAAGAAAAGTTGGAATTTTTTTAGGTTTTTACACTTTTTACAAATTTTTTCCTTTTTCTCAAGATTTACTTAATTTGTTAAGCAAATTTTAAATTTCCTGAGATTTTCAGGTTTTCCCTTAGCTTTATGAATCTTAAAATATTATATATAAGTTTAGACACTTTAAATAAATTACAAAATACAAGAGAGATGTAAAGGCAAAAATTTTCATGATGAAACTCTTTCTATATTGCAAATATTGACTTCAGTTCTTTTATTTTATTGTAGTTATTATTGATTTTGCTCCTCAATTTCGAGTGAAAAATATTTGGCGTGGTTAAAGAAAATGGTATTTGATAAAATCTGTTTTAATATTGAATTTGACATAAATGTCAAAGAGAAAAATATCTTAAAAGTGATCAAAATACATCAAATGATGTGGCTAAGACATATTTACACGCAACACACAAAGTAACAGACTAAAGGCAATATTTTAAAATATGGTAAGGAAAATAAAAAGAGCTGGACAGCGCAAAAAAATTTGAATGGCATTGAAGGGCCATAATGGCAAAAGGATCTCAATGAAGAAAACTTACTTTGACAATATTGGCCTGTAACAAGTTGTAGTGCTTAACAAACATATGAAAAATTTCTGAACTTTTAACACCTTCCTACCAGAGGAATAACATTACTGTCCATTACTTCTCTTTGCAAAGTTCTAATAGAGTGAACAAAATCTATATGATATTTGAAAATTTCTGCCATTTGTATAAAAAATTAGCAGAATTTCCATAGCATTACACAAACAGCATTACATAAACTTTCATGGCATTACACGAACCCCATAAAAGTAAAATAATCATACAAAAAAATCAGTGAGTTAAATGTAAGAAGAGTTATGTAAACTATGTATATTCAGGGTCTCCTTAGTAATCTAAATAGTTCTTTTTTTTCCCAATGGCAGGCCAATTTAAAAGAACAAAAAGGATAAAATAACAAGAAATACAAGGCAAAAAGAGATAAATAGAAAATGCATAGTGACATGCTTAGCCCATACAGACCCTAGCCTCCCAGTAGCGTCCACACACAGTAGTAGAGATGAGCACAGGACAAACGGAAATATGGGGCAAGTCCATGTCCTCCCCAAGGCGACAGAGCTTGCATTTAGGACAGTCAAAAATGTTTATGCTATAAAGGTGTTTGGCCAGACAGTCATGGCCCGTTACAAGTCTAAAGAGAGTGACTGCCTTAAACCTGGTCTGATTTGGGATAGTTAAAATACGGTTGAACCAGGTTTTGTGTATATTGCTTTTACGGAAATTCTCTGAGAGCATGTTCGGGAATTGGTTTCGGACCAGCAGTTTAAATGAGTGCAGAGAGATGGAGCAACGAGATGCTTGGGTAATAGTTGTTCCTTTCTTGGCCAAGAAATCAGCTTTTTCATTACCCCAAATCCCGCAATGTCCCGGGATCCATTGGAGGACGATTTGCTTGCCTTTTAGTGTCAGGTCTTTCAGACAATCAATGCATTTCTGAATGGAGATGGATTGAGGAATCAGTGGAGAGTTAATATGAAGAAGTGTTGCTTTAGAGTCAGATAAATGACGGCGCTAGATAATTGTTCAGTACGACACTGTAGTTGTTTTAGGGCAATTAGAATAGCCTCGATTTCACCGTCGTAGGCAGATGCATAGCAGCCAACAGAAGTGTAGGCAGAGAACAGGTGACAAAATACTCCCGCTCCAGCACTCACCCGCTGATCCACTCGGGAGCCATCTGTAAAGATTCTCAACCATTCAGGTTCAGGATATAGCTCATTCATAGTTGCGTAAGAGATACCTTTAAGGACATCACTATCAAAGTCTAATTTTAGGACTCTGAGAGCAAGGTCTGTGATCACATTGAAAGTCTGGTAGTCCAGTGGGCTACAAGGAGTGGGAAGAATTTCAGGCTCAATATAAAGGTTGTATTTGTCTTTTAAGCTCAGCACCCCCTGTAGGAAACCCGCTTGAGTCTTTAAGTGGCGCTGCCTGGGGCTCTCTAGGTTCCAAAGAGAAAGACACCCAGGAGTCCGTAATATTTTTCCCAGGGTATCAAGGCCTTTTCTTCAATAATTTTTTCCATCGGCCAAAGTCCAGTGCAAAGGAGCATAGCGTCTATTGGGGTGGATTTAACAACTCCAGTGATCAAGCGAAGTGCTTGATTATGAAAAACCTCAAGAGATCTGCGAACCTGACTTGGAGCACTAATTAAGGGTTCACAGCAGTATGTAATCACCGCAAGAACAAATGTTTTATAGGTTGTGTTGAGACTTGATTTAGAGCAACCCCATCTACAGCCTGCTAGACGCTTTTAAGATGGAAAGTCTACTTGAAGCTTTGTCAATTATGTTTTCCGAATGAAGCCTCCAGGAGAGCTTACGATCAAATATCACACCTAGGTAAGTAAAACTGTCTGTTGTTTGAATGTTTTCACCTCCATAAACTAATGAGAGATCTAATTTATTATGAGAAAGAGAGAAACTTTCATAACAAGTTTTTTCAACGTTAACTTTCATATTGTTTTTCAGACACCTAGGTAAGTAAAACTGTCTGTTGTTTGAATGTTTTCACCTCCATAAACTAATGAGAGATCTAATTTATTATGAGAAAGAGAGAAACTTTCATAACAAGTTTTTTCAACGTTAACTTTCATATTGTTTTTCAGACACCGTTCCTCGAGGTGAATAAGGGCTTGGTTTAGTACTTTTTCAGTCAGGAAGGAAGACCCTCTCTTTGGGGTCTCAGTCCAAATGAGGAGGTCATCGGCATAGAGTAGACATTTGATACCAGGGATAGATTTTAACTTCTGGACAAGGTCGTTGATATATATGTTAAAAAGAATGCAGCTTAAGACTGCTCCCTGAGGGAATCCAGTCTGAAAAAGGCCATATGTAATCTAAATAGTACTCTCAGTAATAAATAATAATAGCCTAATAAGTATCCTCTGATAATAAAAGTAGCATAAAAAGCTTAAAAAAATTTAAAGGAAATAAATTTAATATACAGAGGGTTCTGCAAAGACTCTTCTTAATATCTTTTTAGGATCCTTATCACAAAATAAATCAAAAAGGTATACACAATGGGGGGGGAGGCAAAATCATAATTGAAACAAAATGAAATTGAAAATGCTATCGATATCTGACAAATCACACCACAGAAAGGTGAATGTAATAAACAAAAATACTGGTTTGAGTGCATAAGGAAACAGAGGAGTTGAAAGACTATTATTAAAAATACTTTCAAGTCTCAACCTGCTTCTAGTTTCAATCTACTTTCAGTTTCTCTTAGTTTCAAGAAATCTGCTTCAAGTTTAAAGAAAGTCATCATATGGAGGGAAAAGGTGCTAGAATACTGAAAAATCTGAACATTTTGACCTAAGTATTTGCGAAACAAATTTAAAAAATCGGAAGAAGTACAGTTTAATCTAAATAGTTGGCAGCTTTAGAAATTATTAATACACATGATTTTGAATTTCGAAACTCACTTTTGAAGCACTCGATTCGCAAATCTACATCCTTTTCCGTTCTCATAAGTTTTCATACAATCCACTTGTTTGTCAATAAAAAATTTTTAAATAGTCATTCTTTTTAAAAAAAAAAAAAACATTATATTTCTGAAAATAGTTCCCTTTTGACTGTTTTTATTAAGTAGTATTAGCCTTAGACGCCTCCACTTGGATTTTTATAGCAATTAGCGGCAAAGTCACCAGAGGAGACCCTGTACATAGATAGTTTTTTTATCTCTACGACAAATCAATCACAGAAATAATTGAAAAATATGGAAAACAAACCTTTTCAGCATTTTCAGGATCTTCAAAACTTACAAAACCAAAACCTTTTGGTTTACTCAAATCATCCACCATGACCTACAAAAAAGGATTAAAAACAGAAATATTAATCTATTATCAAATCTTTTAATCACAACATTTATCTCATGATGCTATAATTAAATGAACAAAGCTACCCATAAAGCAGGTTTCGTGATTTTTTTTTTAAAAATTTAAAAAATCCAATTTTTTTGATTTTTATTCAAATACACGGTAAGAAATTTAATTTATGATTAAAAATAATTTACAAATGTTTAGTCAAAATTAAATTAACTTTAAAACTATATTATAACAATATTTTAGGAGCTCTAACTTACTAAAATAATTTTTCGTTATAATACATAGAATGCATGGCAACCATTTTGGAACAAATGCATGATTGAAATTTAAAGACTAGATGAAATAAAGAATTTAAAGAGTACTTCAGGGGTCTGCTTAGGTTTTTCTGAGAGGCACCTATTTTGAGAAAATTTAGACATAATTTGTGAAAATAAAAAATTATATTAAAAAATCAACACAAAAATATCGTAAAAATATGGATTTATCGTTTCTTACGAGATACAAAAATAAAATTTTAAGAAAAAGTATTTTGTGAAATTATTCTACAGTTTTTCCTAAAGTTGAATTTGTGAAGGTATCGCTAAACGGTAGTAAATATGGCTTGGACAGACCCCTGTACTTTAACTATTAAAGCAAAGTTTCAATTAGCAAACCATAATTTTAAATTAAAATTGTGATTTCTTTTTTTTCCTCTTGATTTTTAAAATGACAAAATAAATGTAACAGATTGTGTTTATAAATGTAGTCATTCATCAAAAAATAAATAAATATTTAATCTATATATTTTTATATTAAAATATTCATTTTTAATTCTACATCAATAAAATATAATGTGGATTTTAATTCCATACTTTTTCAATCAAAAGGTAGAATTTTAATTAACATTATTTGCATTTTTTTTTTTAAAAAAAAGTCATGTTTATTAATTATTTTCTACAGCTATGCAAGTCTATATTAAAACAGCATTAAATGTTTACTTTAATCTGTACTTTCAATCTCAAGAATCAATAGATTTTTAAAAATGTAATTTCAAATGTGTTGGAATTTAACACACATCAAGAAAGAAAGTAATTTCGTTAACTAAAATTAATTAATGTAGCAATTTATTTGAAATAAATTTTAAAACTAAGAAAAGAAAATAATAAAAGTATCAATAATTGAAACACTGTTTTTTTAACTTTTAAAATCCATATATATATATTAAAAAAAATCTGTTGATTTAAATCAATGATTTTTTTTTAAAATCATTTGATTTAAATCATGATGAAAATCAAGCTGATTTAAATCAACAAACCCTGCCATAAAGTAAGTTTTGAAAACTATAGTTAATTAAGTTAAATAAAAATAATAAAGTAATTAAGAAAACAAATTTAAATAAATGCTTACTTTTTTAAAAAATTAACACTAACCTTGGCACTAGTGATCTTTCCATATTTTTCAAAGAGTTCCCGTAATTTTTCATCATCTAAATCATCACCAAAATTTTTAATGTAAACATTCATAAAACGGCGTGCTTTTTCTCCTAACTGCTTCTCACGTTCTTTGCGTGGAACAAATTTACCAACAAATCTATAATAAATCCATTATTATTTCAATACAAAAAATACTTAAGTACTCTTTCAAAATGCTTAAACATTTATCCAATAATATTAAAACAAGAAATTCATCAATGCGAAAAGAAAATCAAATTAAAGAAATAAATATGGTTACTATTAATGACATTAATGCTACTTGGCACATTCAGAATGAGAAAAACTTACAAAAACAGTGAAACATCTCAATAAGCACAATTCTAAACAACAACAAACAACTTCTCTAGTTCAATATTTGGTAAAAAATTAATGATTCTAAAACTAACATCCTCCTGTATTTATTAGCTGAGGATATAACAATAAAGACAACTTTATTTTAAATGAAATGGCAAGACATTTCCATTTTCTTTTTAGATTTTTATGATTTTTTAAAGCTACAACTTAAAGGTTTCAAGTTTCATTTAAGTCAAACTTCAATGGAGATACATACTCTGCATTATTTTTAATCTCAATAATCAAATATATTCTGGAGCCCAGATTTCAGCAGTTTCAATAAAAATAAGCCTATATCAAAATAAAGCTATAGCATTATCCACATTAAAATTCTGAAGAAAAAGAAACAGAATATTGATTTGCCGTATGACACTTGGTCTGGTTTCACACTAAATCTGGTTCTAAATCTGACACTAAAATCTGGTTTGGAAGCTTATTGGACTGAAAGGAGTCATTTCATTTTGGGAGACCATACAACTAATCTAACATTTTTACAAAATATATTGAAAGACAAACTTTTAATTGTTAAAACTTAAAATAAGAATCCAAATATATATCCAATATTTTTTAGCTTCCTGATCAGATCTTTTTAATCTTTTTTTTTTTTCATTGTATTTAGGAAAATTTAGATATTGACACATCCTAAACAGAACAAACCTTTACAATTTCGCTTTTTAAAATGTCGGCAATCCAAACTGTTGCTTAAGACTCTATACTTCTCAATCTTTCAAAGCTTAATAAAGACTTTCGCAATGAAACAGGCAATACCATTTGGAAGAAAAAAAGCCAAAACTTAAGACAAATGTTTTTCCGTGTTATTTAAATGTGAGGTTAAAAAGTTCTGACAAATGTTATTTTATTGTGAGCAATAACATAATTTTAATACTTGAAATAATTTTCGCTATTACTTTTTTAAAGATCACATTTACATAAAACTACATAATTACTCACACTTTTCGTCCATTCAAAAGCATACCATTCACTTTCATTATGGCATTATTTGCAGCTTCTTCTGTTTCAAAATGGACAAAACCATATCCTTTAGAATTACTTTCATCATCTGTAGCAACCTACATTTAAAATAGATATTTAAAGAACTATAAAAATAATAAACTGATAACACCTTAGAATATTATACTTTAGCTTTGCACCATATAAGTTATTAAATTGAGGAAAAACTTAAAAAAGATTCAATATTTTAGAAAGCATACAGATAAAGAATGAGACTTCAAGAAAAAAAAATTCATATATAATAGAGTTTTCTACTTACAAGAAACATCAATGGTGTAATATTTCCAGTCCATACATAACCATTGAAAACCAATATGGAGGAGAGGAAATTACGGATTACTACATAGCAACAATTAACACAGTTTGGCCCATAAATGCAAGTGACTTTGCAAAAAGGGTATAGTACAATAATCCACAGCCTTCTTAATAAAATTATTTAGAATTCACAATCATAAAAGAGCTATGGTAAAATTTCCTGCCCATATTTAGTAAAACTTAAATTTATATGGAATGAGTATTCATAACCTCAATCCACTGTAAGTTTTTAATGAAACAAAATCTTATAATATACTATTTCATTATAGTTATAAATAGCAGTGATTCTATATATAGCAATCAAATCTATAGCAATCAAATCTGCCAAAAATCATAGATGAAAAAGTTACGACGCGTGCATAATTTTCCATTTAGGTAATGGAAAGAAAAAAATACAAAATTAGCACATAATTTTGCCAAAAATCAAACCAAATTATTTTTTAAAAAAATTCATATCAAACTGCACTATTGAATAATAAAGTAAAATATTATTAGATTATAATGTAACTGTAATCACAATAAAATAGCTAAAACAAAAAGTCATATCTATATAAAATAAATTAAACAAGCTTTTAGGAATATGCTTTCTATTTTAATAGCAAGATTAAATTAACAAAATAAGAAACTGGTTGCTCACTAAAAAGCGTATTATAGCAGAAAGCTGAATATCAACACCAGTAGACACTAAGGCTGATAAAGTTAATAAAAAATATATAATAATAAATAACTGGACAACTTTCAAAAATGGCTGTGGCAAAACTTTTAAATAGCTTTTACACTTTATGCCTGAGGACTGGAAATTGTAGTATTGCTTAGTTTAGAGTATTACAAATAGCATTTAAAAGTTAATTTTATAACTTTTTTTAATTTTATTTTCTATAAAATTGGTGCTAAGTTATACATAGAAAGTATATATAGAAATACACATAGAAATCATTACAGGACACTATATAGTACAACATTCTATTCTCACTCAAACTGGACAGAGTAAAGTGTGAATAGAGGGGACATTTTTTCAAAGGACACTACCGTACAAAATAAGCACTTTGTTTATCCTCTTCAGGAAATCTGAAAATAATAATGAACTTTCATGAAGAAAATGCTGTCAAAGAAAACTGAAGAAAAAAAGGCACGGTCCTTTATCAATCCGGTAACTTAGATAACTCGTATAATCAGTGTCTAAAAAAACAATACTCTACTTAAATAAAATATTTGTTATAAATTGCGTATCATTTATCAATGGGTATTAATATGATAAGATTAAATATTGTTAATATTTAAAAATCAAAATACATTTTTAATATTCCACTCTGGAAAGATATACTCTAACAAGTATAATTAATTAAAACCAAATTATTCAACAAAAAATAAGCACCTTTTAAGCACTTTTCAAGCACTCAAAAAATATTTTTAAGCACTTTAAAAAAATATCATAACTAGGCAGGGCTGGAAAGTTTTTGACAATTGATGGTTTTAACTGTCATGTCAAAAAAAAATTGGCATTGCTTTTGACAATTGTCAAAAATTATGAAATTTTGAATCATGTACAATGAATGGAGTTTTCATACAATACGGACTGACAATACGCCAAAATAGATTGGAGTTGAATGAAGTGTGAAAATGTTGAATAGAACAATGAGAACTGTGTCTTTTCTCCTAATTCGAAGCGAAAATCAACATAGTAAAGGAAAAATCTCATTTTGAAAAAGGGAAAAATTAAGCACTTTTTAAAAACACCTAATGAAAAAAGCACCTTTAAGGGCTTTTAATAAACGAAAATCGAAAATAAGCAACTTTAAGCACTTTTTACAAACCTTACGCACCCTGTTATATAGTATCCTTTCAAACAATGTTCAAATTTATTCTTGTGAAATGTAAACATTTTTTTGCAGCACTTCTGTGTCTCAGGGTCCCCAAAAGTTTAATCAAAAATACAATTTAGTCCATAAGTTCATGTTCAAAGAAAATTTAAATGATAAATGTATGAACTCATAATTTGTCCAAAATATGATGTTCATAACTTGTCAATGTTTATATACATAAATAAATGTAATAATGTAAATCATAAATTTCATGTCACGTTATTAATTAGTTATGTTTATATTTATTAAAACAGATCATAATAAATTAAAAAAATAATAAAATATATATATAAATTAAAGAAATATTCATGTAACTTCAATTCAATTATGTTGTGATCCAAACAAATAATATAAATTAAAAAATTATGAATAACAATTCCGAGTAACAAAATAGCCTACAAAAACAGTATGTGTGAGAAGGGGTCTGCCGTCACTTATAGAAGAGGTCCAACTTTGCCAAATTCACTGCCAAGCCTTATCAAGAATCCCTATAACACAGAAGTACTTTTTCTGCAAATATAAATCACACAAATTTTTACTATGTATGTAAAATATATCATTTTTTTAAGAATAAATTTAAACACACATTTTATAATTTAATAAAATAAAAATGATGATGAATTGTGGAGGCATGAGTGGAACAAGAACCGTTAATGTAATCTCGACTACATTAAAAATTTTTAACTTAACACTTATTAGTCTAATAAATACATCAGTCATAACAGAAAATTTGGAAATCCAAAGCTTGCGAGAAATTTATGATTTCAAGACAAACAACTGCAGTTTTGAAAAACTATCATAAATTAGCTCAAAAAGTTTCTACAAATTTGCATTTTGTAGCAAAATTTTACATTTTATCAACAAAATTTATTAAAAAAGGAAAAATAATGTATCAATAAAATATATTTTGATGATATATTAATATGACTATAGAAAACTTGTGATCTCCCATTATAATAATCATAAAAATTGATTTAATACAAAATATTTACACAAAATATCAACAAAAGCAAAATACAAGAAATGGTAAATCAATCATTAGGTTTACAAAAATTGCTAGTTACAATATTTAATTATGTTTTCTACTTAGTTATTATATAATCTTCTATATCTATTATGCTTTTAAAGTATCATTTTAAAAAATATTTTTTACATCAGACATAGTTTTACTAACATGTATTTTTCTTGAAAGTTTCTTTTATACAATGTTTTATATTATTTTAACACTAAAATGTGTATAGGGAAAAAATGCATACAAAACCTCAAACTTACTTTGCATGATAAAATGTTCCCAAACGCAGAAAATGTATCATACATAGCCTTGTTGTCAATGCTTTTATCCAAATTTTTAATAAACACATTTCCGACGCCAGATTTTCTCAATGAGGGATCTCTTTGAGACCACATAATTCTTATGGGTCTACCTTTCACCATATCAAAGTTCATAGTATCCAAGGCTCTTTCGGCTATAATTTAAAATAAAGTTAATAGCAAGAGCATAAAACAAGCATACTGAAAATTTTAATTATTCATATCTTTAAGTGTAGGTATTTAAAGCACACATAACAGTTAGTTATAAAAGTTAGAATGTACCTGTATTGTCTTTATAAAATTTCTCTTCTCACAATTTGTGAAAAATTTTAAAACTTTGTTAAAATATTTTTAAAAATCTTATAAGTTTTGAAATTGAAAAAATACATATATATTCCATGCAAATTTTAAAAAATACATATATTCCATGTTTGATTGCAACCTTTTTAAAATATCAATAACAATTTTGAAAGACAGAAACTTCAGCTTGTTGTATATGCTTGAATAATACCAGCTTTAAAATGTATTGTTTCAAAAAATTATACACATAGAAATTCAGTTTAACAACCTCATAAAGTAGGCATTGTTAGTTCTATTTATTAAACAAATCTCATTTAATTAAGAGGTAATTCAATAAAATTACATAACAAATGTGATTGTTTTTCAAAACAAAGCTATTTTCAGAAAATGACAGATCAAAATTCTTTCTGAAAGTGCAAAATAATTATCTAAATTTAAGTACAGAATGAATAATATTCTATATTGCAGTTATGTCTGAAAATGAAATTAGCTTTTTATAAAAAATATATATGTTTTTTGCTCCTAATGTCCTGATAAGTTCTCAATTAAACACTTCAAACTCTGGAAAACCAACACAATTTTGAAATAAAAAAAATCATGTGTGAAACTATTGAGGTTAGGAATTGTCTTCAGTGCTAGCTTGTGCATTCATGACTATAGTAACTACATTTCTTATGAACATCTCCAACTATGATAATATTTTTACAATTTAGCAAGCAAAGATGAAAATGTAAATATTAACCCAACATTTTTAAGTCAGTCTAAATTAAACAAAAAAAAATAAAAGATTTGAGTGAATATACCTCCAATATACTTGTGTGGATGGATATTGAAAAAATTTTTCACTGGAAGGATTAAGGTTTTTCTTACCTCAAAAATTAATGCCAAAAATATCAATTGAAATCTAGGGTAATTCACGATCACTCTGTTTCTGGGGTAAATAATGATCGCCTAAGTTTTATTTAAAAAAATAATATTTTTTTAAAATTTGAGACATGGACAAGAATGCTTGTACACTTTACTAAAGTATAACTACATTTACTTAATAATAGTTTTTTGTTTAATCTAACAAAATAAGTATCTTTTAAACTGCTTTCTGTATTTTCCATTTCAAAGATGGGTTTCAAAATGTGCACATTTCTGCAAAGATCCCCCTCCTTCTCTTAATAATAAATATTTTGAGTTACTTTCTTTTTCTTTGATATAAAAATAGTGTAAGCTTTTGTTTAATTGTTTCACATCTACTGTAAACATTATAATTGATTATAGGAAACTATATCAAATGTTGCCCCCTACAGATGGGGTAATTATTGATCACTGGGGTAATTCCTGATCATTGTCATTTCTTCTTATAAATAGTATAAAAAATAGCTAATAAATAGTTAATTGTCTTTTCTTAAATAACAGTTCATATTTATTAAGTGGAACAACTATAAAATATATTTTAACTGTCATCACAAAATTTGTTTTTAACTGTATACAAGACTGTATTCTGATTTGCACCATTTCTGGTTTGTCTTACCTTGCTTCTATCTTAATTTTATGTGTGTACATTGTTAGAATAACTTTTAAGTTTATAAATTAGCCTAGTATAATTGTTAGAATAATTTTTAAATTTATAAATTAGCCTAGTATAAATATGGTGAGAAATTATAAGCCTAAAAAGGATACTAAGCTTCTAGAAAGCAAAATTAGTGAATTTCTTTTAATGATTGAAAATGAAAATTTCAGTGTGAAAGCTGCTGCCAGAGCTGTTGACATACCTTACTTAACTTTACACTTTCCCTTAATGAAGTAAAAAAATCCAGTAAAAGTAAAACATGTGGGAACTCTCTTATATTTCAGCAGAACATGAGAATGAGTTGGCTGACTGCCTAAAATGTATAGCATGATGCAAAGATTTTTGGAAAATTTAAAGTGTTAATCTTTCTTCTTGCTTTTAAATAAATCGTTTTATTAGCTGCTTAAACATATCTTTTTGGTTTATTTGTTTGATCTTGATGTCTTATTCGTTAATTACCATTTTATAATTATTTTTAAACAGCCCCTTTACAATAAAAACTGGTGATCAGCAATTACCCCAGAAGTGATGAAGACCAGGGGTAATTCCTAATCACTAAAAATTTAAAATCTTTTAAATTCTAATTAGATTTTCAAACAAAAGAATGTGACGTAGGATTCATCTTATATAGCCTCAAACTTCCAGGAAATATTAAAATTCTATCTTGACTAGTTTTTTCACAAATTTTTAGATATTTACATTTTTTGATCAGGAATTACCCCAGGTCAATTTCTATAAAACAAAAAATATTTCTGTAATTAATTTTTTAGCAGGTACCAAATACTTAAAAAAAATAAAATTGTTGGATACACCAAGCCTTAAGGTGTTTTTCCTTCAAATTTAAAAGTGAAATAATCTGGTATTTTTTTACATAACATAACATAATGCTTTAAATCAGGTCTATATACATGCGTTTGAATTGTTTATAAGTAGTGATCGTCAAAATCAGTTGAAAACAAATTTATAAATTTAATAATCAAAAGTTATGAGCAGATGTAGCAATCCCTTTAATTACTTGAGAAAAATAACTGTGAATAAGTTTTTATTAGCTAACTGTTAGCATTTATAGGTTAGAGTTATTATATAACTGTATGGCATGACTTCTTCTTATAATAATTAATAAAATACAGCTCTATTAAAAAAGTTTTAACATAATAACATACCATCAACAGGCTGTTGGAAGTTAACATATGCATATCCCAATGAACGACGAGTGATCAAGTCTCTACAGACTCTGATGGATAGAACAGGGCCAGCAGTTGAAAATTTTTCAAACAGCATTGCCTCCGTAACATCATTATGAAGATCGCCAACATACAAAGATGCAACGGGATAATTTGGACCATTAGGATTCATTTTTTTGAATTATGAATTCCTTTTCACTAGGCCTATTGCTTAGGTATTCCAGAAGATTTCACTTCGAACTTCAAAAGTAAAGTATTTTTTTAATCATTTAGTTATTTTGCGATTTTTTTTGTTCTTTTTTTATAGTTTTAAATTTTTTTTGGTTGCTCTAGGAGCATATATTTATAGTTTATAGTCTACAAAAGCTTATTTAGTTCCCACGCGAACACAGAAACAGAAATTCCGTGAAATAAAATTAACCGATGACAGTTTACTCTCTGTTTATTACAATAAATGTAGTCATCCGCAAAAAGAAGTTAAATAGTTCGATTCATTTTTCTGTTTTTAATGTGTGTAAACCAAACAATAGTAAGAAATGAGTTTCTTGATTTTTATCAAAAGATTTCATGCCGTATAAGAATTTATTTATTTAGAAATGTCATAAGTATAAAAACCTCCGAAAACAGAACGAAACCACGTGCTTGAAACAAGAACTAAAGTGGGCTGGGTCGCAATACATTTCTAATATAAATAATAATAATAATGAAACCCTTTTGCAATTTAATAAACTAACATATGAAAATATTAAATAGAACAAGATTGAATCGATAATAATAAAGTGAATTGTTTTTTTATGATTTATTCTATAATTATAGGCTATTAATCAATAAAATTTCAACAATGACGTCATCTCAAAGCAGTCATGCCGTAGTATTTCATCATAGAATAATGGACTTCCTACTCATTGATAATGGAGAATCCGTCGAAATTTCGAGTTTCATTTCACGTTTCATTCATTATAATCTCAATTTGATTAGCGACACGTAGTTAAGACAGGATTAAATTAAGAGATTTAATTTTTTAAAAATAAAAAAAAAATTCTCAAGTATACCTTTTTTTTAAATATTTTTCGAAACTGCTCTGGGTTGCAATGTTTGTAGTATTTGTTGTGTAGTAACAGGAGAGAAAAGTGCTATGCACAAATATTAATTAGCACCAATATTAATTAAAAAGCAAATTCCTTTCATATTTAGTTTTCTTTTTTATTTCAGTACGTATTTTCTTTAAATTTAAAGTATGCGTTTTATTTAATTTTTCATATTTGTTCATTAATAACAATAGCAACTAATAACTTCGTTAATCAATGGGTGTGTATTGATATGCTTAAAGCAAAGTTGATAAGGAACAATATATCAATAACAAAAATGAGTACATTTTTACAAAATACATTTGTTACATTACTTTAAAGATGAAGGGGAGATTTTGGTGGTAACGAAAATGATCTACCGCGCTTTTGTGGTTTAGGTATGACAAAATTAAAATTATTTCTCCTTTTTGGTCCACTTAAAAAAGCGGAGTTTGTAAAAATTTCGATTTTATTTTATTATTTTAGTCACTTTAGTTTTGTGTATCTTAAGTTTGTTACAGTTGGAAAGAAGTCAAATTTTCGGGTGTCGCGTCAATCCGTCAAGCACAATTCGTCAGGGCGAAAGTTCATCAGATTACTCGCAAACACAATTCGAATAAAATATAAAGGAATAAAATATTACAAATTAAATTCAAATAAAATATTGACGACACAATTCGTAATAAAAAATTTTATAATTAGCAATTATATTGGCTAAGCAAAATATTTATGTATTATGCCCTTGTTGTTGAAAATATTCTAAATTGCCCAGGTGTAATATTTTAAGCTTAATAATTGTCTAAAACATATTTCAGAATTTTTTCTTCAATTAGTTTCCGTTTTTGTAACGGCATTATTTGAATTCAAAAAAAGAAAAATGTACTAACTTTGGCTATTACATACGAAAATTAAAGATTTTTACAACAGACACTATAGGCATTTTATCGCGGAAACTGGGATTTTTAATGATATCAGACCAATAAAAATTTCAAACAAAAATATTTTTAATTAAAATAAAATATAGAATATTCTAATATTTTTTTACATAAAAAGAATGTTTTAATATTTTTTTACATAATTTTAAACACTGTATGTAAATTGGATTATGCAGTTCCATATCTTAAGATACTTAAAAAAATGAATACATTGAATAATGTATAAAATTTAAGAAATAAGTTGATTTAATATACTTGTAAATACATAAACATTTCTGTTATTTTACAATGTTCTTCGTTACTTTGCCTTAGGTTGTGATTTTCAAGCAAACGTACAGTCCATGGCCAATTTATTAGACGCACTATAACAGTCTATGTAATCAGGTGATACTATACAGCTTTATTGTTTTTAACGTGACTGAAACCTGTTTGCCCTTGTTTACGTTAGTGTATCAATTGATTAAATTAGACCGATATGTGATATAAATTAGATGATATATTATATAAATATAGAATGCTTATTATATCAGGTATTCTATTAATATATTATAATAATTGGCCCAAATTTTTAGGCACACTGTAGTTTTTTAATAATTACATGTGTTGCACGAATTTATATGCAATACTTTTATATTTAAATATACATGTAATAGGTTTATATTCAGGAGATTTCTTATATACTTCCTATTTGTATCTAATTATAACGTGTTGCATTGCAATGTTAACCAATTGATACATAAGCGTAAACAAGTGCAAACCGGTTTCGGTTTCAGCCGAGTAAAAACAATAAAGCTGTATATTATCACCTGATAATTAAGATTTTACATAGATTCTCAAAGTGCGTCTAATAATTTGGCCAGGGACTGTATTTTATAAAAGCGTATCTGAATTCTACAAAAAAAAAGAGGAAGCATTTTTTGTTTAAACTTATTAGATTTTATTTATTTTCCCAAAAGTAACCAATTTTGAAATATTTTAAAGGTGGAACTGTAATAAAAGTTCAAGGTTTGCATTATTGAGCAATATTTATGCCCGATGATAGTATTTGAGTCATCAGCATTTTTTTTCAGCATGAAGTCTGTTCACTAAATCCAGAGCGCATTCCTAAAATAAAATAACATATATGTAAAAAAAATATGTAGAAAATGTCAGTTAAAACTTACAACTGCGTAACAGAAACTATTTAAACTTGTTTTTATCATTTTGCTTTTATTATTATTATTTATTTATTTTTTGCAATTTTAATAATTTTTTAACAACAAGCTAACAGCAATAACAATAATTTTTGGTTGGTTGGTTCTAATGCCACTTACCACACGGGCTAGCCTGCTTGGTGAACCGAGAAAATTTAAGGCAGAGTGTGCGATTCTTGTTTTTCAGTGGCGCCATCTATGTCCAAGAATTCGACTTCGCCACACCATGCGTCACGCCTGTTTATAAGGGGGACCCATTCACTCATCCACAGATCGTAATTTTGACCTGAATCAGAGAACAATCGATCTCCAATCCAGTACGCCCAGAGGTTTTGATTTGTTATGGGAACATGGAGGACTTTGCGACTCGACAGAATTTTAACGTGCATCAGTCACCAACTATACGGGGGGAGTCTCCGGCCGACAACAATAATTTTTAATAATAATTAAATAACAAGCGCTTATTATAATTTGAATAGCTGTGTAAATAAGGTCAATGCAACTATTATAGAAAAATTATATTGTGCCCACCCCTCTAAATACCTTCGAACACTTAAAAGTTACTTGTCAATAGCTTATTATAATACGTACTAAAAGCAATGATTGTTGTAAGTTCAAATTATTAAATAGTAATTTTTTATGATAGCATAAGGAATACAAATTACACAGCTTTGTTTAAATGGTAAAGACAAATATATTCGATTTAATTTGCAAATAAAAACTCAGAACGCATCGATAATATTTTTCTGGATGCTACGTATTAAAGATACAATTTTAGACCATTTTTTTGACAAAGGACATTTCAATAAATATTTTTTTTTTAAACTGTGACGTATATTTTTCACTTAGTTTATTTTACTACTATTTTTATGGGTTGTGAACACTTATGTTAGTAGTTTAAATATATAATATTAGTAAATATATTCTGTTGAGAAATTATTAAACTACGCCAGTTTCTTTTTCATAAAAAAAAATTAAAAAAACTTGAAATGGTATTTGACAAATTCGACTTTTTGAAAATGTATAAGTATTTTACATGAGACCAATCATATAGTGGGAAAAAGCTGCAATTTCTATAAATGAAATAAAAGTAAAACAGATGTTATAAAAAATTGGTGTTGAAATAAATGATTTGTTCAGTGATTTGGCTAATGGTGCGTATAGTCATCATTTTTTTTCATGAATGAAATTTTTCTTTGCGTCGGAATAAATGCAATTTTAGGATATTTCAATGAAAACAATACCTCATATTAAAGAATTTCTAAGCCTGTCCTAAAATGGTTTAATGATACGAATGTTTAAGTTTCTCCTAGAATGTGCTAAGTAACTAGCGCTGATGATATTTAAAAGAACGAAATTAGGCGCAAAAGCCGATTTTATCAGCGTATAATTATCTAATTTTCAACTGATTTTGAAAGGATAAATGTTAAATCATGGAAGATAGCCGTAATCTAAAAATGTAGTTCCAACAGATTATTCTTGAAAACGGTCGATCGCCCATATATTTTATTGTATAACCGTCGTTGAACATCCGACCCAATTTTGGGGTTTACGACTACTAGAGATCAACTCCGTAGCCTGGTAATTTTAAACCAATTCAGAAGACAAGGGATCACCTGGCTGAGATATTGGGAGAGATAAGCTTCTGTGTGGATTACTTCTTGGGGGAATTATTCCGCATTTGCGTTACATGAAGAGGAAAGCATCGAAACATCCTATGGTTAGGCTGACGGCAAGGGAACTCTAATTCATGATCCGTCTACAACCGAGGATATTTTGAGTTTGCACTGTGGTCGGTGCGAGCCGGGTACGAAATTCATATTGATCAGCCATCGATGGGATTCGAACCCGAGCCGCCTCATTCAGAGGCGAGAGCTCTATTTAATAAGGTACCTTGGCTCTACGCCCCATACATGTAGGTTTTACTAATTGTGTGTTTTGGCTAAAAACTCATTAATACAATGATAAATATCAACATAAGTATGCGAAGTACTTATTTCTTATTCTCACAATACCAGTAATACGTATTACTACAATTGGTTAAACATCACTAAAAAATCAATAGTTTAATGAATTTTTACGTCCTCTGGAAACGGAACAATACCATAAATTTACTTTAAAACGCATAAAATTGTGGTCTCTTCGTATGAAAAATCTAATGTTCGCGTAAAATAGTCTAACATTCTCTAATTGAAGTTTGACCGTGATCACACATCTAAGATAATGCTATCCTGATTCTACACGGTGCGCCTTAACCAAAGTTAAATAAAATGCTCTTACACCTAGAAAATTAGAAGAGATTCTGAATTTACAATGTTAACAGATAATAAAAATCAAAAAATCAAAATAATCTGTAGAGAGATTTTTAAAAAAATCCACTTTGAACATTTTTGCGCACGAAGTATGATATTTTGGAAAATCTGATGTTGTTTTATATCAATAGAAAGGAAACAAATTATATAATAATGATTTTTCAGTTGCAATTCTATTAAACTTTTATGATTTAAACATTTTACTGCTGATAAAATATGAAAATGTAACATAATTTAATCATAATTACATCAATTTAAACATGTGAAGCATTATATCTACAAACAGCTCTCGAAAGGTGTTTAGAATAATCCGGGAGATTTGCAGCAACCTTATTAATTTCCCAGGAAGATTTTAAGAAATCAAAATGTACGGACTCCATCGCCTGCTCCC